CGAGGGCGGCTTTCCCGGGAGCTGGCACTCCCGCTCCCAGGCCTGGCCCAGCGGGGACTCAGGATTTGGGGGAGACCTGAACTCGTTCCCCGCTGACTCAGGCCCTGCTGTCCCTCTCAGGAACGAGAAGTGCCATGACTACTACACCACGGAGTTCCTGTACAACCTGTACTCATCAGAGGGCAAGGGTGTCTTCGACTGCAGGACCAACGTCCTGGGCCACCTGCAGCAGGTGTGGGGCAGTGAGGCTCTGAGAGGCCTGCCCCTCTTCCCTGCCACCATCCGTCCCCGGGCCCAGGGGTCCCAGCCCTCACAGGCACCCACGGGCACTCCCGGCAGGCCCTCGGGCACATGTGCCCTTCCCCGGTGAGGGGACCGAGGCCCGTATCTGGGTGAGGTCTCATTCCAAGAAGGGCTGGGGCTGGGGCCGGGGCCGGGGCTGGGGCCAGGACATTCACATGCTGAGCCCAGCCCCCACCCCTCTGGGCCTCCTTCGGCTACCTCCGCCGAGCCCCTCACCTAGATCCCGGCATGCTCCCTGCCCTATGGTGGCCCTGCAGGAAGCCTGTGTCCTGGGGTTTTCTGAGCCAGGGAGGGGGAGTCAGGGTGGCTGGGGATGGGGCCCAAGGTGGGGCCACCGGCTGCCAATGTAGGAGCCCAGGGGTCACTTGACTTGGCCAGGGGGCAGCCGACTGCCGGCCTCGGGAGGCAGCTTCTGGCCTGGACTTGGAGCTGGAGAGAGCAGGCAGGGTCCTCGATGCGGGAACAGACGGGAATTGTGCAAGGGTTGGAAGGAATGGGTGTTCAGAAGCTGCCTGGGAGGCTCCCCGTGGGGACCCTGTCTGCACTGGGGTTGGGCCTCCCCTCTCCTTGGCCCAGGCAGCCCAGGGCAGCTCCAAGAACCGGGCCTTGCCTGTTTCCAGGGCGGCGCCCCAACCCCCTTTGACCGGAACTACGGGACCAAGCTGGGGGTGAAGGCCATGCTTTGGTTGTCGGAGAAGCTGCGTGAGGTTTACCGCAAGGGTAGGTGGTGGGTGCAACCTGAGGCCTCACTTCGCCCTCCCCTGGCTCCCTGGGGCAGGGCCCGGCCTTGGAGGGCTGCCACGTGCCTCTGTTTGCAGGACGGGTGTTTGCCAATGCCCCAGACTCGGCCTGCGTGATCGGCCTGAAGAAGAAGGCGGTGGCCTTCAGCCCCGTCACTGAGCTCAAGAAAGACACTGATTTCGAGTGAGTTCAACTGAAGCCTCCTGGAGGCGGGTGGGGCTGAGGGGCGGCCCAGACTGTCCCCCAGGCAGGTGTGCCAGGCCCCGCCCCACTCGCACCCTGACCCCGCAAGTCCTCCTGGGCCCCCCGTGCCCTGGTCCCCGCCAGGCCATGGAGAGCAGGGACCATGTCCAAGTCTTCTGAGCGTGACACTGGGCAATACTTTTGGGTGGGCATGGGGGCACAGCATGGGCAGCCAGGATTGGGCACGCCTGAGGGCGGCTGTGGCTGACTCTGTGCTGTGCCTCCGAGGGATGGGGACCCCAGACCCGTCCCAGAGGCCGCAGGGCTCCACGGATATTGAGATGTTCAGAGGGAGGGGCATGCACAGGCCGCCGGGTTGGGGGGTGGGGGGGTTGGGGGCATGGCCTGAAGAGCTGCCCTGACCCCTGACTCCCCATCATCCCCGCATCCCCGTCCTGCACAGGCACCGCATGCCGCGGGAGCAGTGGTGGCTGAGCCTGCGGCTCATGCTGAAGATGCTGGCACAGTACCGTATCAGCATGGCCGCCTACGTGTCAGGGGAGCTGGAGCACGTGACCCGTCGCACCCTGAGCATGGACAAGGGCTTCTGAGGCCATGCCCACGCCCCTCCCCGGCCCCCACCCATGCCAGCTGCAGCGCCAGGGCTCAGATGGGGCCTGGGCTGTTGTGTCTGGAGCCTGCAGGCAGGTGGGGGCTGTGTCCCTGCTTAGCCCAGCCCCTGCCTCTATCCCTGGCCACCCGCCAGGCCTCCCTGGGGCTGGTCTTGAGACCAGCCTGCCAGGCCCTGCAGCAGGAGGACAGAGCGTCCTGGGGCATCCACCTTCCTGCCCAGGGGACGTGGGGCTGTCGGTGTTTGCAGGCTGATGTCCCCTGGCTTTGGCGCCCCATGGGCCCCAGCCTCTCCCCACTCTGGGCTCACTCACAGGGGCCAGCCCTTGCCCTACCTGGCTGCCGGTGCCTGGGTTGTGTTGAGAGGGGGATGCCCTTGGCCCTGCCTCACTGTGACCTGCTCCTGCCCACGTGCAGCACCTGTCACCTTTTCTAGAAATAAAATCACCCTGACCGTGGGGTGCATCGGTCTCTGGAGAGCACAGCCTGCGGAACTCTTGGAGGGAAAGGAGCAGCACCACATGGCCAGCCCAGTGGGCAGCGGCCCCCAGGGGTGGAGGGCCCTCTGGCCAGTGCCTGGGCCAGGCCAAAGGGACATGTGCCCTGGGAGGCCACAGGCGCTCTCCAGGACTCCCTGGGGGCCACCAAGGTGACCTGAGCCCCCTCCTGGTCCTCCCCTGGGGGCAGAACGGTACAGTCTCACTCCTCGGTCTCCCCAGCCTCAGCCTGAGTGGGGGTCTCCAACCTGCAGGCTGGTGGCTGGCTTGAGCCAGCATCCAGGAGACACCGATGGTGGACACGTGGGAGGGGAAGAGAAGGCGGCACAAAGCTGTGCCCACCGGGGGCTAGGGCTGAGTCCCGCAGGTGGTTTGGGGTGGTGGACACCCTGCTCGCAGGATGCCCGTTAACCTTAGCGTTGAAGCCCATGCTCTGCACCACCCACGGCTCTGCAGCACCCACAGCTCTGCACCACCCGCAGCTCTGCACCACCCATGGCTCTGCAGCACCAACGTGGCAGGTGCTTGCCGAGAGGGTTGCTTCGTTCCCGCAGTGCCACCCTGCGGATGTGGTTTCGGGACACAGGTGTCTCAAGGGAGACCCTGGCTTGGAGGGGCCTAAAGGCCACATTGAGGGTCCCTGGGCGGTCTCCTGGTTGAGCTCAGGCCAGAGGGGTGGCGCTGGGGACCTGGTGAGGGGGCTGGGGACCTTCCTGCCCTCAGGTACCTTGATATTCCCAAGAGCCCCTCACCGTGTTGGCTCTAGTGCCAGAGACCTCCAGATTGCTTAACTCTGGAGCTGGGGTGGAGGGGCCCACACCTAGGGGCCTTCTAGTTCACTCTGGGTGGGGCCGTCCTGGGTCCAGGCCCAGGAGGGGACAGTTGTCCAAGGACAGTGCTCCCGGGTCTGCAACTCTGTCTCAAAGGAACAGAGAAACAGGTTCACAGGCCCGGGGAACCACGTGCATGTTTTGGGGCCTCCGTTGTGTCACACCATCTGGGATCAGGACTCAGTTCTGAGTAGACCCCCCTCGGCCTGCCCTGCCTGATGAGGTGTTAGAACCTGTTCAGCTGCCACTCAGCTGCTGCACCCAGGTGGTGGCCTGTGGCTGATGCCTGGGACAGTGGCTGCCTCCCTCCTGGGCGACGTGCCGTGGCCAGCGCCTGTGACAGGCCCACTTCTGGCTGCATGGAGTTGGCGTTTCTGGCATTTCGGGCGGAGTCATGCGGCCTCCTGGGCCCTTGGTCCTCTCCTGTGAACTGGGTGAATGGGACACAGTGTGATGCCCGTGCCTGCTCAGCTTGAGAACCCACGTCTGGGGTGACTTGGGGAGCAGTGGAGTGGGACTGTGGGGTGCCCTGGGCTGGACGTGCTTCTGGCCGTCTTCCATGGCTGGGGGCATTGGGTGAGGAGGCGACGGGAGGGGGAGCGGCAGGAGGCTGAGGGTGGAGGCAGCAATGGTGGGGATGGGGACGGGGTGGGGGGAACCGCGGGGCTGAAGGCAGGCAGCTGCCCCCACAGGTCCCACCCAGCTGTCCCAACCAAGGTGTGCACGGTGTGGGGCAGGAGGGCACTGGTGTAAGCCCCGCATACCCACAGCAGCCCACGTCGGGGGGAGTGGAAGGGGACTCAATTTAAAACGACCTCAGTCATTCCAAGGAAGCACTTTACTGAGGGCGCTGGGTGCCCATCCCACAGTCCCAGGAAGGCAGACACAGGCCAGAACTGTCCACCCTCCATGAGGGCACCCATCCCACAGTCCCAGGGAGGCAGACACAGGCCTGAACTGTCCACCCTCCATGTCCCAAGTGGTGACTCCACTCCCCACTGCTCAGAGATCGCACCCCTTCTGGAGGGATCGCACCCGTTGTGGAGAGCTTGCACGGATGAGTGACTGTCTTCACCCTGGGCTTCCCCAAGTCCAGTGACAGTGACTGCCCCAATGCTGCAGCTGGCTCTGGTGACGATCACACCGCATGGCCTTGAGCTTGGGAGAGCAGTGGCCTGCACGCGTGGTCACGCATCACCGCTTGGCGGAGGATGGGGACATCTCACGGAGATCTGGGTCCCAACCCCACACAGGACAAGGGCCCAGGGACCTGGCTTTCCTACACACCAGCTGGAAGGCTGACTCCCCATCTCACGTGAATGCTCCCTTGGTTTTGGGGGGTACTAGGAAGGTCCCCAGGGCCGCGGGTCACTGCCCAGATCGTGACATCCTCATAAGACTCGTAACTCTTCCCAGAGAAAAGAAAACTCTCAGATGCTCCAAGGACTCCCCTAGTCCAGCTGCTTCCTGTGCCAGGCCCAGACCCCAGAGCAAACAGGCCTGTTCATCCACAGCCTCACAGCTGAGGGCCCCCCTGCAGTTCTTCACAGAAGAGAGAAAGGAAGGCGCACCTGCCCAGCCTGGCCAAGAAAACAAAACCCTCTCCCGTGGATGCGGGAGGCTGCTGCCTTCCTGCGGAGAGCAGCTCAGGGCAATGTCCCTGTGGGCGCCGGCATTCTGGAAGTCTCCCTTGCTCAACAGAAATCTATCCAAGGACCAAGGGCTGGAATCGGCAAAGCCATTCGTGAACAACACCTCATTCTGCCGAGACGGCCCTTGCTTTCAAAGACTGTCACGACCATTGGGAAATGTCACCTCCAGATCAACCTTGGGAAAATCTTTTATTAGGGAGGACAACCTGCAAAATCCTCCCTTTAAGAGCCCAGGCCAGCCCAGAACCTCCAGACCACAGAAGGGGAGTCCTGGGGACATTCTGGTGTGGACAGGCATCTCCACCGCTCCAGCTAGCCAGCACAACACCCACTCCTGCCCTTGGCCGACGTGGCAAACCGGGGAGGCTTTTGTGTGGGGCCAGGGCTGTGGCAGCCACCCTTCAGCTCCTGGGGGCTGGGGAAGACACTGGGGTCCCCGTGGACGGTGGAGCGGCGCTCAGGTCCTGTGGTCACTCGGCGTGCTCCTGCACCTGCTCCCGACGCAGGGCCTGCAGCCGGCTGCCGACAGTCAGCTGCACGGCCTCCAGCCCCTCTGCGTCCAGCTCCCGCAGCAGCAGCAGGATGGCAGTCAGGACGTTCTGAGGGCAGAGAGGGGTGCGGACTAAGCCCACCAAGCACTCCGAGGCTGCTGCCCTCCACAAGGGCTGGGGCCTGGCCAGCGGCACCCCACCACAGAGCACCTGGTCCCGGGGGTGTGGGCCGTCCAAGCAAATGACCATTCGGCACATAACGAGAATCTGAGCAGAGGAGGAGCCCCGCTTGTGAACACGTGTGGCGCTTCTCCCACGTGACTCCTGTTGCCCTCAGCCCAGCAGGGCCTGGGCCCACATTCCACAGACCAGGAGACCAGGAGAGGCTGAGGGGCCAGGACAGCTCCGTGCGGGGCACGTGTGACACGTCTATGCGCATTCGCAGACCCACACACGCAGCTTCCCCCTGGGGCACAGCTCTTCAAGGCCCTGTGAGGCTCCATCCTCCCTCCCCACGATTTCTGTGCAGTGGGCAGAGGCAGCAGTGGCCGCCTAGCAGCCCGTCACTCACCCTGCTCCTGTGGCTGCTCGAAGCATCTCTGGGTGAGAAGGAAGGAAACTGGTCCCGGGAAGGGGGCTTTAGGCCAAGTTCACCCTGGGCGCTGCTGGTGAGAGGGAGACAAAGGTGTGTGAGGGTCAGGGGCTGGTGGCACTGGAGGCCTCTGCAAACCCTGTCTGCAGGTCACATCCAAGCAAAGGACAGGCTCATACAAATCCCACCTGGCACACGGGGAAGAGAAGGGAGGTGACTCCCATGAGGTCAGGGGCTACAGATGGCAGCTCCTGGACAGCCCGGCACTTACTTCACCTGTGGGGCGTCCTCCCTGAACCCTGGGGCTCCCCAGCTGTAATACCTTCCACTGGGGCCTCGGGGGCAGGGTGGGGGGCACCTGTACACAAACGCCAGGGAAGAGCTCCTGACCATGGGGTCAAGCCCTGTGCCAGACAGCAGATGCCTAACGGAGATCACATCCCAATGTCCCCACCACAGGCACCAGCAGTGGGTGTGATCTGCCAAGCAGGAGAGAAGCACCCAGCTTCTATCACACACGTTTGTGACGCACAGCCAACTGCCCTGGGAGGCGCCGGTATCTCGCTGCAGAGTCAGCCCTGTGGCCCCTCCACGGCCCCTGGGCTCAAGGCTGTACGGGCACTGATGGCTGTGCCCACAAACCATTCCAGTGACTGTGGCCCTAGGCCACACCCCCCACCAGGGGCTCCCTGCACCTCACAAGCTCCGGTGCTGCGAGCCTTCTCTGTGCCAGGGCACGGGGCCTGGCTCACCCCCCCTCCTGCTCCCTGGAATCTCCGCTGTTGGGCAAAACATGGACCTGCCACTACCTGGGCACTGAGTCACTCCCAGAGAATACGGATGAGAACGGACACTCGCCCTGGATAATCCCCCTCCCTCACTTCCCGGAGAGGCAGCTCACTGGAAGCCCCATTCGCTCCCCGTGGGAGGACCCTGGGGGACAGGGATGGGCGGAGGCCCCGCTGCCCTCCAGCCTCACATTGCCTCCTCCTCGCTGTCCAGCGGATCCTGGCCGGTCTCAGCAGCGGAGCTGAGGGAGCTCAGTGTGAAGCATGGCTTGGGGCCGCCGTGGCCTGTGCCCTCTCTCTCCGGGGCGGCGGTGATCTCCTCTCCCTCACTCAGTGCACGGGACAGCTCCTCCTCCGTCACAGCTTCGGGATGAAGGACAGAAGACAGCATGAATGGCCTCACCCACATGCAGGCCACACGCGCTGCAGCTCCCGTCCTCACTGCAGCCTCAGGCACAGTCTGCCTGTGAAATGCATGCACGTGTATCCACCTCCAGGGCCAGCTCCCAGAATAGGAGCCGAATAGGAGCCGGTTCCTTCTTGTCCCATCCCTAGCCTGGCACAGGCCGATACACAACAGATGGTGGAGGGCTGCTCAGGAATCTAAACACCAGCCTTGGCCAGAAGCAAATACTCATCAAAACCTCAACTAAGACAACAGAAAAAGGAACAGACGTACTGAATTTATTCCATTTCACTCACATATCAATTTCCCTGAAGTTATTAATAAAATTGTCTGGGAGAAAATATTAGTGCCCGTATAGCTGACAAGGATGAGAAACTAGCGTGCTGAGAATGCCAAGGATTAACAGCATGAAACCGCGGCCTGGAAAACTGCACTGGTGCTGGCGCTGGCCAGAGGAGGCATGAGCGCCTCTAATAGGTGGAGTGCAGCAGCGGGCACTGCGGTGCTGGGACAGCCCCTCCCCACGGCGGGAGCACGACGGCACAGCCACCCTAGGTTCACAGTGGCCCATGGAGCCTGCCCAGTCCCTGTGGACCAGTGCAACGCTGCTTGCCAGATCTTGACGCCCCACTCGCCATGGCGCATGGCAGTGGTCAGAGCAGCACTGTTCCTCACAGAAGCAAAAGGAACCCTTTTGCTTTGCTACCAGGTCCTGCAGTCGCTGGGGGATACACAAACTGTCACAGTCACCGGAGGGACCCTATGCTGCGCTGCTGCATTCAGGTGGCGGGATCAAGAGACACAGAAGCAGGGGAAGGGCCTCTGAGGAGACTTCACAGGGCACATCTGTGTCCCGCCAGACCAGGCATTTGCAGAAAAGGAGAAGAGGAAATAGGGCTGGGGAAATGCCCTGCCAGGGATTGTTTTGCGAGGGCCAGTGACCCCGCTGCGGCCACCTACCCTGGTTGTCCAGCTTCTGTAGGCGCGGCAGGGTGCGCAGCACGGTCATGCGGTAGCGGTGGGGGCTGGTGCCGCAGCACGGGTTCTCGGCCAGCCACAGCACCCTGAGACGCGGCAGCCCCTTCAGGTAGAAGAGCTCGGCCAGGCTGGGGATACGGTTCCTCCGCAGGTACAGCTCGCTCAGGCGCTGGCACCGGCTCACAGGCTCCAGGGTGGAGATGCTGTTGACACTGCATGGAGACCAGCAGTCAGTGAGGGATGTGGACGGGGCCCCCAGGGTCACCTCTCAATCTCGAGCCCCAAGAACAGGCACTCACGGGATCTGTGTCCCTGCCCTCGCCTGAGAAGCCCAAATTGGACGTCATGAGTCATGTGCAGCAGGACCTGGGCCGAGGAGAGAGCCATAGGAAAGCCGGGTCCTGAACTCAAAGGCGGACTGGGGTGGACCCTGCCAGCAACAGTCCCTTTGCCCCATGCTCGGCATCAGCTCCTCAGGGCGCTAGAGTGGGAGGTACGGGCTGTGGCCCTCCTTCACAGGCCGGGAAAACTAAGGCCTCTCAAGGGACATATCATGTTGCTCCAAAGCACGGAGTGCCCAGAAAAACTCATGGCAAAAAACACGAGCCAGCTCCATGTGACATGGAAGTGAGCACGGACCTTTCAAACCCCCACGTGAAAGTGGCGACACTGGGGATGGGCCTCATTTCCATTCTACAGAACGTGGACGCGTCAGAGAAGTAGAGAAACACAGGAGGCCTGCAGCGGAGACCCAAAGGCTTCACCCGACAGCGTGGGGTCTGTCCCCTCCACAAGCGAACACGTGGAGCTGCTCCCACAGGCCCTCAAAGGTGCGGAGCGTCTGCCAGCCGAGAGCCAAGGCCCCCTGCCTGGAGGGTTGCACTCGAGTCCTGCAGGCACCTGGGAAGGGGGCGGTCACCAGGCCGGTGCTGAGCCCGCCTCCCCATGCCACCCCTTCACTGGGTGTTTCCCAGGTATCCTTTCACGCAGCTCCTAGCTATGAGGCCGCCCCATTTTACCAAGAGCAAAACTCAGGCTGTGGGACCCTTTCCAGGATGGAGTCTGCCCCAGGCTCAGGCAGCAGCGTGGTGTGCGGACCACACCCGTGGCCTCAAGCTACCTGCTCCGCTCCAGTGCAGTCGGGCGTGGTGTGCAGTCGACGTGCAGGCACCACACACCTGAACTCGGTGAACACCCTCCGGGTCCTGTCCCTCCTGAGACGCGACAGAAATGGCCCCACACATGAGAGGCCTGATGCTCGGAGGCCCTGCGGCCCCTGGGCGACTCAATGCACTGCGGGGATAGGACTGGATCCACAGCCCCGCCCCAAGCTTCCTGCCATCGTGGGAGCCACAAGCTCCACCTTTCCCTGTCAGGTAAGGCTTTCGGAGGCAGAGCTGAAATCCCAGCCTCGCCGTAAACATCGCCTGACTAGTGAAACGAGCCCCGCGGCAGGCACAGACACCCCTGTTCAACCTCTGGACTCAGGCTCCATCTCCTCCTCGTCTCCCTGTGGGGTGGGCACTTATAATACCTCTGTGTTACAGGAAGGAAACTGAGGCACAGAGAGGGCCACGCCCTGCCCAAGGTTAGCCAGCTGATGGGTGGGAGGGCTGAGATTTGGCTCAGGAGCATGCCTCCAAGCCCATTTCATTCATCGGTTCATTCAGCAAGACTCGGGCAGGACAGGCTGATGCCCGCGCTGGGGATGCCTGAATACCAGATGGACTGGCCTCAGCCCCTGGCAGGCAGCAGGCTGTGCACTGGCATTACCATGGCAATGCCAACCTCGGAGGGTGTTACAGAGGATGGGCAGGGGCTGGCCTAGCCCGTGGCTGCCTGTGAAATCAAGAAGGTAGGTCACAGGGACCAGGGGCCTGCAACAGCTACTCTCAGAGGGCAAGGCCTGGAGGCTTCCGAGCTGCCAAACAGAAGGGTGGGCCTTCCCCACAGGGTTTAAACCTTGTGAGCTTTTAAATGCGGAAACCCAGAGAAGGCTCCCACCCAGCGTCTGGTGGGCAGCGGTGAGCCATGAGCGTCCGCTCCCTCCCTGGGTCACACAGTAGGCAGGAGGGAATTCAGGGATAAAGGAAGCTCTTCTCTTCCCCAGAGCCCCCAAACACGCCCCAGCTGCCTAAAACTCCAGTAACATTTGTTCATTCAAGGTTCCCTTAGTCTGTTGGGAGGGCAGTGACCATAGTAGAGGGGCACAGGTCATGGGGTGCAGAGAAACTGGTCAGCAGTGGTGGCACTGGCGGGGAGAAAAGGCCAGGACCCTGGGGGTCTCGGGGCAGATGTGGCCACTATGAGGGCGGCCAGGGCAGGCCACCGTGCATCCTTAGGCGGGCTCCACCACCGACTGGCCCAGTGAACACAGCGATGGCTTATGGGAGCACACAGGCCAAGGGTGGGCAGGGGTACAGCAGGGCAGGCAGGGAACAGGAGCTATCAGGAGGCCCAGGTGAGGCTCTGAGGAAGGAGGGCAGACATGGGGCCACGGGGTAGACCCAGCTCTCGCTGTCCCGGCCCCTCCCCTTCTGGAAGCCGCCCTCAGTCTGTGCTGGAGGTTTCTAGGTTATGTCATAGCACTGGGTCCCACAGGAGGGACGTGAGGCTCTGCCCCAGCTTCCAGGCCCCAGGCTGAGCATGACGGCAGGAGCAAGGTACCTGAGCGTGATCACCTCCAGGCTGGGCATCTCCCGGCAAATGGAAATCTAGGAGGAAAAGAGCATGACTAGCAAGCACGGCCCAGCAGGGCATTGCGGTCGCACTGCCGTCAGCCACAGAGAACTGTCGCAGCCATGGCCAACCCACTTCCGGGGCCTGAGGGGCACAGCCCTGCTCAGCCAGTGTGCCCAGGGTGAATGCCCACGAGCATGCCAGGCTCCCCTCTGATGCCACCTTGCAGCCCAGACACCCCGCAGACTGAAGGAGAAACGTGAGGCTCCTCCTTTCACGCACTCTCTCTTTATTACATTTTACAGCAGCATCGTTGCTATCAGATGCTGCCAGCAGTGGAGACAGAGCGCTCATTACTTTAGATGTCCTCAAAGGACATCAGGTAAGGGGACCCCAGTGTCCTCTATGCAGGAACAGAAAGCAAGGAAAGGATGGAAATCCCTTCTTGATAACAGGTCTGGGCCAAAAGGAAGACAGGCTTAAAACTGGATCTCAGATCACACTGGTACTGTCAATTCAGGGGTGAGGTGCCCAGGGTGGTCCACAAAGCCTTCACAACCTGGAAAGCCCCCACATATGTGAGAGCCCACCATATGCCAGGCATGGCACCAGCAGATTGGGTGACTGGCAGGGCCCCAACCTCAGCGAGCTCAGAGCCTAGTGAGATGCATCCCATGTATAAGGGACTCGTGTCTATGACCATGGTGTGTTTATATAGTCACTGCTAAACATGCAGTATTTCAGTTACAGCACAAAACAGATTACATCCGGTGCCATGTGTCCAGGCTTTTTTTTTTGTCTTTAAGGAAAGGTACAGTTCAAATTTAAAAAACAGAGAATAAAGAGATAAATAATAATTGGGCTGGACATGGTGGTTCACGCCTGTAATTCCAACACTTTGGGAGGCTGAGGCAGGTGGATCACCTGAACTCAGGGGCTTCAAGACCAGCCTGTCCGACACAGTGAAACCCCATCTCTACCAAAAAGTACAAATATTAGCCAGGCATGGTGGTGGGCGCCTGTAGTCCCAGCTACTCAAAGGCTGAGGCAGAAGAATCGCTTGAACCCGGGAGGTGGAGGTTGCAGTGAGTGAAGATCGCGCCACTGCACTCCAGCCTGGGCCAAAAAAAAAAAAAAAACAAGAAAGAAAGAAAGAAACAATTGGTATGCAAGCCTTGTGTAAGTTGGAAGTTGGGGACATTTTGGACTGAGAAAGAGAATGAGGGAAGAGAAGAAAGGAATCTTTTCACAGACGCACACGCTCAAGTTCTCCCAGCAGGGCTTGTTCTCTGCCGCCTTTGGGGTAGCGGTGGGGGGCACAAGGCTAGATGTGACCAAAAAGAGGGGGTGCAGACCTTCAACTTCCCCTTAACAAAGTAAAACAAACCGTCCTGGGATTCCTTTCCAGGTGATAGCAAGTTCCAAACTATTGCTCCCCTCCTCTGTGACCAAGTGACAAACAGCGTTTCATTTATGTTGACGGGAACAGCAAAATCAGCCTGGTACTGGAGAATTGTTTTTCCATTAGTGGTTCTACATAACGAAACCCGCCAAGTGAACAAAGTACCAAGTGTGGGACTGAACTGATAGGGGCAGTTTTGTCAACTTAAAAATTCTCTTGGGGAAGAAGCTACAACATTTGGGACTGAGGCCATTTGGAGATGATCAGAGCAATACTTACATCTGTGAGGCGGCTGCCCCTGGGGAGAGAAAAGATACTTTAATTTTGTTAAAGTTGAATAAAAAACACTGAAGACAAAAATTCCAAAAATTACCAATGACTCCCTACAAACCTTAAGATTCTAGCATTTTAATGGCGTGGCAAAAAAGGAAGGTTGCCCAGATAACCGGCAAAGGTGTAAACAACTGTTTTACTTGATTTTCAACTACACTGTATGACGTTGGGGTGGTACCTTTTAGATAAGGAGCAGCAGAGCCATTTGTAAGACACGAAAAGATGAACTGTTCCTCATGGTCCCTGAATAGCAGAAGGTTAATATCTCTCACTGACAGACATCAACAAGGGCGTCTTTATAAGAGGCCAAGTTCAAAGGGTGAACAGGCGACTTATGAAGCAAACTTTAAAAGCCTGAAATCGGGTTGTTGTTTCTTCCAGCTTAGTGAGAGTACTGACAACCCCGTGCAAAACAAAGAAATGCATTATTGAAAGCAAATGACACAGGGGAATTGTAGCCAAAACACCAGATGTGCCAGGGCAGACAGAAAAGCTTTTTAATTAACAGGGAAGAGCTCGCTCTGGGCAGTATGGGGATACCCCTGGGAGGAAGCGCCTGCTCTCCCTGACCCCCACGCCCCGCCTGCAGGGTGCGGCCAGTTGACAGGGCGCAGCGACTCCGCTGAGTCCCCAGGGAGCCCTGGAGATCGTGCGGGCCTCAACTCCAGGCTGCCTCCTCTGGAAGCTCCTGGTCCTCCTTGGCCTGGTGAGACTCAGCGTTACCCGCTTTTGAGCCTTCATGGGTCCCACCGCACCCACGTCCCTTCCTATCACCTGCCAGGCGTACCCTTGGCACGGCCGCCCCCAGTACTGATTACCTACGTGTTTCCTGACTCAGTCCTCGAGAACTCAGTTCTCTCTCCTATTCGACTTGGTCCCAGTGACTGCTGGCAACCCCAGACATCAGATCTGGCCCACAGGGCAGCCGGGGCAAAGGCGGGCCGGGAAATGGGGGGGCCCCGGCGACCCCGACCCCTGGTCTCCTCTCCTCCCTGACCCCTGACTCCTTTGACGCCCTCGCCCCTGCACCTGACCCCGTTCCACTTCCGCACCTGCCCCCGTTCCACCCCCGCCCCCGCCCCCTCCCCGGCTCCGCCCTCACCCCAGTCCCCGCCCTGGCCCCGCCCCCGCTCCTCCCCCGACCCCGGGGCGGCCGCGGCCAGGCCCCGCCTCACCAGCAGTTGAGCTTGCGCACGCTGTGCAGCTCCGAGGCCTTGGCCCGGGTCAGGACCATCTTCCGCGTCAGCTTCATGGCGACCGCCCAGGCCCGGCCGGCGGGCGCCCCCGGCCTCCTGCTCCCGGGCGGGTGACGACTGCGCGGCGCGTGTCTCCAGGGGCGGGGCCCACGTCGTCAGGGGCGGATCCTGAGCCCATTGGCGGCTTGGCGAGGAGAGCGGGGCGAGGAGAGCGCCCTGGGGCCGCTTGGGCGCCGCTGACACGTTGGCTCTGCTCCTGCGCATGGGCGGCCTGGGGCGCCCGGCTCTGACGCGATTCTAACGCGACTCCGGAAGCGCGCGGCGAGCCGTGGGTGGGTGCAGGTGGCGGTCCCGGAGGCGGCCCCGTGAGGGCTGAGCTGCCGCTCCCTGGAACCGAGCGGGGTGGGCTCGGTCCCACGCGTACCATGGCCGAGTGCGTAGGCCTGTCTCTGAGCGCGGGCCTAGCGTGGATGGGATGGGCGCTACACAGCTCCAAGTTACGCGATTCAAACTCTTGGAATAAACCCAGGGCAGCCCTGGGGCTGTGTTGATTCCCTGTCTCGCTCCCTCCCAGCATTTACAGAAAAGACGCATTTATAGGAAAGACGTACGGGCAGGTCCAGCAGAGCCCTTACAAGCATTTCAGCCTTTTAGAAATCAGGTAAGACCCCCTAAACATCGTTACATGGGCCACAGTTACATTAAGACGGGCATTCTGAAACCGCCTTTGCCAAAAATTGTATCAGTGAGAGAATGATGGCCCTGAAGGAGATCTGGCCAATCCCCATCTTGCCTTTGTCCTTGAAGCTGCCCTTAATTATTCCTGGATAAGCAAAGCTAATTTTGGGAGACATTTATAGTTTAAATGATAGCAGCCCTTCCTCAAAACTAAACAGCCTTTGTAAAGGTAATGAGACCACGGGAACCGCCTTTGCAAAAATCGTAACTGAAGAAATTATGACAGGGAAAGATCTCCTAACGCACCCCATCTTCCTGCTATCCTCTAAACTGCCTTTGTTCATTCGTGGGTGTAGACCAGACTAGCCTTGGGAAGGAATTTAGTTTATAGATTAAACTCTGAAACAAAATTGATAATAGCCCTTTCCCAAAAAAACCCTTCTTGCCTGGGGACCAGTCTGCCTTTGTAGGACTAACAAATTAAGCTATGAGATGAAAAATTACAGTTTAGGGGCTGGCAACCTCTGGCGGCAATAGTCTGAACCTCCCCAAATTGCTCCTGGGAATAACATCACTGTTGCAAAACTTAAGATCAGTGCTTGAAATGTTTTGTAGACCCTGCATTCGGACATCACTTAGACAGATAATCTGGCTCAACCATTTGTGCGATCCCACCCAGGAACAGAAGTCAGCCAGAACTCATTTCGAACCCTTATGATTTAATCTTCAACCTGACCAATCAGTACTCACCACTTTCTGAGCCCTACCCGCCAAATTATCCTTAAAAACGCTGATCCCTGAATGCTCGGGGAGACTGATTTGAGTCATAAAACTCCATTCCTGCACAGCCAGCTCTGCGTGAATTACTCCTTCTCCACTGCAATTCCCTTGTCTTGATAAATCGGTTCTGTCTAGGCAGTGGACAAGGTGAACCCGTTGGGCGGTTACACCACCAGGCTAGAAGGATAGAGGAGCCTGAATTCCACTAAGGTGCAGGCGTAAACTTTCGTCAGCCATTTTTCTGGAGGTCACAAGACAAGCTACTTCCCCAGTTACTCCTGCAGATAACATCACTATTGTAGAACATCACTATTGTATCTTTTCAGGTTTATTGCACGTCTGACATGGATGGACCCAGCTAGATATCTTGCCAACGGCTCCTGTGGCCCCACTCAGAAGCCATGCAGCACAAAAGGACCAAAAGGACAGCTAGATTTCATCAATCTTTCACCAACCAATCAGCACTCCCCATACCTTAGCCCCCTGCTCACCAAACTATCTTTGAAAAACCCCTAACCTGTGAGCCTTCAGTTGTAACCAAGCAGCTTAGCAGCTGTGAATCCAAAATATCTGAGACAGGTCTCCATCAGTTTAGAAAGTTTATTTTGTCAAAGTTAAGGATGAGCCCATGACATGGCCTCAGGGGGTCCTGACAACACGTGCCCAAGGTGACTGGGGCACAGCTTGCTTTCAGACATTTTTAGGGAGACATGAGACATCAATCAATATGTGCAAGATGGAAAAAGAAGAGAAAAAGAAAAAATGTATGTATAAGATGTACATTAGTTCTGTGCGGAAAGGCAGGACAACTTGAAGGCTGGCGGGGGCAGGGGGAGCTTCCCGCTTCCAGGTCATCGGTAGATAAGAAACAAAAGATTGCATTCTTGGCCGGGTGCGGTGGCTCACACCTGTAATCCCAGCACTTTTGGAGGCTGAGGCGGGTGGATCACAAGGTCAGGAGATCGAGACCATCCTGGCTAATACAGTAAAACCCCATCTCTACTAGTAATAATAATAATAATAATACAAAAAATTAACTGGGCGTGGTGGCGGGCGCCTGTAGTCTCAGCTACTTGGGAGGTTGAGGCAGGAGAATGGTGTGAACCCAGGGGGCGGAGCTTGCAGTGAGCTGAGATTGCGCCACTGCACTCCAGCCTGGGCGACAGGGGAGACGACGTCTCAAAAAAAAAAAAAGAGCTTAGTTCTCAGGTTGGTGTAAGATGTGGGATGACAGAAAAGTCTCAGAGCAGTGTCTTCTGAGCGCTTTGCCTCCGAGCAGGCAGAATGTTCAGTGCTAACGAGGCTGAGCTGGACCCCAGCAGAGTGGTAAGAAACTTCCAGCGGGCTCAGGCTGCGGGTGCTTGCGGGCGCACAGTGTGACGGCCACAGGCCTCAGCACTCTGGTGGGCTCACGAAGGCTCAGCTGGACCTACGTCACACTACGTCACAGCCTTGGCCCTCTGCCCAGCCCTGGGCCTCCCTTCTTTACAGGGGGTGAGTTAGGCACGCTGCTCCCCAATAAATCTCAGGGGGCCGCACACAGAGCCTGTTTCCCAGAGACATGGAGGGTGGGGGACACGGGAGCTGCCAGTCGAGTCTTTGAAGCAAGGCCAGCACCGCTGTCACCAGGCACATGGGGCCCACACCCGCTTTGTGGTTTCAGCCAGTGGGTCAGGGTTTCTGGCTCGCAGCCGGGGGTACTGCTGAGGACAAGGTACCATGGATCAACCGCTGCTCCCTCCTGCCCTGACAGCTGGGGGCTCTGCAGGGCTCAGCAGGGCAGGCTGACCCCCAACCCAGGGCAAACGCTATCCTGACACCTGGCGCTGAGTCCCAAGCACTCCAGGCCCCATCCTTGTGTCTCCTCTCCTCCACCACCTTTGCCCCATAGGTGACACCCCCAGTCCAGACCCCCTCCAGCCCGATGTCCTAGTCACCTGTGCTGCATAACAAATCACCCCCAGACTTAGCAGCTCACAGTAGACGCTGCTGTCTCCCAGTTTCTGAGGCTCAGGCGTCTGGAGCAGCTGAGCTGTGTGGCTGGGCTGGGCCTCCTGGGAGGGAGGCGGGGCCGTCTCTGAGGACCTGGCTGGGGTCTCCCAGCTGCCCCACAAGGTGTCGGCGGTTGGCTTCTCTCTCTGCAACATGGCCTCTCACAACATACCCTCCCGAGGCGTGAGGGATAAGGGGGGCAGGGAGAAGGGGAGAGGAGGAGAGAGACAAATGGAGAGTCAGCAAACGTGCTCTGGAGTTGAAGTTTTCATGATCTCAGAGCAACTACCTCTTCCCTGCCCATGCTGCTGGCCTCACCACCCACCTGGCACCACTTGGGGGCAGAACCCGGTCCACTCCACGACACGTCCCTTAGGCAAACTTTGGAACTGCTTGGGTGGCAGGTGCAGCGCACCCCTCCCAGATCCCCTTGGGAACTCCAGACTTCTCCCTTGGCCTCAGGAGCCAGTGCGGTGGGTAGCCTGCCTGACCCCTGGCTGACCGAGGACCCCCGGCTGGTGCTGCAGATGGTTCAGATCCCTGTGGCAGATCAGAGCCAGGCCTGGGCGAAGGGACAGGCAGCGCGTGTTGCTTTATAATTTTTCAGTGTCCTGAGAGGTCTTCAGGCCTTGTGGTCATTGCTGCTCTGGGAGCCGTCGGGGCAAGGGTGCCGGCATGGAGAGTGCATGGTGGCCACGCTGGCTGCAGTCTTCACCCTGGAGTGGCGTCCATCACTGTCCTTTCACATTTTAAGAGGAGTTCTGTTGTATAAGATGTTTCCGGAATGCAGATGACTCTGTGGACTCCAGAGATGAAAAGAAACATGTCTGTTCCCTTAGCCTGAAGCCCACTGCTCTAGACCAGGTGTCCGCAAACTGCAGCCCGCTGGCCAGATTGGGCCCACCACCTGTTTGCAAATAAAGGTTTTTTTGTTTTGTTTTTTGTTTTATTTTTTTGAGATGGAGTCTTGCTCTGTCACCCAGGCTGGAGTGCAAGGGCCTGCTCACTGCAACCTCCTCCTCCCGGGTTTAAGTGATTCTCCTGCCTCAGCCTCCTGAGTAGGACTATAGGTGTCAGGCCTCTGAGCCCAAGCTAAGCCATCATATCCCCTATGATCTGCATGTGTACATCCAGATGGCCTGAAGTAATTGAAGAATCACGAAAGAAGTGAAAATGGCCGATTCCTGCCTTAACTGATGACATTACCTTGTGAAATTCCTTCTCCTGGCTCAGAAGCTCCCCCACTGAGCACCTTGTGACCCCCGCCCCTGCCCGCAAGAGAACAACCCCTTTGACTGTAATTTTTCTTTACCTACCCAAATCCTATAAAACGGTCCCACCCCATCTCCCTTCGCTGACTATTTGCACCCAGTCTGCAAAGTTGAATACATACTAGTGCACAGCTATACTGTATTTGTTCATTTTTGCATTGCTATTTTAAAAACCCCTCAGATCGGGTAATTTATAAAGACAGAGGACTAACTGGCTCACAGTTCTGCAGACTGTACAGGTGGCTTCTGCTTCTGGGGAGGCATCAGGAAGCTTCCAATCACGATAGAAGGCAAAGTGGGCAGGCGTCTTACATGGCAGGAGTAAGAGAGAGAGACGGGCAGGTGCCACACACTTAAACGACCAGATCTCGCAAGAACGAACTCTCTGTTATGGGAACAGCACCAACAGGACGGTGTTCAATCATTCATGAGAAACACCTCCTTGATCTAATACCTTCCACACTGGGGTTTACAATTTTTTTGACACAGAGTCTCGCTCTGTTGCCCAGGCTGGAGTGCAGTGGCATGATCTCTGCTCACAGCAACCTCCCCTTCCTGGGTTCAAGTGATTCTCCTGCCTCAGCCTCTGAGTAGCTGGGATTACAGGCGCATACCACCACGCCTGGCTAAGTTTTGTATTTTTAGTAGAGATGGGGTTTCACCATTTGACATGGCTGGTCTTGAACTCCTGACCTCAAGTGATCTGCCTGCCTCGGCCTCCCAAAGTGCTGGGATTACAGGTGTGAGCCACTGTGCCCGGCCTGGGGATTATGATTTGAAATGACATTTGGGTGGGGCACAGAGCCAAACCACGTAACATACCGATTCATTTATGTAGTTGACCCTTGAGCCACTCAAGAGTTAGGGGCTCCGACACCCCTTAAAGTTGAAAATTTGTGTATAACTTTTGACTCCTCCAAAAGTTAACTACGAATAGCTCACTATTGACCAGAAGGAAGGCCTACTGATAGCATAAACACATATTTTGTATCTTGTATGTATTATAAACTGTTCCTACAATAAAGGGAGCTAGAGAGATGAAAATGTTATTAAGAAAATCGCAAGGAAGATAAAATATATTCACATTAAGTAGAAGCAGGTCACCTGGGCACGGTGGCTCACGCCTGTAATCCTAGCACTTTGGGAGGCTGAGGCAGGCGGATCACGAGGTCAGGAGATCGAGACCACGGTGAAACCCTGTCTCTATTAAAAAATACAAAAAATTAGCTGGCGTGGTGGTGGGTGCCTGTAGTCCTAGCTACTTGCTACTTGGGAGGCTGAGGCAGGAGAATGGTGTGAACCCGGCAGGCAGAGCTGGCAGTGAGCGGAGATTGAACCACTGCACTCCAGCCTGGGCGACAGAGTGAGACTCCATCTCAAAAAAAAAAAAAAAGTAGAAGCAGGTCATCATAAAGGCCTTGTCTTCCTGTGAGCAGGAGAAGGGGAAAGAGGAGGGGGTGGTCTAGCATCTCAGGGGTGGCAGAGGTGGAAGAAAATCTGCGGAGAAGTGGATCCCCACAGCTGAAATCTGTGTCGTTCAGGGTCAGCTGAATGGCCCACGGCTGCCTTCCCACTGCAAGGGCAGAGGCCAGGAGCTGGGACAGAGACCACGTGGCTGGCAAAACCCGCCGCAGCGACTGTGCAGCCCTGTGCAGAGAGTTTGCTGCCCCTGCTCTAGCTCGGGCCTCCCTCCTTCCTGGAGTCTCCTCTGAGGAGCCCGCCACCTGTCACCTGCTCCTGCGTCCCACTCAGGACCAGAGTGTGCCAGTGCCTGTGGCCCCGTCACTGCCTTTTTCTCCAGTTGCGGTTTTCTCCTGCTGCCAGAGCAAGGGCCTTTTTTACCTGGGCCTCGTGCCCACACTGTGAGAAACACTTTGTGCCAAGTGCTTTCTCTCTCTGAACTCGAGAGGACTCACAATGGAGATCGGTACCTGCCCTGTTCGAGTTTTATGGTTGCGTGTCCTCTCTTTTATGGGAAGAATATCGCATAATTGCTGCTGCAGCAGCGTCCGGGCAGACAGACGTGGCCCTCTGTGGAGTGTGCGGTTCTTCTCTAGAAGGCAGGAGCCGTTCCCAGGGTGATGTGGGCCCGGCTATTTCATCAGAGATGGTCATCTTGGTGACTACTTCACCTTAAATAACGTTCCCACAGAGGCCCAGGATACTTGGAAACAGCGCCCAGCCCGTCTCGCGGATGGCTCGGCAGTTATGACTGTCTTATAAAATATTAACTGCCCTGCAGTGTGTTTTCGGCTAACGGCATGGCTCTCCAGCCAGAAAGCACACAGGGCAGGGGCACTGGATGGGGCTCTGCTGACACGGAGCGGGTGAAAGGGAGGGGGTCTTCTCTTCCTTTGACTGTTAAGGAGGGTCTAAGACACGTCGCTGGGCATGTGGCTGGTGGTCATAGAACCCAACTCCTGCAGCGGGTGCCCATCGAGCACTTCTAGTTTGTAGGGTGGACTGGACGGAAGACTGTGCCGTCCAGCAGGGCAGAGCAGCTGCTTGTGCGGCCCCAGGCACAGCTGCAGGTCTGTGGGGACACTGCTGGCCACTCTGGAGGGCAGCTTCTGGCAATGCTTGTGCAGAGCACAGTGTCCTGAGTACTGTCCTACACCAGAGGCTCTGACCGCTTTCCCACCACTTTGCAGGTACCAGGATGGTGGGTTAGTGAGATGGTGGACATGCTTCAGCACATGGGCACTGCTGGCTGGCTCATCTGTGGAGGGCCTTCTAGAGGTATGTGCTCAGGGCAGGAGTCTGGGCAGAAGGCCTGCACATCCAGGGAGGAAATGAGGGTGCAGGTCAGGCAGGAGTCGGGGGGCACCCTCCCTCCCCCCAGATCAGAGGCCACAGGGCCTCTTCACTTCCCTGGACATGAGGCTAGTGGGGCCCAGGAATGGCAGCCGGGTATCGCCCACTGGTGGCAAGGCAGGGGCGGACTGCGTGGCTTTGTGGGGTGAAAGGGCATCTGGGTGGTCTAGGCCATTTGGGAAAGGTGCAATCACTTTCTCAGGCATCGGAGGGCAGTCCCTGTCCCTCCCCAAGCCAGAGAGTGGGCACCACACAGGGTGGAGTTAGACATCCGTAGGTCCCCGTGGCCAGCACCTGCCATGATGGGGACTGCTGGGCTTGATCTTTCTGGCTTGATCTTTCTGGCTGTTCTTGTCCCCTTCCTTGAGACAGATCCAGGGAGCAGGCCCTGAGCCTGCCCCAGCCTTGGGGTCCTGCCTGTCTCACTGGGAATGGTCCCTGGCTCTGGGGTCATATCCGGAGTGCTGGGGAAGGGGGCTGCAGAGGTCTTTGAGCAGGTGGTCCTGAGTCCCATTGTTGGGGGGTCTCACTCAGGCCCAGGTCCCCCTGCGACTCCTGTCCTGCCTGTCCCGCTCCCGCTGGCTATTCGGGATTTAAAGATAATCGCCGGTTTAAAGGAGACAGGTGCCCCCAACCCTCAGAAGGCACACATCCGTGCGAGTGTCCGGTCCCAGGTCTCTGGGGAGGGCGGGCCCGCAGGTGGGGTGTCTGGGCCTCGTCTTCCCTGGCGTGTCCTTGGCTCTGCGGGCGCGGGACGCGGCGCGGGAGGCGCTCTCCGGACTGACTGACGCAGAGCGCTGCGGGCGGCTCCACTGCACCGCGCACGCGGCGCACGCTCAGGCGAGATGCGGACGGCCTCGCGGGGCCAGGGAGGCGGTGCTGCGCGGAGACACGGGTGACGCGGGGGTGCGGGCTGCTCCGAGCAGGTAGGTGCCCGCCGGGGACAGGGCGAGAGCGCGAGCTCGGGCGCTGGGACGGAGGCGGCCGGCCAGGGAGCTTGTGAAGGTTGCAGTGGGGTGCAGGGGCGTAGGAGGGGTTCGGGGCGCTGGTGCAGGGCACGGCGGGGTGCAGGGGCGCAGATGGGGCTCGGGGCGCTGGTGCAGAGCGCGACGGGGTGCAGGAGCCCGGGTGGGGCTCAGGGCGCTGGTGCAGGGCACGGTGCGGTGCAGGGGCGCAGGAGGGGTTCAGGGCGCTGGTGCAGGGCACGGTGGGGTGCAGGGGCGTGGGTGGGGCTAGGGGTGCTGGTGCAGGGCGCGGTGGGGTGCAGGGGCGCAGGAGGGGTGCAGGGCGCTGGTGCAGGGCACGGCGGGGTGCAGGGGCGCGGGTGGGGCTCGGGGCGCTGGTGCAGGGCGCGGCGGGGTGCAGGGGCGCGGGTGGGGTTCGGGGCCACTGGTGCGGGGCGCGGTAGGGTGCAGCGGCTGGCGGGGTTCGGGGCGCTGGTGCAGGGGCACCGGTAGGGTTCGGGGCGCGGACTGGGGCGCCTAGTGTGTGCAGAGGCGCAGGGCTCTGACTCGGATCCGCGAGCAGTCCGCAAGACGCCTTGCCGCTGCGGCGACCCTGTCGGGCTGGCGCGAGGGGACCGGGAGATGAGGGACTCAGCCGTCCTCGGCCCCTGCCAGTCCGCCGGGACGGCAGGGCTCGCTTCCGGGACGCTTACTTCCTCTGTCCCAGCACCCGCCTCTGCCAGTCCAGTCTCCGAAGGACTGGCTTTCACGCGGGGATTTCAGAGGATGCCAGAGCAACCTCCAGAGAGGGCAGGGTGGCCACATGGTGTACCGAGGGAGTGCAGGGCGCGCCTGTCCCAGTCCTGCTGGTGCAGGAGGCCCGCCCTGCCCAGACAGAACCTTCCATTTCCCCAGGAATCTGCTGGGCTGGGCTAGGCTGGGCTGGCTGGGGGCGGCAGGCACACCAGGATCCTCTTGAGTTGCCTGGTCCTAGGCTCAGGTGCCAACGAGTCTTCCTGAATTCCGCCCAGGTGGGAGTGCTCTTCCCATCGCCACCCCTGGATGCAGGGCCCCCGGGGCTGAGGACGGGGTTGCTCAGTGGCTAACCCTGAAGGGCATGGAATGCTGCCCCAACCCAGGCTCCCTCAGGGGCTCCACTGCACCCCTTTCTCCTGGGAATACCTCTGTGCAGGGTTCGGGTTTGGAAATCCACCCCACATGGGGCCTTGCCCTTCCCAAGCCTGCTTCATGCATCTGTCTTCTGGAAGTTCGTTTCCTTCCTGAGTGCTCTCAACACTCACACCTGTGCCAGTTGCGTGTGGAGAATTTTAGCTGTGAACCAGGTGGCCCAAGCTGTCCTCAGGTGACCTGTGAGAAAGGGATTGAGAACCCCAGAGGGCTGGTTGGGCCCTTGGAAGGTCATTGCCAGGCCTGGGTTTCAGGGTTCTGCACCCCTGGGCTGAGGCACACGTCCTTTTGGGGACTGGGTCGAGCCAGTGGCCCCCCACAGCAGGCATCAGATGCTCACGGGGGCTCCTGGCTGCCTCCTGCAAAGTCTGGGGTGGTGTTGGAGCGGGTCTGACCTGCTCCCCAGGGCCTGCTTGCCGCTGGGATTAGAGGAACCTGCACAAGACTCCAGGGGCTGTGCTGAGGTGGGCAGCTGCCTGAAAGATGAGCGTGTGAACAGAACATGCTGGTCTTCCTTAGGGCAGAGAGTCCCTCACCGCGGACCCTCCCGTCTGATGCTGGGGCCTTTGTTTCTAGCATGGAGCCATCCTCATCCCATGCAGGGTGGACTACCTGCCTGGGGAGCCACCTGCAGTCCTGGGTCCTCTTGTGGGTGCGACTGCGAGCTCTCCAGAGCCGCCTCTTCCTCCTGCCACTGCGGACGTCTCTGTCCCTCTGCTTCCCTTGGAAGCTGGTTGTGAAGCCAGGCCAGTGGCTGCTGGGACAGCTCATGGCCCTGGAAAGGCTCCACTGGCACGCGGCACAACATCTGCTCTGAGAACGGCAGGAAAAGGCCGGGAAGGGCAAGTTAAGTTTAGTGGTGTGGCCAAGGGGCGAAGGGGAGGAGGGAGAGTGTGGGAGGTGGGGTGGCCTGAGAGTGCCTGCCACAGGACAGCAGCCAGAAGCTCAGCCCCGAGCTCCCGGCACTGAGCTTCAAGCTCCGTGGCCTGCAAGAGGGGCTCAGTCACCTAATGTGATGAGGGGACGGCAGAGCAGTCTTGTCTGACAGTGACCGTCATGTGTAGTGGAGAGGACATGGTCAGAGATCGGGTTTCAGGGCAGGGATGAGTGGGGAATTGCAGTCAGATCTTTTGCCTCCAAGCAACCCTCCCGTTCACATTTTGGGGCAGTGGCTGGGGGTGACCATGGATGACCTCATGAGAACCGCATTGTGGGTGCCAGGGGCTCAGGGAGACCCTGCAGGGCTTGAACTCGCTTATGTTTCTCATTTGTAAAGGGAGGGCAGTCATCTGGTGGCTTCCTATGGCCTCAGTGATGAAGGCCACATCAGAGCCAGGGAGAAAGGACATGAGAGAATAAGATTCCTTTGAATTATTGTCTGTGTCCTGGAGTGGAGAGATGTGGTACCCCCCAAAACTTCCTTTCTAGGCTGGGCACGGTGGCTCACACCTGTAATCCCAGCACTTTGGGAGGCGGAGGTGGGTGGATTGCCTGAGGTCAGGAGTTCGAGACCAACCTGACGAACATGGTGAAACCCTTTTGCTACTAAATACAAACAAAATTAGTGGGGCATGGTGATGGGTGCCCATAATCCCAGCTACAGGGGAGGCTGAGGCAGGAGAATCACTTGAACCTGGGAGACGGAGGTTGCAGTGAGCCAAGATCGTGTCACTGCACTCCAGCCTGGGCGACAGAGTGAGACTGTCTCAAAAATCAACAACAAGAAACTTCCTTTGTGGACAGTGGGGGCTATTTTTTTTTTATTTTTGGAATATGAAAGTAGTGACTGGTGTCTGGAAGCAGGAGCTGTGCACGGTTGCGAAACCACGTCGCCGGCAGCCGGCGCTGGCCACGGAGACTTCTCAGTGCAGCCGGGGGGCGGGGGCTGCACCCGTGGGGGAGGGAGCTCTGTCTCTGGCCCTGCAGTGACCTGAGGTTGTTACCATTATGAATGGGCACTGGGACCCCTGCATGTGCATGTACTGCCCCGGAGTGTCCAGGGGCCCCAGCCAAGGGACAGAGCTCAGGCAGCCGGGAAGACGTGCAGGCTGATGAAGAGAACCGGATGAGGGCTTCACGTGAGGAAGCATGTGGCCTTCTCAGAACACCAGCCTCATCTTCCTGTCTCTGATCTATTTCAGCAACCACCCCGTGTGTTTCTAGAACCCCCAGTGTAGTGAGCTGGAGGGAGGACTGTCCTGAGGGCAGCAGTCCTGGTTGCAGCTGGCGTGGAGGTCCCAGGATGGAGCCCTCGGCCCTGAGGAAAGCTGGCTCCGAGCAGGAGGAGGGCTTTGTGGAGCCGCCCAGGAGGGTCGCTGACCTGGGGATGGTCTCCAATCTCCGGCGCAGCAACAGCAGCCTCTTCAAGGGCTGGAGGCCGCAGTGCCCCTTCGGCAATGACAAGGTGAGCTTTCTGCCGGTCAGCCTGCAGCTGGCACGTGGCCGCGGAGGTCACTGTTGGGCACGTTGCAGCTTGAGGCTGTGACGATGGGGGTGGGCAAGGGTCTGCTGACCTTAGGGGCTCCCACCCAGCCATGCCCTTGGGAAAACACAACTGGGGAGGGTGATGCGTGGCTGGCCTTTCTGGCCTTCCCTGCGTTGCACGATCATTTCCCATGGTTGGTCTGATTGGGAAATCACTGGGTTAACTCAAAAATGTTGCGCTAGAGTCCTGGCAATCTGTTACCCATGCTTACCTTGTTGCATAATGATTTCACATCCTTTGTCTGATTGGGAGGGCCTGGGCCTGGGCTAGCTTTCCCCCAAGTCCTGGATACAAAGATGCAAGTGTGTTGAAAGCACATGGAATCTTGCAGTCCCCCTGCCAGCCAGGCAGGAGGGTAGCTGCCCTTTTCCCAATGGTGCCAGATCCAGGTCCCCAGATTCCCAGCCTCCACGTTTTCCACCACACCACGTTGTTCCCAAGGAAGGTGGTGATGCTGTATAAACTAAAGCGCGCACATTCAAATCGGTCCCAAGTGGAAATGATTTCTTAGATTCATTCCTCCCTCCTGAATCCCCACCTGAGAGTCTCGGCAAGGTGCTTCTAATCTTCGGCTCGGGGTCACGCAGGCTTCCTTCCTTCAAACAAGTAGTGTGGAAGCGCCTCAAGGAGCACGGATGTGTCTCCGGGGGGCTGGGGGTGCTCTTTTGAACGTCGGAGGATCTCAACACACCCTCTTTACCTCCAGCAAGAAAGCCTCAGTTCATGGATTCCTGAGAACATCAAGAAGAAAGAATGCGTGTACTTTGTGGAAAGTTCCAAACTGTCTGATGCTGGGTGAGTGACGAGACTTGTGTGTAAGGCCTTTGACTTCTTCCATTCTGATCCCACATGGAATAGCTGATGAGGCCAAGACCCCTCAGGGCCTCGGTGAAAGGCCAGTGGAGATACCTCTGTGTCTGTCCGAGGCTTAGAGTCCATAGAGCACTTCCACCTTACCCCCCAAGCCTCCTGTGGGGGACAGTTGACCCTCATCCTGCCTCGCAGGTGCGGGGACCAAGGTGCAGAGTTTAGGTGACTTGTTCGGGGTTATCATGGCGCTATTGTGTGGCGAGGCTCAGTGGTTTGAACACAGGTGCATCCTCTAATCCTCTCATTTCCACACCTGCCCCCACCCCAAAAGAGAGAGTCCCAGGGTCCAGGAACTAGAAGGGCCTCAGGGAGAGTCCACGGCCAGCAGACAGCCCCCCTGCATAGCTTGCCAAAGTCAGAGGCCCGACTTACCCCCAGGCCCCACAGAGCCCCCTTTACCCCTTCTCCCCACAGAGCCCACGACTCAGGTGTGGCCAAGACCCCCTCGCAGGTAACATGGCCACTGTCTCTGAGCAGCTGGATATGGCCCTCCTGAGCCGATGGTGCTCCCCACAGTTGGCGCCCCTTTAGGCACCAACAGAGTGTTGATTTGTGTTTGTGTGCCCTCCCCCAGCCACACCCATTTCATGCTCTTCCACAAATGGGCCACACGCTTTCTCCTTTGACTCCTTCATTGCCTGGTGAGCTCCTACTTATCCCTCAAGGCCTATTGCAGATGCTGCCTCTGCCATGCAGCCTGCCTTGACTCTACAACCTCTACCAGGAAGTGAGCTTCCCTCCCACCACACCGCGTGTCTCTCTTTGATCCCAGCTGTCGTGCTGTAGCTGTGCGCCTTTGTGTTCATCTTTCTTGCTAGATGCTGAGTTTTGGGGGGCTGGGACCAAAGCAGAATGTTATATTAATTCCCAGAGAGTGGACTTTAGCTCATATTTACTGAATATGGGGAGGGAGGAGCATCCTGTGCATGGGAAACAGAGGAAGGTTGTGCTGCCCCAGGGTGGCCCCTCCTTGGATAAGGGCCCCATTTCTCCCTGGGCAGTAATAGGAGCAGACGCTGAGGCAGCGAAAGTAGCCGGTAATCTCTAGCGTACATGGTACATCATCAGAGTTTCATGGTCACCAGTAAAACAGCTGTCCCTCGGCATCCCTGGGGAATTGTTCCCGGGCACCCACAGATATCAAAATCCCATATCTCAGTCCCAAAATCTCATATCAAGTCACTGATATGAGACGGTGTGGTATTTGCATATAAACTACATATATCCTTCAGCATACTTTAAATCATCTCTAGATTACTCATAATACCTGATACAATGTAGATGTTATAAAAATAGTTATACTGCATTTAAAAAATTTGTATTTTTGTTGTTGTGTGGGTTTTTTCTTTTCTTTTTTTTTTTTTTTTGAGACAGAGTCTTTCTCTGTCACTCAGCCTGGAGTGCGGTGGCACAATCTTGGCTCACTGCAACCTCCGCCTCCTGGGTCCAAGGGATTCTCCTGCCTCAGCTTCCCCAGTAGCTGAGATTACAAGCATGCGCCACCACATCTGGCTAATTTTTGTATTTTTAGTAGAGATGGGGTTTCACCATGTTGGCCAGGCTGGTCTTGAACTCCTGACCTCAAGTGATTCACCTGCCTCGGCCTCCCAAAGTGCTGGGATTACAGGCGTGAGCCACCGTGCCTGGCCAATGTGTTGTTACTTTATTTTATATTTTTTGAGACGGAGTCTCGCTCTGTCTACCAGGCTGGAGTGCAGTGGTTCGATCTCAGCTCACTGCAACCTCCGCCTCCCGGAGCTGCTGGTTGGCATTTTTTTTTTTTTTTTTGAGATGGGGTCTCGCTCTGTCACCCAGGCTGGAGTGCAGTGGCACAATCTCGGCTCACTGTAACCTTTGTCTCCCAGGTTCACGCGATTCACCATGTTGGCCAGGCTGGTCTGGAACTCCTGACCTCAGGTGATCCACCAGCCTTGGCCTCCCAAAGTGCTGAGATTAGGGGCATGAGCCACTGCGCTTGGCTGGTTGGCTACTTTTATGGTTATTTTTGGATCATGTGCTAAACAAGGGTGGATTATTCATGAGTTTTCTGGGAAAGGGGTGGGGATTTCCCAGAACTGATTTCTTCTTCCTTTCAGATCATCTAGGGTATTTCTGACATTGCCATGGCATCTGTAAACTGTCATGGCGCTGGTGGGAGTGTCTCTTATATGCTAATATATTATAATTAGCATGTAATAGAGGATAACCAGAGCCCACTGTTGTCGCCATCTTGGTTTTGGTGGGTTTTAGCCAGTGTGTTGCATCCTGTTTTATGAGCAAGGTCTTTGTGACCTGTGTCTTGTGCCAACCTCCTGTCTCATCCTGTGAGTTAGAATGCCTTAACTGTCTGGGAATGCAGCCCAGTAGGTCTCAGCCTCATTTCACCCAGTGCCTATTCAAGATGGACTCACTCTGGTTTTGTGAGTGAATGCCAGAGTGAATGCCGCTGACGCCCTGACCTGCTGTGTCCTGCGAAGCCTAGGTGAGGCCCCGTGGGTCTGGGGCCTTTGCTGGTCAGCTCTGCGTCCTTCTCACATAGAAGTGGGAACCCTTGGGGCAGCAGGGCCCAGAGAGGAAGGGGTGCTGACCTGGATCAGAGGTAAGCAGGACAGACTTGCTTCTGGAGGTCCCCAAAGCCATCCCCCATGATCAGGGGTTTGCTAGGACTCCCAGCTGTGCACACAGCTAAGGTTTATCATGGTGAAGGCCTACGTGATAGGCTTAGCAAAGGAGAAAGACACAGATCCAGTCTGGAAACTCTGAGCGCAGGCTGCTGCCGCTCTCCTGTGTGGGCGCCACGCGTGCTCCTTCCTCCAGCTGAGAAGAATGCGGCAACCTGCAAAGCCCATTCGAGGCTCAGAGCCCAGGGCATGCGTCCTGCGCTGGCTACGTGGGCCCCTCTGCATGGCAACCACCCAAATCCCAGACTCCCAGCAGGAAAGCAGCTGTTCATAAACCCATTGAAGGAACAGTCCAGGCCCAGCAAAGCACTCCTAGCAGTTGGGGACAGAGAGACGCTCCAAAAGCCCCGTTCCCAGACACCACCTTGAAAGCAGGCCCCTTTGAGAAGGCAGCCGCAGATCTGCCATGCCGAGACTGTCCCGCACAGAAGCCTCTCTCATCTCACCAACCACAGTGGTCACTGCAGCGGGAAGAGGGGCCAGGTGTGTTCCGGCCTGTTCCTTCCTGAGGAGGGGATGGAATGTCCCTCCTTTTTGTGGAAAGACCAGGGCGGAATGAGTGGTGAGCATCCTCCGCCACAAACACAGCTTTCGAAGCAGATTTATTTATACCACTTACATGTTTGCATTAAGCATGGTAGGGTCTTTCCACCCCACTCGTCCAGACCTGGAGGCCCTCGACACCTGCCCGGGTAATCCCACTGCTTAGCCCCACGTCCTGGTAATCCTCCTCAGCTCCGCACAGACTCATCTTGTGTCCGTTTCTGCTCTGGACACCCCCGTCCAGACCTTTGTGCTCACATTTTGCCACCATGGATCTCATGACCTTGGGCACATGGCTTCTCTTCCCTGGGCCGCCAGTCATCATCCTCATCTATGAAGCGCAGAGACTGGAGGGGATGCCTCAGAATTCAGATGTACATGCGGGGGGTGGGGGGGTGGGGGTGGGCAGGGAGCCCCCCCTCAGATGGAAGGAAGGAGCCCAGGTTGGAGAGAGTGCACCTCCAAGAGCTCTCATTTCCCATGGGGTGCCACGGGTGGTGTCCTGTTTACGCCTATCTGGGCCGAGTTCCGAGCAAGCTCTCTGATGAGGTAATTTCTGGGTCAGTGGCCGCAATGCAGTTTCCAGAATCACATCAGGCTTGCAAACACCATGCAGGTTTAAGTTCCAGTCTCATCAGAGGTGATGGTTCAAGGAGAAGAGGGACAGGAGGTAGCTTGCGATAGGCTGTTAGGAACATACAAGGACATTTGGAGCACCATTGGAGCAAGACTGGGGAGAGCTGAGGTCCTTGTCCAGGGAACTCCTTTCCCCAACTCGGACCCCAGGTCTCTCATCCATAAACTGTGGAGGTCACATTGTGTCTGGTGGGTTCTTGGTCTCACTGACTTCAAGAATGAAGCCGTGGACCTTTGCGGTGAGTGTTACAGCTCTCAAGGGTGGCATGGATCCAAAGAGTGAGCAGCAGCCACATTTATTGTGAAGAGTGAAAGAATAAACATTCCACAGCAAGGGAGGTGCACCTGAGCAGGTTGCGGCTGCTGGCTGGGCGTGGGGCGGAGGCTGGCCAGCTTTTATTCCCTTGTTTGTCCCCGCCCATGTCCTGCTGATTGATCCATTTTACAGAGCACCCATTGGTCCATTTTACAGTGTGCTGATTGGCATATTTTGCAATCCTCTTGTAAGGCAGAAAAGCTCTCCAAGTCTGCCCCTGACCCAGAAATCCAGCTGGCTTCACCTCTGACATCAGGTGCTGGCAAGATGCCCGCAAGTCTGTGGTGCCTTGAGTGTGACCTTAGGGGTTTGTACGGTTTTGTAGGGTGCACATCCGGGAGGAATTATTTTTCCTATTTTAATGATTGAGAAACTGAGTATAGAAACATCCACGATCACACAGTCAATAGGTGGCGGGGAAACCCGTTTCCTTTCTTACTGCTCAGTGGTCTTTCCCCTGTGCCATCTGGTTCAGGTTTCATCTGGTTTTAGAGGTTTTTTGTTTGTTTGTTTTCCTGTCTCATCTTTTTTTTTTTTTTTTTTTTTTTTTTTTTTTTTTTTTGAGACGGAGCCTCACTCTGTCTCCTAGGCTGGAGTGCAGTGGCCCTATCTCGGCTCACTGCAACCTCCGCCTCCCGGGTTCAAGCGATTCTCCTGCCTCAGCCTCCAAGCAGCTGGGATTACAGGTGCACACCACCACGCCTGGCTAATTTTTGTATTTTTAGTAGAGACAGGGTTTCACCATATTAGCCAGGCTGGTCTTGAACTCCTGACCTTGTGATCCGCCCGCCTCAGCCTCCCAAAGTGTTGAGATTACAGGCGTGAGCCACCACAGCCGGCCTCATCTGTACTTTTCTAGGTTATTTGTTACTAGCAAAACATCGGAATCTAAAAATATTTGTGGATTTCCAATTAAATAAGTTATAAAGAACACATAAATGTATATTTTCTTGCCCTGAAACACCAATGAATTGCAGTAAAGGAACAAAAAGACTTCAACCTACAAAGAAAAAAGAGGAAAGGTAGCAGATGAAGAAAGAGATTGCTGCATTCTTGCCAGAGGAAGGGGAGGAGGCAGAGCAGCAGGTCCTGGAGGCTTGCGATTCCGGCAGCTCCCGCAGTCCCCGGGCGAGGGGAGGAGGTGGAAGACCTTGGGCGAGGTGCTAGCCCCATGTCATCTGCTCGGAGCCTCCATTTGTGTGTGTTTTTAACTTTTTATTTTGAAATATGGATGTACAGAAGTTCCAAAGATACTACAGATAGGCCCCACAGTTCCACCTGTGACTACGTTCTGCATAACCGTAGTACAGTACCCAAGCCAGGAATTCAAGCTGGTAGAATGTGTGTGTTTTATGTCTTTTTTTTTTTGAGACGGAGTCTTGCTCTGCTGCCCAGGCTGGAGTGCAGTGGCACCACACCAGCTCACTGCAATCTCTGCCTCCTGGGTTCAAGCGATTCTCCTGCCTCAGCCTCCTGAGTAGCTGGGACTACAGGTGGGCGCTACCACACCCAGCTAATGTTTATATTTTTAGTAGAGATGGGGTTTCACTATGTTGGTCAGGCTGGTCTCGGACTCCGGACCTCAAGTGATCTGTCTGCCTCAGCCTCCCAAAGTGCTGGGATTACAGGTGTGAGCCACCGTGCCTGGCCTTGTGTCATTTTTCCCATGTTTATTTGTGTAACTACCACCATGGTCGACACAGCACTAACCGTCTCCACCGAGCTCCTCCTGTACTTCCTCCGTATGGTCAACTCACCTTCTCCCCCATCATCCCTGAACCCTGCAACCACCAATCTTTCTTCATGCCGATCATTGTGTCATTTTGAGACTGTTACATCAATGGAATCATACGCTACATGACTCATGTCCTTTCCCCTCAGCACAGCGCGCTTGATATCCAAGTTGCTGCTTGTGTCAATATTATTATTATTATTTGAGATGGAATCTCATTCTGTTGCCCAGGCTGGAGTGCAATGGCACAATCTCAGCTCACTGCAACCTCCGCCTCCCGGAGACTGGAAGTAGCTGGGACTACAGGCACGTGCAACCACGCCTGGCTAATTTTTGTATTTTTAGTAGAGATGGGCTCACCATGTTGGCCAGGATGGCTTTGAACTCCTGACCTCAAGTGATCCGCTCGCCTTGGCCTCCCATGTGCTGGGATTACAGGTGTAAGCCACCACGCTCAGCCTTGTGTCAATATTATTTAACTGCTGAATATTCCTGTCCCTTTCACCTTGCCTGTGTCATTACACTTCAAGTGAGAATTTGGTAGACATCAAATAATTGGGACCCATTTTTTTTTAAATCCATTCTGTCAATCTGTTTTTTAATTGTTGTATTTAGAAAATTTATATTTAGTGTAATTATTGGTATGTTAGAGCGTACGTCTGCCATTTTATTTTTTGTTTTCTGTTCTCTTTTTTTTTTTTTGCCTTCTTATAGGTTACTTGAACATTTTTTAGAATTCTATTTTGATTATTCATTTTTTTTTTTTTTTTTGGAGACAGAGTCTCACTCTGTTGCCTGGGCTGGAGTGCAGTGGCATGATCTTGGCTCACTACACCCTCCACCTCGCTGGGCTCAGGTGATCCTCCCACCTCAGTCTCCTGAGTAGCTGGGACTACAGGCATGCACCACCATGCCCGGTTAATTTTTGTATTTTTGGTAGAGACAAGGTTTTGCCATGTTGCCCAGGCTGGTCTCAAACTGCTGCGCTCAAGCAATCTGCCCACCTTGGCCTCCCAAAGTGTTGGGATTACAGGTGTGAGCCACTGCTTACACCATACTATTTTTGAGTGTATCTTCTTGTATCACTTTTTTTTTTAAAAAGGGGTTGCTCTAGGTAGTATATTATATAATAAGCTTATTGCAATCTACTGACGTTGACATTTTACCATTTTGAGTGAAGTATAGAAACATTATCTCCTTTTACATCTGTGTCCCCTTCTTAATCTATAATTGCTTGAAATATTTCTTCTACATGTATTGAAAACCATGTCAGATAGTGTTATAATTTTTGCTTCAGCCATCAAACATCAGTTACGAAATTCAAGAGGTTACTCTTTTTGTTATTCTTTCTTCCTTTCAGATATTCCAAAATTCCTTCTTTTCTTGTTTCCTTTCTGTTTAGAGAACGTCCTTTAGCCATTCTTTTAGGGTGTGTCTGCTGGTGACAAATTCCTTAACCTTCCTTCAATGAAGAAGGTCCCAACTTCCTGTCACTTCTGAGGTTTTTTTTTTTTTTTTGAGAAGGAGTCTCCCACTGTTGCCCAGACTGGAGTGAGTGCAGTGGTCTGATCTCGGCTCACCGCAACCTCCACCACCTGGGTTCAATCGATTCTCCTGCCTCAGCCTCCTGAGTGGCTGGGATTACAGGCGGCCGCCACCATGCCCAGCTAATTTTTTGGATTTTAGTAGAGACAGGGTTTCACCATGTTGGCCATGTTGGTCTCGAACTCCTGATCTCATGATGCACTCGCCTCAGCTTCCCAAAGGGCTGGGATTATAGGTGTGAACCACTGCACCCGGCCGCTTCTAAGATTTTTTATTTGTTTTTAGTTTTCGGAAGTTTAACTGTTATGTGTCTTAGCATGTATCTCTTTGGGTTTATCCTGTCTGGTGTTCACTCAGATTGTGGAGTGTGTAGGTTTATGTCTTTTTTGTCAAATATGGGAAATTTTGACCATACTTCTTTACATACATTTTCAGGATCACTGTCTTTTTCTTTTCCTTCGGGAACTCTGAACATGAATGTATGATTTTTTGTTACAGTGCTGCAGGTCCCAGAGGTTCTGTTTACTTTGTTGTTGTTTGTTTGTTTTCTCTCTGTTGTTCTTATTGGGCAATTTCTACTGTTCTGTCTTCCTGCTCCCGGCTTCTTTCCTCTGTGTCCTCCATCCTGCTGTTGGGTCCATCCATTGAGTTTTTATTTCAGTTACTGCATTTTTCAGTTCTAAAATTTGCATTTGGTATATCTTCCCTTTCTTTACTGGAAATTTATGTTTTTTTTCATTTGTTTTGAGCATGTTCATGATTGCTTGTTGAAGCATTTCTAATGTGGCTGCTTTAAAATCATTTTCAGATAACTCGAACATCTGTGTCATCTTGGTGTTGGTGGCTGTCAGCCGTCTTTTCTCATCCTGGTTGAGATTTTCCTGGCTCTTGGTACAACTAATGATGTTTGACTGAAACCTTGATAGTTTAGATTTTGTGTTAAGAGACTCAAGATCTTGAGTTTTAGCTGGTCCCCTTGACATGTCTATGGTGAAGGAAGGAGTCCCCCCTGTCAGTGCCCCATGAAGGGTGAAGTCAAAGCCCCCTGCAGCCTCCACTGATCCACTGACTTCCTGGGGAGGCTTCTTGTTACTGCTGAGGGTGAGAAGAGTTCCAGCCCACCATTAGGCCTCTGCTGCCTCCCCCATGGCTGGAAGGTGCCTGTTTTTGCTGGGTGGGGGAAGGTTGCAGCTTTCCACTGGACGTCCTCTGATGCCTCCACAGGGAGCAGGAAGGGCACCGCACTCCCTGGGTGACTGGTGCTGTGTCTTTGCAGGAAGGTGGTGTGTCAGTGTGGCTACACGCGTGAGCAGCACCTGGAGGAGGCTACCAAGCCCGACACCTTCCAGGGCACACGGTGGGACCCAAAGAAACATGTCCAGGAGATGCCAACAGATGCCTTCGGTGACATCGTCTTCACGGGCCTGAGCCAGGAGGTGAAGAAGGTTGGTTTCCATCACTCTTGCTCTGAATTGTGGGTGGAGCTGCATAGCCCCACAGTGACACGTGGTGGTTGGCATTTCCTGGGGCAAGAGCAGGAGGCTGGCAAAGATCCAGGGTGCATAGAGCCCACTGCACAGCAAAGGAGGGGGTGGGGAGGGGCTCTGCAAGGCAAGCAGGAGATGCATCCCACTCTCGGAGTGCTTGGTCATCTGCAAAGCAGTGTGGGGCACAGTGAGCTTTCTAGGAAGGTGCAAGCCGGGAGTGGTGAGTGAATTCTGGCTGGGTGGCCCTGGGTAGCATTTGTCAGGGCCTGCGGGCAAGTAGGGAGGAAAGAGAGGGATGCAGGACACAGACACACTCAGGGTGTGCTTGGGGAATGGCAGGAAGGGTGTGGAGAGGGAGGGAAAAGCAGGGGGAAGGGGCCCAGGATGGCAGGGAGGCCCATATGGCAAGTCTGGAACCAAAGGCGAGAGTCCTTGCGAGGAGGCTGGGCCAGGCACAGCGTGATCCAGGCTGAGCCTGGCCTGCAGGAGAGCGCTGTGAGGGTGCAGACTGCTGGAGGGAGGCCCAGGCGCAGGGCTGGGTTCTCTCATGCACAACTTCACTGTGGTCCCTGTAGGACCAGCCATCTCTGACCAATTCTTAGGCGCCATCCCAGGCCTGTGGAGTCAGAGACTTGGCCCCTTGTGTGTTGACCAGCCTTCTGGAGGGTTCTGAGACAGCGATTGGGTGCCACTCTCCTGGGAGGGGGTGGCACTGATCTCTGTGCTGGGGTCTGGAGCCCTGAATCTGGTACCCGCCGAGTGTGACCTGTCCACTCGATGCATGATGACGCCATGAGGTGACCAAAGAGGTTGAGTGGGGCAGGTCTCGGAGACGGGGTCGTGTGGCCCCAGGCTTCCTGGCTGGCCCAGCCCCTGAGCCACCCTGTGTCACCATCACATGTGGGTGTTCTCCAGGCCCCTGGGCCCCTCTGTCTCTGTGGTTATGGGAACAGTCCCGTTGTCGGGTTTCAGATGAGGGATTGAGGTATGGGCAGACCCCACCCGTTGCCTAAGGCCATGGTGACAGTACCAGTGGTGGGTTTGAGTCCAGCTGCGTCTGAGCCCGGAGTTCTGGCTGCATCCCTCCCCCACTCCCCGACTTCTCCCAGCCCTGCAGCTGCCGACAGGGGCAGGTGGTGTGAGGGAAAAACGCCTGTGGCCTGACAGTGAGTGACAGCTGGGACACAGACCCTGTGGTGCAGCAGGTCTGCCTCGAAGCCCAGGAGTGTCCACCATGCAGGCCACAGCCCTGCTCCTCCCAGGGAGACCAGCACCTCCAGATGCCTGGTGGACCCAGTGGGGCCCACGTTCTGATGGTGACAGGCACCGTGGTTGTGGGTTAACTGGACCTTCTTTAGTGACAATGCTACCACATGTTTGTTTTAAGGGCACCTCATGGCATTTCTGGATTTCACCCATCACCTTTGTGTCTCTGGTGGGCCAATCCCGGCGGGGGTTGCAGGCCCGGCTGGGTCTCTTCAGACATGGCCCACCTAGCGGAACAGGGAAAGTCCACTGTGTACTTGTGAGGGTCTCCTGGAGCACAAGGGGCCAGAGTGATGACAGAGCCTGGGAGAGCCATGTTCAGACGGGAGGCACAGGAAGCTGGTCCCCCTGAATCCCCAGGACGGGCCAGGGCACAGGGGCCACAGAGCAGAGGGGACAGGAAAGGGGACAGGAGAGGGGCAGTGCTGGGCGCACAAGGACAGGAGGGCAGAGACCCCAGTGCAGGAGATGGTTAGGCCCTGGGAAGGCAGGGCCCAGGCGCTAGGGTGGGAATTAGTCTGCTGGTGCGTGTCTGAGAGGCACTCCCAAAATCGAGAGGAAGAGGAAAAAGTGGGTGCTGTGGGGGCATGAGGGCCGGGGGAGGTTTGCTGAGGGCGTTTCTGGTCCCCAAGGGACGTTCTGTTGCTCCCGGCTTGGGCCTCTCTGCCTCCCTCTTCTCTCATGATCCGTGCCTTGCCCACACGGGGACCCCTTTACTGAGTCTGTGCAGTGTCTGCCGCCCACTGGGGCCTCTCCGTGTGGCCTGTGTGGGTCGGTGCTGTCCCTGCCCACTGATACACGGGTTCCCTCCGCCATCTTCCCTGTCCCGCAGTATGTTAGAGTCTCCCAGGACACGCCCTCCAGCACGATCTACCACCTCATGACCCAGCACTGGGGGCTGGACGTCCCCAACCTCCTGATCTCAGTGACCGGGGGGGCCAAGAACTTCAACATGAAGCCGCGGCTGAAGAGCATTTTCCGCAGAGGCCTGGTCAAGGTGGCTCAGACCACAGGTAATTCGGAGGCTGGAGGGACACGAGGCCCCGGCGGGTGGGCAGGGTGGGCTGTGGAGGCTGTGCCGGGGCAGTCAGGGCCATCAGGATCCAAAAAGTCCCTGGGAGCCGCCGAGGCTGTGCCCCAGCCTGAGTCGGACCCATGCACCCCTCACCTGGGCACAGCTGCTCCCTGACACCCGGCGCTGCCCCTGGCTTGCCCGTGGGCTGGAGATGGCTCAGTGTGTGGCCCTGCTGGTGCCCAGGGCCAAGCAGAGATGAAAACCTCGGTGGCCTGGGAACCTCGGTGGCCTGGGAACCTCGGTGGCCTGGGTGCACGGCTGGGGCCAGCGTTGCGGGACAGTTGTAGGGGGCCAGCGAGAGTTCCCGGTCATCACATTTTCCATGATCACTTTTTTCCATCAGCATCAGGAAGGAGCATTATTATTTCCATCTTTTCACTTGAGGCAACTGCCTGGTTGGAGTCAAATCACCTCCCAAGTTTGCACCACCAGTGAGAGCCAGGCAGGGACCCAGTCCTGGTGGATGGTGTGAGATCCCAGGGGCTGTGACCTGGTGCCCTGCCCTACCCTGATTCCATTGTGGAGGGGACCCCAAGTCCTCGAGGCTCCCTGGGCCTCTCTGGAGGGGACTGGGTGAATAGTGAGGCCCTGAGGTGATTACTTGGCAATGTTGGGTCCAGATGGGTCTGGGGTCACCTCGCTTTTCCTGGGGTGTGGTCTTTGCTTCCAAGTGGAGTCATAACTGAGCCTGACTTGGCCTGCGTGGCTCAGAGTCCTCGGTTTGTCTGCCTGGTGACCGTGAGGCATGGCTGCATCTTTTGACCTGTGAGCCCCACAGCCCTGCTTGTAAAATGACCAGACCTTTTCTCAGTCTGGTCATGTGGGACTAGGTTTAACGCAGGTCACTGTCCCACAAGCACTTTCTGATGCTTCGCCCTCTCAAATAACGCCATGGATTTCTTCAGGTCTCACCCGCTCCAGGTCTTCATGTTGCATTTTTTTTAGCTTTCAATATCAGTGACCTTGCCGTCTGCTTCCTGGCCCAAAGCTAGTACCAGCTTTTCAACTGTTATCTCCATCTCCATCTCCATCCATTTATTTTTGAGACAGGGTCTCGCTCTGTTCCCCAGGCTCGAGTACAGCAGCACGATTTCAGCTTACTGCAGCCTAGACCTCTTGGGCTCAGGTGATCCTCCTGCCCCTGCCTCCCGAGTTGCTGGGACTAGAGGCATATGCCACCATGCCAGGCTAATTTTAGTAGAGACAAGGTCTATGTTGTCCAGGCTGATCTTGAACTCCTGGGCTCAAGCAATCTTCCTGCCTTGACCTCTCAAAGTGCTGGGATAACAGGCATGAGCCACTGTGCCTGGCCGATTGGCTGTTTTCTTTTTTTTTTTGGAGACGGAGTCTTGCGTCTTGCTCTGTTGCCCAGGCTGGAGTGCAGTGATGGTGGCGCAATCTCAGCTCACTGCAATCTCTGCCTCCTGAGCTCAAGCAACTCTCCTGCCTCAGCCTCCTGAGGAGCTGGGACTACAGGCGCGTGCTACTACGCCCAGCTAATTTTTGCATTTTTAGTAGAGACGGGGTTTCACCATGTTGGTCAGGCTGGTCTCAGACTCCTGACCTCAGGTGATCTGCTCACCTTGGCCTCCCAAAGTGCTGGGATTACAGGCATGAGCCACTGCACCTGGCCCAATTGCTGTTCTTATGGTGACACTGTGACCCAGCCTTTGGTATGGCAGCATTATACCAGGGACAAATCCCCAAAACGAACAAATGTGACTTTTGCTGGTGCCTCAAGGGGAGGCTGTGGGGCAGCAGCTGTGGCTTCACCTGTGCCTCTCACCCTGGGGCAGGCCAGGCGAGCAGACACGTGGGGACCTTCTGCTCTCAGGCAAAGCTGCCGCCAGCTCATGACATTGGGTCAGACCAGATGTGGGATGGAAGGTGTGTTTCTTTCTTTCTTTCTTTTTTTTTTTTTGAGATGGCGTTTCACTCTTATTGCCCAGGCTAGAGTGCAGTGGTGCAATCTTGGTACACTGCAACCTCTGTCTCCCGGGTTCAAGTGATTCTCCTGCCTCAGCCTCCTGAGTAGCTGGGATTACAGGCATGCGCCACCACACTGGGCTAATTTTGTATTTTTAGTAGAGATGGGGTTTCTCCATGTTGGTCAGGCTAGTCTTGAACTCCCAACCTGGGAGATGATCCGACTGCCTCGGCCTCCCAAAGTGTTGGGATTACAGGCGTGAGCCACCACGCCCGGCCGGAGGTGTGTTTCTTACAGGGTTGGCTGCAAACCTCTGGCAGCAAGTAGTGGGTGGAAAGTGGAGGGAGTCCTTCCTAGGGGCCAGGATGAGTGGTGCGAGCAAGGACGCACTCTGCCGCACCTGGGTCCTGAAAGCTGGGAGGAAGAAGGAAAGCAAAATAGAAGAATGCAGAGAGCGTGCTGAGAATCGGGATCCTGAGTCTGGGGCCAGAGGAGGTGGCAGGGACCAGGGAGAGGGGTGGGGCCTGCTCCTGTTCCCACCCTGCCTGAGGACCGTGGGAACCCCAGTTCCTTACACCTGATGCTGGTTTAAAAGCCCCTGAGTGAGGGGCTCTGTGTTGATGGGGGCCGGGCATCGCTGAGCCTAGAGGGGCTCAGGCGTCAGGCTCCTGGGTATCAGGGTGCCCCTCAGTACTGCGGGGCCTGCCCACCCGTGCTTCTTCCCCAGGGGCCTGGATCATCACGGGGGGCTCCCACGCCGGCGTCATGAAGCAGGTGGGTGAGGCGGTGCGGGACTTCAGCCTGAGCAGCAGCTACAAGGAAGGTGAGGTCATCACCATCGGAGTCGCCACCTGGGGCACCGTCCACCGCCGCGAGGGCCTGATCCATCCCACGGTGAGCGCGGCCCGCTGGGGAGGGGAGCCTAGGACCAGGGGTGTGGGTGACGTGTGACCGGGTGCTGTAGGGGGCAGGCGGAGTGTGCAGGGGCCGGGGTGTGGGTGACGTCTGATGGGGCACTGTAGGGAGCAGGTGGGGTGTGCAGGGACGGCGGGCGCACTCAGGAGATTGGGCGCAACTCCTGGCCTGGTCCCTGACCCAGGTGACCTGGATGAATGGCTAACTTGGCTGGACTCTGGTATCTCCCTCAAGGTTGCAAGAGGGATCCACATGAGAGTCACTGGCTATGAGGGCTCCGCTAACAGCAGAGGGAGGGAGCGTGGCCGGCGGGCAGCTGGGCAGGGCTGAGCCAGGGCGATCTGACCTCGAACTGGAGCTTTTAGCGCTTTGAGTCCCTGCACTCAGAGGTCTCCTGCATCCAGGAATCCCACCGTGCTGCGGTCCCCGGCAGCCAGGACCCCCCCAGCTTCTCTGTCAAGGTTGAGGATGGAGCACTCCTGCCTCTGGTTAACTGGCCGCAGGAGAAGCAGTTGCTTTAATCCAGAGCCTTGAATTGGGACAGATAATGAGTCATTCAACCAGATTTTCCAAGGACACACTAACTTTGGCATAATGCGTGTGTGCCCCTGAATCCGTGTGGTCAGGAAAGCCCACAAACACTGGCCTGTGACTCACTGAGCAGGTTCCCTCGTCACCCCGAGGGGTGATTTACTCCTCTGGCAACATCACAGACACTGTGTGTCCATTCCGGGGGGCGGGGGACACTCCCAGATGCCCACGAGGGCCCAGCAAGCCCTGGCCAGCCACAGCTCGGCCTCCACCTTCCTTTTGCATCAGAATCATGAATATGTCTGGTGGGGTCTGACTGGACCGGCTGTTTGGCTTTGCTTGCTCTTTTTATGAATTGAAAAACTGAAGCCAGGAGCGGCTGGGTGATGTCGCAGGTCACTCCTTACTTTCCTCCCCACGCTGAGTTCAGATGACTTCCCATGACACCACCGTTGCTGGTGTTGTTGGAAGAACGGGACTGTGGCTGCTTCCGCTTAGCCGCGCTCCCTCTCTGTGGACGGCGGAGGGTGGGTGTCCCAGTCCCGCTGCCACCCTGCCTTGGATCTGTCTCCCAGGGCTGCTGTAACCCGGGCTCACAAACCTGGCAGCTTAAAGCAGCAGAAACTTAGTCTATCATATCTGGAATCCGTGACGGTTGGCCATCATCCAGCCATCTATGTCGGCGGGGCCACCTCCCTCCAGGGCCTGGGGAAGAGTATTCCTGCTGCCTCGAGCGTCTGGTGCTGATGGGCATCCTCTGGCTGGTGGCCGCCTCCCTCCAGTCTCTGCCTCCGCGTCCCGTGGCCTTTTCTGTGTGCCTGTGTGAAATCTCCCCATGTCTCCCATAAGAACATTTGTGATGGTGTTGAGGACCCACTGGGGTCATCTAGGGTGATGCCTTCATATCAAGATCTTTAACTGACATCTGCAAAGATGCTTTTCCAAACAGGGAAATGAGGAGCAGCACTTACCGGGTCCACGAGCAGGCCTTGATGTCTTTGGGTGGCCGTGATTCAGCTAACTGCGGTCCTCCCTCTGGCCTCAGACTCCTGTCCACTCCACATGCAAAATACGTTCACCCCATTGCCAGATCCTGGCCGGGCGTGGGGGCTCACGCCTGTCATCCCAGCACTTTGGGAGGCTGAGGTGGGCGGATCACTTGAGGACGAGACTTCAAGACCAGCTTGGCCAACATGGTGAAATGCTGTCTTTACTAAAAATACAAAAATTAGCTGGGCATAGCGGCAGGCACCTGTAATCCCAGCTGAGGCAGGAGAATTGCTTGAACCCAGGAGCCGGAGGTTGCAGTGAGCCAAGATCATGCCACTGCACTCCAGCCGGGCTGACAGAGCAAGACTCTGTCCAAACCAAACCAAATGATCCTCTCCAACTACCAACCCGTTACAGCAGAAACTCCAAGATCAGAATCTCATGTAAATATCATGAGCTTGGCCGGGCACGGTGGCTCACACCTGTCATCCCAGCACTTTGGGAGGCCAAGGCGGGCAGATCACCTGAGGACAGGAGCTCGAGACCAGCCTGGCCAACATGGAGAAACCCCGTCTCAACAAAAAATTAGCCAGGCATGGTGGTGGGCGCCTGTAATCCCAGCTACTGGGAGGCCGAGGCAGGAGGATCGCTTGAACCCGGGAGGCGGAGGTTGCAGCGAGCCAAGATTGTGCCACTGCACTCCAGCCTGGATGACAGAGCGAGACACCATCTCAAGCAAAACAAAACAAAACAAACAAAAATATCAGCTCAAAAGTCCCAAATGTCATCATTTAAGTCAGGGATGTGAAGACTCTGGGTCTGATCCATCCTGGAGCAGATTTTCTCTTCACATGTGCACCTGTGAGAGGAGACAACAAGTCACCTGTCTCCAAAATACAAGGGAACAGCAGGGAAGGGCAGGTATAGCATCACAGCTGTAGACACTCTCATTCCCAAAGGGGGAACATGGGAGGAACCAAGGCATCACCAGCCCCAGGCAATTCCAAAACCCAGCAGGGGGAACGCACTAGGTGGTGAGACTGGGGAGACCCCTCTGTGGCTTGGGCACCCCCCACCCTGCTCTGTGTCCACAGCTCTGCCTTCAGGATGATCCTTTTCCCTGAAGGTTATAGGTTATTTCCTGCTTGAAGATTTTAAGGAGTCTGACGACCTTTCATTTTATCCCACCTCTGTCCCTTTCAGTCCAAATTTGCAGTGTTGTTGTTGATGTAACATTTGTGAAAACTTTGTGTGCCTCCTTTGAATGCCATAGGAATTTCTGCCAGTAGACAAAAAGGGCTCTGCTGACCTTTCCTGTGATGCCGTCTCCACTCCTGTCTTCTGAGATGGTTGAGTGAATCGCAGTCTCCTTGCCTAGTCTCTTCGTCACTAGCAGGGGGTTGTGCAGGCACACCCTTGGCCCTCTCTCTCTCTCTTTTTTTTTTTTTTTTTTTTTTTTTTGAGACGGAGTCTCGCTCTGTCACCCAGGCTGGAGTGCAGTGGCACGATCTCAGCCCACTGCAACCTCTGCCTCCCGGGTTCAAGCGATTCTCCTGCCTCAGCCTCCCGAGTAGCTGGGACTACAGGCACCCACCACCACGCCCAGCTAATTTGTGTTTTTTTACTAGAGACAGGATTTCACCATGTTGGCCAGGCTGATCTTGAACTCCTGACCTTGTGATCTGCCTGCCTCAGCCCTCCAAAGTGCTGGGATTCCAGGTGTGAGCCACCGCGCCTGGCCCATGTATGTATTTTCTTTTCTTTTTTTTTTTTTTTTTGAGATGGAGTCTCGCTGTGTCGCCCAGGCTGGGGTGCAGTGGCACGATCTCAGCTCACTGCAAGCTCCGCCTCCTGGGTTCACGCCATTCTCCTGCCTCAGCCTCCCAGTAGCTGGGACTACAGGCGCCCGCCACCACGCCCGGCTAGTTTTTTGCATTTTTAGTAGAGACGGGGTTTCACCATGTTAGCCAGGGATGGTCTCGATCTCCTGACCTCGTGATCCACCCGCCTCAGCCTCCCAAAGTGCTGGGATTACAGGTTTGAGCCACCGCGCCCAGCCCATGTATGTATTTTCTAAGGCAGCAGTCCCCAACCTTTTTGACACCAGGGACTGGTTTCATGGAAGACAATTTTTGCACAGATGGAGGGCGGGGTGGTGAGTGGTTGGTTTGGGGATGATTCAAGCACATTACATTTATTGTGCACTTTATTTCTATTATTACATTGTAATATATAATGAAGTAATCATACAACTCACCATCATGTAGGATCAGTGGGAGTCCTGAGCTTGTTTTCCTGCAGCTAGATGGTCCCATCATCTGGGGGTGATGGGGGACAGTGACAGATCATCAGGCATTAGATTTTCTTAGGGACACACAGCCTAGGTCCCTCGAACGCACAGTTCACAGTAAGGTTAGTATTCCCATGAGAATCTAGTGCTGCGGATCTGACGGGAGGTGGAGCTCGGGCAGTCACACACACGATAGGGAGCGGCTGCAAATAGGGATGAAGCTTCACTCGCTCACCTGCCACCCACCTCCTGCTGTGCGCAGCCCAGCTCCTCACAGGCCACCGACCATTACCAGTCCATGGCCCAGGGGGTGGGGACCCCTGCTCTAAGGTAACAAAACCCTCCCTGCCCTGCTCCTTGCTTCCTTCGGAGCCCTTACTGCAAGTTGTTTGTTTTCTGAGACGGGGTCTCACTGTTGCCCAGGCTGGGGTGCGTTGGTGTGATCCTCAGCCTTGAGCCCCTGGGCTCAAGTGATCTTCCCACCTCAGCCTCCCAAGTAGCTGGGACTACAGGTGTGCGCCACCATGCCCGGCTAATTTTTTTTTTTATTTGTAGACATGAGATCTGCCATGTTGTCCAGGCTGGTCTCGAACTCTGGGGCTCAGGTGATCCTCCCGCCTCGGCCTCCCAAAGTGCTGGGATTACAGGCATGAGCCACTATGCCCGTCTCTGCAAGGCTTTTAACACCGCATTCCCACCAATATTCTCTTCAAGGACATTGAGACGTTTTCTATTCATGGTGCTTCAAAATCCTGCCGTCTTCTCCCCATTGCCAGCTTCAATGCCACTTCCACATTTTTAGGTGCTTGTTACAGCAGCACCCCACTTCCTCACCCCAGACCTGTATCTGTTTCCTGTGGCTGCTGTAACAAATGGCCACAAGCCTGAAACGGCAGCATTGTGGTCTCTCACGTGTCTGGAGGACAGAACTCTGAAGTCAGGGTCACACCCCTCCTGAGGCCTGGGAGGAGGGTCTGTTTCCCTGCCTTCTCCACTCCTGGGGGCTCCGGCTTTCTCCACTTGTGGCTGTGTCGCTCGTCCCTGCCTCTGTGGTCCCGTGTCCTCCTCTCCTGTGTGTGTCTCCCGCCACCTCTCTCCTGTAAGGACACCTGTGATGGTATTTTGGGCCCACTCAGATCATCCAGGTTAATCTTCTCATGTTTCGATCACATCTGCAAAGTCACTTTCTCCAATAAGGCCACATCCACAGATTCCAGAGACTGGGACCTGGTCTCTCTGGGGGCTGGTGTTCAGCCTGCTCACGTTAGAGAGGCAGAGCTTTCCAGAAGCTGTGTCTGACGCTTCCTGGCCATTCCAGGGCAGCTTCCCTGCTGAGTACGTACTGGATGAGGATGGCCAAGGGAACCTGACCTGCCTAGACAGCAACCACTCTCATTTCATCCTCGTGGACGACGGGACCCACGGCCAGTATGGGGTGGAGATTCCTCTGAGGACCAGGCTGGAGAAGTTCATGTCGGAGCAGACCAAGGAAAGAGGAGGTAGGGAAGCTTGCTTTCAAGAGTGCTTGGGCAGATAGCACAGTGGGCTGGTCAGAGTGTCAGGTACAGCTGGTCACAACCAGGATGTTGGTGGCGCTTGGAGCGTCCTCAGAACACACCTGGGTTTCTATCCCATGTCTCTTTATACTTTGTTCCAGGAGGGTCATCTTCTCTTGCCCGTTTCAGCCAGTGGGAGGGCGGTCAGGGGGGCTGGCAGCTCACCTGTGTGCTCACAGGTAATAGGCCAGCCTACTTTTTTTTTTTTTTGAGACAGGATCTGGAGTGCAGTGGTGTGATCTCAGCTCACTGTAGCCTCGAACTTCTGGGCTCAAGGGATCCTCCCACCACCTTCCCAAAGTGCTGGGATTACAAAGCTTGAACCACTGTGCCTGGCCCTACAATTATTTTAAACCGTGACCATGGTCTGGTCTCAGGTTCAGAAATCAGAATGTACGATAGTCAAAACTTAGGATTTGACACCTTTTTCCTCATAGGTGGGATGGGATGGGTTTGAGGACGTCGGGAGGTCAAGTGTGGGGTTTTGCCCGTCACTCGAGGAGGGCTCAAAGAGGAGATGGTGAATGGGAGGTGTCTGGCCTGTGCCCCGGTGGGCTGGGGTCCCCTGCAAGCTTCCTTGTGCAGCAGACTCCCGTGGAGGGCTCCTCACCAGTGCGTGGGCCCCGGCCCCAGGGTCCAACTCAGCAGCTCCAGGTGGGCTGAGAACTTGCATTAGGAGCACGTTCCCTGGTGGGGGTGCTGTTGAGGTTCAGGGACCCCGCTTTGAGAACCCTGCTTGACTAGGACACCCAGGGTGGGATGTGTGGGTGAGTGTGTGAAGACGATGGGCCCATGGGGTCTCATAGACAGAGTTTGCTGCCTGGGGAAAAAGGTTGCTAAGTCCTTCTCAGGCTCCCCTGCTTTTGGGCTGGATGAAGTTCAGGGTGGGGCCAGGCAGAGGGACAAAGGATGGACATGTTGTGTCCTGCTCCCACCTACACATGACAGGTTATGCCCACCTGCTTGGGGCATCAGCTCTGATTGTCCCTCCCTCCCTCCTTCCCTCCCTCCCAAGAAAGCAAGAGGGGGTGGATGGGATGCAAGCGAGCGGGGGAGGTGTGGGCGGCAGGGGGCTCTCGAGTCTGCTCATTGATGTGGAACAGGTGGGTCCCCTGGTAATGTGGAGCTTTGACCTTCAAGGGCAACTCAGCACTGGCTAGAGGTCTCCCAGCAGGTGCTTCAGTGTGTGGTTAGGCTGGAGCCGGCAGGGGGCAGGGGAGAGTGCCCCAGTGCAGGGTCTTGCCCCCCACCCACCTCTGTCCCCTCACTCGGCTCTGTGCTTTGTTTAGGTGTGGCCCTCACTCTGCTCTGTGCTTTTTCTAGGTGTGGCCATCAAGATCCCCATCGTGTGTGTGGTGCTGGAGGGCGGCCCGGGCACGTTGCAGGTGAGCATGGCTGGGTGGGAGGGGGTAGGTGTGGGCCCGTCCTGCTGCTGGCAGATGACTGTCCAGAAGTGCTTGTCTCAGCACTCAAGACTGTTGGCAAGAGAGAGCGATGAGCTTGCCCACCAGGAGACGAGAAAGAGTGTCTGTCCTGTGACAGGGCTGCTTCCGGGTGGGCAGAGGACGGGTCGGAGGAAGGTGCCTGGGGGAGGAAGCTGGGCTTGGCTGTGACCAGACCATTGACTGGCATGGAAGGAAAGGATGGGGTCCCAGGGCCTGGAGTGAGTGGGGAGCCTCTGCTCCCGGGACCTGCCGGGGAGGCTGGGGAGTTTCTGCAGCTCTGCCCCCAAGATTCCTCCAGGAAGCATTTTTCTTTTTTTTTTTTTTTTTGAGACGGAGTCTCGCTTTGTCACCCAGGCTGGAGTGCAGTGGCCGGATCTCGGCTCACTGCAAGCTCCGCCTCCCGGGTTTACGCCATTCTCCTGCCTCAGCCTCCGAGTAGCTGGGACTACAGGTGCCGCCACCACGCCCGGCTAATTTTTTGTATTTTTAGTAGAGACGGGGTTTCACCATGTTAGCCAGGATGGTCTCGATCTCCTGACCTCGTGATCCACCCGCCTCGGCCTCCCAAAGTGCTGGGATTACAGGCGTGAGCCACTGCGCCCGGCAAAGGAAGCATTTTTCAAAGTACAGGGCCACGGCCCCCATCCCAGATCTGTGGTGCCAGCAGCTGTGTGACTGCGGATTTGGCATGCGGCCTGAATGCGCTGCTCTGCTGGCCTTCCTTCCTGACCCGAATCCTAACCGCTTTGTGGCGTGCAGGGTGCGAGGCGACCTCACCTGCTGTAGGAACGTATGAGGACATATAGCCTGCGGATCTGGACCAAGAGTGTGGGCTTTTGTGAAGGATGGAATCATAAGCAGTGTCCCATTTATGTTTCATGATTGCAGGAGGTCAAAACAGAGCCTTGGGGGCTTAAGGCTGGACAGGAATCCATAGAGCACTGGGTCCTCACTCCCTACACATGCCAAGTACCCTTCACGCTCTCCTGCTGGGGCAGCTACACCTGCCTCCTTATCCCAGGCGGATGCTCATACACATGGCAGGGTCCTTCCTGCCAGACGGCCTTGTGGCCAGTCTCTTCCCGAAGTCCAGCACCCCCTGGAGCCCGGGGGCCCTCCTCATTGCCCTGCTCTTACTGTGGGCTTTTATGAGGTTGGTAACTCCAGGTCCATGCAGCGTCCCCTTTGCTGCGAGGCCCTCACGTCTGCAGGTCCATAGGCAAAAATGCTGAGAGCCTTTGATTCTGCTGGTGCTGAGGCCCGAGAGGCGCCAGGTGTGCAGCCCCCAGTGTGTTGGGGCAGCTCCCTCTTCCCCCAGAGCAGGGGATGCCACCAAACTGATAAGTGCTTTCAGTGGATCTTGGAGTAGTGTTAGCCCAGCCCTTCCCTTAGCTGGCCTTGGAGAATTCTCCGTTCAGAAAGCGTTGGAGCGAGGTGAGGACCCAGTCCCGGGCTCACGCCCCCGCCTGCCTTGCAGACCATCTACAACGCCACCACCAACGGCACCCCTTGCGTAGTTGTGGAGGGCTCGGGCCGCGTGGCCGACGTCATTGCCCAGGTGGCCAACCTGCCTGTCTCGGACATCACTGTCTCCCTGATCCAGCAGAAACTGAGTGTGTTCTTCCAGGAGATGTTTGAGACCTTCACGGAAAGCAGGATTGTCGAGTGGACCAAAAAGGTGAGGCTGACGGGCACGATGGTCACCGGCATGTGGCTGCTTCACAGAGACACCAGCAGCCTGGTGGGCAGCACCAGGACTCACGGATCGATGCGGAGAACCCACCGGGTCTGAGCGGGTGCCAGAGCGATTTGCAGAGGGCAGGGCGCAGGTGGCAAGCCTCCTGGCTGGGTTCCGGAGGTCAGATCCCGTGACAGCACGTGAAAGGAGGGTGTGAACCTCACCGGCAGCACAGCAGGGCGGGTTGGGAACACTGCCAGGCTCATGGTGCTGTGAAAAGAGTCTGCTGGATTGGAGGGGTGGGAGGCAGGCGCTGGGGAGGCCTCAGCCGATTTGGGCAGCAGGGCAGCTGCTGAGTAATGGCTGTGGGTCGCAGGGTCAGTCCAGCTCATAGCCTCATGGGTGAGTTAATGGAGGCACGTAGAGTGGCCTCAGGAGGGGCCATTGCCCCCAGTCCAGGGGTAGATTTTGGGTGGCCCCTGCCATGACCCCAGCCTCCAGAGGGGGTTAGTTGTGAAGGGCCGTGGTTGGTCAGCCCTGACCACCTCACAAAGCCCTTGACCAGGGGGGCGGGCTCCAGTGGAGAGTTCCTGCCCTCTCTGTACCTGCTGGTTCCAGGGTCACCTGACTCAGTTCCTGGAGGATTGTTGGCGGGGGCTGGGACCGGGGCCTTTTCATCCTGTTTCCCAGCAAGCCGGGGCCGGCAGAGCCCTCAGTCTGTGTCTTTCCTGCAGAGCCTGGACATCCCCAGGTTCTGAGTGGCTGACATGCACTTTCCACGGCTCCCGCTGTGTTTAATTTGGGCTCTGTGGGCAGTGGTGGCCCCTAGCTGCAGGCCACAGGGACACGTGTATTTGGCCAGATTGGGCCTGTGGAGAATGGATTAAAAACGTGCACCCTCAGGAACCACGGGTATCGGAAAGGCTGGGTGGAGGTCTTTGTCCCGTTGGTCCATCTAGAAGCAGTTTCCGTGACTGGTGATTTGTGGGTGGCACAACGACCTTGTTTTCTTCTGTGGTTTGTGATGGTCTCAGAGTGACCTCGTTCTGCACGGATGTCTTCTGAGAGCGTGTTTGCCCGGCAGGAGAATAACATGATGTAGCCGCAAGCGTCAGATCAGTCTGTGAAAGCATCACGGTCCGGCTGTGAGCGGCCGCTCAGCTCCCAACGTCAGGGCGGCTTTCCTTCCTTCCCGGTGCCACTGGGACTTGTCAGGCAGGCCCTGGAGCCCTTTCTCTGCCGGTTGATAAATTATTCAGGCAATTTTCAGAACTGAGTTTAATCAGCTGTTGTTGAAAGGTGCTTATTTTTAATGCACTCTCCATAGCCAAGCCAAGGCCCTGAAAGTGGTGCTTTCACACGGAGCCGTCAGGCCTCAGCAGGGGCTCGGCTTTTCACTGACGCTCCTGCTCAGTGGGGAGAGGCTGAGCCACACAGCTGGGGTCAGCGCGCTCCCTTAACACGCCTTCTGGGAGTGTCCGTCTACACACTGGAGGAGTTGCAGACCCATCCTGGAGTGAGTGCTGCCGCTGGTGGGTGGCCCCGTCAGAGGGGCCCTGGGGCCTCCCTGCAAGGTCTGACAGCTGTGGCCAGGAAGAAGTTGTCCACCCTTGCTCAGCCTCGCCTTTCTCATCTATCAAGTAGGGGTACTGAGTGTTCCACTCAGATGAGGAAACAGGCCCTGGTGTCCGTATGGGCTCGGACGCTGGGAGCTGCTTGACCGTGTGAGGACAGGGGTGGGCTGAAGGCTGGAGACTTTTATGGGCTCAGACGCTGGGAGCTGTTTTGCCTTGTGAGGACAGGGGCTGAAAGCCAGGAGACCTTTGGCTGCTGGATGAGGGTGGAGTTCGCCAGGGAGTCCAGGATGTGTTTTGGAGTTGTCACGAAAGCTGGACCCCCAGGGATGGGGCACCGTTGGGGTCTTAGGCATGGAGGTGGAGTGTGAGGAGCCCTCCAGGTGAGGGCAGAGTCTGTGTGGAAGCAATGAGGCCAGGCTGGGGACGAGGAGAGAAGCAGAAGAGGCCAGGCGTGGCCAGCCTTGGGAGCAGTGGGAGCCATGGGAAGATGCGTTTGTGGAGTTGCCTGCCCTGGACACAGGGGGAAGGTGCTTCAAGGAGGAATAACTGTAGCAGACATACCTGCTAGGGACACCATGATGGATGGATGGATGGATGAATGGATGGATGAATAGTGGGTGGGTGGTAGGTAGATAGATGGATGATGGGTGGGTGTGTGGATGGATGGATGGATGGATGGATGGATGGATGGTAGGTGGGTGGGTGGGCATGTGGATGGATGGATGGATAGATGGGTAGCTAGATGATAGGTAGATGGATGGATGGATAGATAGGTAGACAGACAGACAGATGATAAAATGGATGGGCTGGGCACAGTGGCTGACACTTGTAATCCCAGCACTTTCGGAAGCTGAGGTGGGTGGATCACTTGAGGTCAGGAGTTCGAGACCAGCCTGGCCAACATGGTGAAACCATGTCTGTACTAAAAATACAAAAATTATCCAGGCCTGGTGGTGGGTGCCTGTAATCCCAGCTACTTGGGAGTCTGAGGCGGGAGAATTGCTTGAAGACAGGAGGTGGAGGTTGCAGAGAGCCAAGATCCTGCCACTGCACTCCAGCCTGAGTGGCAGAGCAAAAACTCTGTCTCAAAAAAAAAAAAAAAAAAAAAAGGATGAATTGATAAATACATAGATAGATAGATAGATGATAGATAGATAGTGAGTGGGAGGTAGATAAGTGGATGGATGAATGGTTGGAAGGTGGGTGTGTATATAGATGGATGGATAGCTAGACGATAGATAGATACATGTGGATGGATAGATGGATACATGGATAGGTGTATAGGTAGATACATACATACATACATAGATGAAACACACACGGATGGATAGATATATACATGGATGGATAGATAATATAGATAGATGGATAGATGCATAGATGGATAGATGGATAAGATTAGGTAGATAGATAGATGGATAGATGCATAGATGGATAGATAGATTGATCGATTGACAGATAAATCAACTGACAGATAGATAGATAGATAGATAGATAGATAGATAGATAGATAAATGGACAGATAGATAGGCAGGTAGGCAGGTGGTGAGGAGTGGCCCGGGCTTAGCAGGAGGGCCGGGAGAAGCAGCCTCACATGAAGCTGCACTAGCATCAGGATGAAGATCCGTTGCTCTTGGATTGTGTTTTCCACCCAACGGACTCGCACAAACGTGTTGTATTTGGTCCCCATGAATCTTCATCCACACCGTCTAAGGCAAGAGGAGATGTGATGGTGTCCTGACCACAAGGGCAGGCAGGACCCCGGGCTCTGGCTGTGTCTGGGGCCTCAATTCTGTGTGTCTTGGAGGAGGCAGGGGTTCAGGGGTCACTGTGTGTCTCACTTGGAAAATGCTTGTTGCAGATCCAAGATATTGTCCGGAGGCGGCAGCTGCTGACTGTCTTCCGGGAAGGCAAGGATGGTCAGCAGGATGTGGATGTGGCCATCCTGCAGGCCTTGCTGAAAGGTGAGGGTCAGGGAACATGGGGGGAATGGGGTGGAGGCCAGAACGTGGGCTCTGACGATGCTAAGTTCTAGTCTCGAAGTGCCATGATTCTGGGAACCAGAATATTCCTCCTTGGTCAGAAACCCTGACCAGAGGGCAGCTGGCGATGGGCAGGTGGGCGCCTGCCTGTCACCTGATGTTAGAGGTATGAGCTCCTTTATTTGTAACTGGAATCCGAGTGCAGCCGCTGTCATTTATACCTTTGTGATAGTCATAATTTCTCACAAAACTTCAGGGTGGAAAGGAAGAGCGTGGAAGTTGCCTCTCCCAATTTCCTGCTTGCTGGCTACTTTAGCTCCTCTACCTCTGATGCAGGAAAGAGTGTAGAGGCAGAGCAGGGCCTCAGGAATGGTGTGATGTACTCGAGCTGCAGTGGCTCTCTGTGTAACTTCTGTTGCTTAGCCTGGCCCATTCTCCAGGCCACAAACATCACTGTCCTCTTCTTATGCCACAGGTGAGAAGGCTCATGCCTCCTTGTCTTACCTAGCTGGATTCAACATGGCCAGGACATCCCTGACACTGGGAAGCCTTGGTCTTATACGTGCTCCTCCTGCCCGATGCTGGGCTTCTCACCCTCCAGGGTCAGAGGCCCCAGGCTGATTCTGAAGGGCTCAGCAGAGTGGGCCCAGGCTGGGATCAGCAGGGAACTTTTGTGATAAAGGCCAGACTTTCATCTTGTTTCTGTGTTGATTTGAGACTCCCCTTATCAAGCACTTGATGTGCATAAAACCTCACGCCCACAGTGAGATGATAGACTACGTATTAGATCACAAATTAAGTCTTAATTTATCTCTCAATAGATTTAAGGTAGATATTATACAAAGTATCTTCTCTGACAACAAGATGAAGTTAGGAATCAATAATGGATGTAAAAGTGGAAAATTCATGAGTTGTGGAAACTAAACACTACCTTAAACAGCCAATGGATCAAAGAAGAAATCAAAAGGGAAATCAAGAAACCAATGAAAACAAAAGCACAACATATCAAAGCTTATGGGACATAGCAAAAGCAGTGCTAATGGAGAAATTTATAGCTATAAATGCTTACATTAAAAAATAAGATCTTAGGCCAGGCGCGGTGGCTCATGCCTGTAATCCCAGCACTTTGGGAGGCCGAGGAGGGCAGATCACGAGGTCAAGAGATCGAGACCATCCTGGTTAACATGGTGAAACCCCGTCTCTACTAAAATTACAAACAATTAGCTGGGTGTGGTGGCGGGCGCCTGTAGTCCCAGCAACTTGGGAGGCTGAGGCAGGAGAATGGCGTGAACCTGGGAGGCGGAGCTTCCAGTGAGCCAAGATTGCGCCACTGCAGTCTAACCTGAGCGACAGAGCAAGACTCCTTCTCAAAAACAAAAAAGCGAAAAAAAAAATAAGATCTTAAACCAACAACCTAACTTTACAACTTAAGTAATTAGAAAAATAAGAACAAATGAAATCTTTTTCTCCAAGATCGAAATAAGGGAAGGATGCATCCTTTCACCACTTCTATTCAACATTGCATTGGAAGTTCAAGCCAGAGCAATTAGACACACACACACACACAAAAAAAAAACTTATACATTGGGAAGGAAAAAGTAAAATTATTTGTGTTCACAGATGATATGATTTTTGTATTTGTCCATTTTCACACTGCTATAAAGAACTGCCCAAGACTGTGTAATTTATAAAGGAAAGAGGTTAAATTGACTCACAGTTCAGCATGGCTGAGAAGGCCTCAGAAAACTTACAATCATGGTGGAAGATGAAGGGGATGCAAGGCACTGTCTTCACAAGGTGACAGGAAAGAGAGGTGCCAAATGAAGAAAGAAGAGCCCCTTCTAAGATCATCAGATCTCATGAGAACTTAGTATCATGAGAACAGCATAGGGGAAAATGTCCCCGTGATCCAACTACCTCCACTTCGTCTCTTCCTCGACACATGGGGATCATAGGGATTATAATTCAAGATGAGATTTGGGTGGGGACACAGAGCTTAACCATATCAATTTTCTATGCAGAAAACTGTAAAGATTCCACAACAAACCCCTATCTAATAAATGAATTAAGCAAAGTAGCAGGACCCAAAATCAACACACAAAAATCTGCTGCATTTCTATACACTAAAAATGAATACTCAGAAAAGGAAATTATGAAAACAATTCTATTTAGAGTAGCATCAAAAAGAAAAAAAATACTGAGGAATTAATTAAACCAAGGGGATGAAAGACTTGTACAATGAAAACTGTAAAACATTGCTGAAAGAAATGAAAGACATAAACAAATGGAAAGACATCCCATGTTCATGAATTGGAAGCCTTAATATTGTTAAGATGTCAATACTACTTAAAGCAATCTACAGAACCAATGCAATTCCTATCAAAACCCCAGTGATTTTTTTTTTTTTTTGCAAAAATAGAAAAGCTCATCCTAGAATTCATGTGGAGTCTAAAGGGATCCCAAACAGCCAAAATAATTTTGAAAGGGAAGAACAAAGCTGGAAGACTCACACTTTCTGATTTCTAAACTCACTACAAAGCTATAGTAATCAAAACTGTCCGGCAATGGTGTAAAGAAAGACATAGAGGACTGGGTGTGGTGGCTCATGCCTGTAATCCCAGTACTTTGGGAGGCCAAAGTGGGCTGATTGCTTGGGCTTAGGAGTTTGGGACCAGCCTGGGCAACATGATGAAACCCTGTCTATAAAAAATACAAAAGCTGGGCATGGCAATTCATGCTTGTAATCCCAGCAATGTGGGAGGTTGAGGGGAGAGGATCACTTGAGTTCAGAAGGTTGGGGCTGCAGTGAGCTATGATTGCACCACTGCACTCCAGCCTGGGCAACAGAGTGAGACCCTGTCTCAAAAAAACCCCCAAAAAGATGTGGAGAACAGTGGAACAGAATAGTTAGCCCAAAAATAAACCCTCACATATATGGTCAGATGATATTTGACACGAATGCAGAAATCATTCAGTGAGGAGAGGGATAGTCTTTTCAACAAATGATGCTGGATAAACTGGATATTCCCATGCCAAAGAATCAAGTTAGACCCTTACCTAACACCATATACAAAAATTAAGTCAAAGTAGGTCAAGGACTTCTAAATATAAGACCTAAACTCTTAGAAGAAAGCACAGGACAAAAACTTCATGACAAAGAATTTGGCAGTGGTTTCTTGGCTATGACACCTAAGGCACAGGAAACAAAAGAAAATATAGATAAATTGGGCTTTATGAAAATTAAAAATTTTGTTCATCAAAAGATATTATCAACAGAGTAAAAACGCAACCCATGGAATGGGAGAAAATATTTGCAAATCATACATATGGTAAGGGATTGGTATCCAGAATATATAGAGAACTCCTATAACTCAACAATAAAAAAACCCCAACACAATTCAAAAATGGGCAAAGGACTTGAATAGACATTTCTTTAAAGAAGATGTACAAATGGCCAATAAGCACATGAAAAGATGCTCAGCATCACTAATCGTTAGAGAAATGCAGATCAAAACTAAGAGATATCATTTCAAACACATTAGGATAGCTACTATAAAAGAGAACAGAAAATCACAAATGTTGGCCAGTGTGTGGAGAAACTGGAACCCTTGTGCACTGCTGGTGGATATGTAACATGGTGCAGCTGTCATGGAAAACAGGATGACAGTTCCTTAAAATTTAAAAATACAATTCCTATATGATCCAGCTATTTCACTTCTAGATATATATGCCACTCCCCACCCCCAAATTTAAAGTAGGGTCTGGAAGAGATATTTGTACACTCATGTTTATAGCTGTATTATCCGCAATAGCTAAAAAGTGGAAGAGGCCCAAGTGTCCATCGACAGAAGAATAGATAAGCAAAATATGGTCTATACCTAAATGGAATATTACTGAGCCTTAAAAAGGAAGGAAATTCTGACACATGATACAACATGGATGAACCTTGAAGACATTATGCTAAGTGAAATAAGCCAGTCACAAAAGGACAGATACTATATGATTCCACTTACATGAGGTCCCTGGAGTAGTCAAATTCATGGAGACAGAAAGTAGAATGGTGGGTGCCAAGGTCTGGGGGAAGGGAGTTGACCTTGGGGAGTTAGTGTTTAATGGGGATAGAGTTTTAGTTTCCAAGATAAAAAGATATATGGAGGACAGCGATGACGGCCGCACAACATTATTAATGTACTTACTACCAGTGAACTGTACACTTAAAAATATTTGGCTGGGTGAGCTGGCTCATGCCTATAATCCCAGCACTTTGGGAGGCTGAGGTGGGAGGATCACTTGAACCGAGGAGTTTGCGACCAGCCTAGGCAACATAGCGAACCCTGTCACTACAAAAAATTTTAAAAATTAGCCAGGTATGGTGGCACACACCTGTACTCTTAGTTACTCAAGAGGCTGAGGTGGGAGGATTGCTTGAGCCCAGGATGTTGAGGCTGCAATAAGCCTCATGATTATAAATATGATCACAGCACTGTGCTCCAGCCTGGGGGACGGAGTAAAACCCTGTCTCAAACAAAACAAAACAACCCCAAGAAGTTAAGATGGTAAATTTTATGCTACATGTATTTTACCACAATTTAAAAACATAATGAATTTTAAAATATCAACTTTATGAAGGTTCAGCTTAGAGGCAATAAGCTCCTCCAATTCTAAATGTATTGTATAACAAGCATAGACACCGTGACACACCACAGTCTCCATACAGGACATCTCCCTTACCCTGAATGTTCCCTCATGGCCCTTTGTAGTTAAGCCTCCCTCCTGCCTGGCTCTGAAAGTCATCTGTCTGCTTTCTGTCACTCTAGAATAGTTTTGCCCATTTTAGAACTTCACATGAATGAAATCATACATGATACATTCTTTCGTGTCTTGCTTCTTTTGCTCAGTGCATTGTTTTTGAGATTCATCCATGTTGTTGCATGTGTCAGAACTTCGTTCTTTTTTGTTTGTGAAGGAGTGTCCTATTGTGTGAATATACCACAGGTTGTTTTTCCAGTCATCTATTGGTGGGCATAGATTGCTTCCAGTTTGGGGCTGTTATGAATAAAGCTGCTATTTGTCTTCATTTCTCCTGGGTCAATATCTAGGAGTGGAATTACTGGCCTTTATGGTAAGTGTATGTTTCACTTTGTAAAAAACTGACAAACTTTTCTGAAAAGATTGAAAAGATTGCATTCCTTTTCCTGTTTGCTGGCAATGGATGAGCGTTACCCTACATCCTTGTCAACACTTGGTGTTGTCAGTCTTTTAAGCTGTAGCCATCCTAGTGGGCATGAAGAGACATTTCACTGTGGTTTGAACTTACATTTCCCTGAGGACTACTGATGTGGAGCATCATTTTAAGGACTTTTTGGCCATTTGCCTGTCTTCCTTCTGAAATGTCTTTCAGATCTCTTGTCCATTTTTATTTGATTATTTGTCTTCCAATTTTCGATTTGTAAGAATTATTTTTATATTCTGATACAAATCCTTTGTCAGATATTTTCTCATGGTGTGTAGTTTGCTTTCATATTTTCTTCAAGATGTCTTTGAAGAGCAGGAGCCTTAAATTTTTTTATTGTTATTTTTATTTATTTATTTGTTTATTTTTTTGAGACGGAGTCTCGCTCTGTCGCCCAGGCTAGAGTGCAGTGGTGCAATCTCGGCTCATTGCAAGCTCCACCTCCCAGATTCACACCATTCTCCTGCTTCAGCCTCCCAAGTAGCTGGGACTACAGGCGCCCACAACCACGCCCACCTAATTTTTTGTTTTTTTAGTAAAGACGGGGTTTCGCCATGTTAGCCAGGATAGTCTCGATCTCCTGACCTCATGATCCGCCCACCTTGGCCTCCCAAAATGTTGGGATTACAGGCATGAGCCACTGCACCCAGCCAATTTAATTAGTTTTTCTTTATGGTTCATGTTCTTTGTGTCATAGCTAAGAGATCTCTGCCCATCCCAAGGTTGCAGATATTTTCTTCTGTTTTCTGATAGCAGCTTTGTAGACATAGCCTTTATGTTTGGGCCTATGAACCGCTTCAGGTTGATTCTTGTGTATGGTGTGACGTAAGGGTCAAAGTTCTTTTTTCTTTTTCCCCAAATAACAACCCATGTTTTGAAAAGTTAAACCAGAAAGAGAGCACAGAAAGTACTTGAGCAAAATAACTTGTCCTGAGAACCAGTGAGGTGGTTGTTGCCATTGAACATTTACAGGCAATTGAGGCAGGATTGGAAATGCGATGGCTTCTGAGTCCTGAGTTTTGGATGAGTTAGTGTAAGATGCCTGCCCTCCAGAGACCTATGTCTTCTTAAAACAGGGAGGCCCTTTTCTTGCTCACTGCCCACCTGTTGCTCAGGGGCCAGGGCATGGCCAGGAGGAGGGCAGGGGAAATAGGGGTGCATGGACATGATGACTAAAGCCCCAAGATTCACTGATTCTGACTGTGAAATGGAACATGATTTTGCAAGGCTGTGTGTATGGGAGGAGGTCACTGGGTGCTGCACCTGTCACTTTGAATTGTTGAGAGGCAAGAGCTCATGACACATCTCTGCCTCTGACATCATAAGTCAGTCGCCCTGGAGGGAAATGGCTTTGAGCCCCAGATCAAGGCCCAGTGTGCACCTGTTCATCTGCAGCCTCCCGGAGCCAAGACCACTTTGGCCACGAGAACTGGGACCACCAGCTGAAATTGGCAGTGGCATGGAATCGCGTGGACATTGCCCGCAGTGAAATCTTCACGGATGAGTGGCAGTGGAAGGTAAGTCTTCCTGAGTGCCCTGTGGAGGGGCCCACTGGGCCCACGTGCATTGCCCCACTGAAACAAGGGCAGGCGAGGATTGCCTCGTCTGGATCCCAGCCCTTCCCTTTAGGGTGGGTGACCCGGGCAGCTTTCATCCTCCCCAGCAACAGCAGCCCCCATCTCCAGGGTCTTTGAGATCAGGATGACATGGGGTGATGACCAAATGCATCCGTCACCACACAATGCTTGCTCTCAGCCTTCAGATCTGCACCCCATGATGACGGCTGCCCTCATTTCCAACAAGCCTGAGTTCGTGAAGCTCTTCCTGGAGAACGGGGTGCAGCTGAAGGAGTTCGTCACCTGGGATACCTTGCTTTATCTGTATGAGAACCTGGAGCCCTCCTGCCTGTTCCACAGCAAGCTGCAGAAGGTGCTGGCGGAGGAACCTGAGCGCCTGGCTTGTGCACCCGCTGCGCCCCGCCAGCAGATGCACCATGTGGCCCAGGTGCTGCGGGAGCTGCTGGGGGACTTCACACAGCCGCTCTACCCCCGGCCCTGGCACAGCGACCGGCCTCGGCTCCTGCTGCCCGTGTCCCACATCAAGCTCAATGTGCGTGCTGGTAACGGGGCCCAACCTGGCCTTGCCCGCGCGGGATACTGCCATGTTCTTAGAGCTCTCTGTTTTTAAAATTAGCTTTTATTTTTATTAGAAAAGACACATGCTCTATCTTAGGCTGCTTGGGCTGCTGTAACAAAATTCCACAGATGGGGCAGAAACTACCAGTTTATTTTCTGGAAGTTCTGGGGGCCCGAAGTCCCAGATTAAGGCACCAGCAGGGCTGGCTTCTGGCCAGGGCCTCTTCCTGCTTGCACGTGGCTGCCCTCTTGCTGTGTCTTCACATGACAGAGAGAGAAGTCTCTGGTGCCACTTCCTTTTTCTTTTATTTATTTTTTATTTTATTGAAACAGGGTCTCACTCTGTCGTCCAGGCTGGAGGGCAGTGGCGTGATCATAGCTCACTGCAGCCTCAACCTCCCAGGCTCAAGCAATCCTCCCACCTCAGCCTCCCAAGTAGCTGGGACTACAGGTGTGCACCACCACACCTGGCTAATTTTAAAAATTTTTTTAGAGACGGTTTTGCCATTTTGGACAGGATGGTCTCAAACTCCTGGTCTCAAGTGATCCACTCTCCTTAGCCTCCAAAAGGCTGGAATTTACACCCTTGAGCCACCATGATTTGCCTATCTTTATGTTTGAGACAGGGTCTGGCTCTGTCACCCAGGCTGTAGTGCAGTGGTGCAATCATGGCTCACTGTAGCTTCCACCTCCTGGGCTCAAGCAATCTTCCTGCCTCAGTTGCTTGAGTAGCTGGGACTATAGGCACGTGCCACCATGCCCAGGTTTTTTAAAATTTGTTTTTGTTTTTTTATGTTTTGTAGAGATGGGGTCTCATTATATGGCCCAGGCTGGTCTCAAACTCCGGGGCTCAAGTGATCCTCTGTCTTGACTTCCCAAAGTGCTGGGATTGCAGGTGTGAGCCTCTGCACCTAGCCTCACTCCTCTTTTTATAAAGAGAACACACCTATCCACTTAGGAACCCACAATGTGGCCTCATTTAACCTTAATTACCTTCTTAAAGACCCTATCTCCAAGTGCTGTAGTCACATTGGGGGTTAGAGCTTCAACATATGAATTTTAGGGGGACACAGTTCAGTCCATACCATACCCTTTCTAAAAGTTCCAAACAGTACAAAAGGTTCTGCAGGGAGCATGATCCGCCTGCCCTGATCCCACTCCTGCCCAGTAGATGTGCTTGTTTTTTCCTACAGTCAGGTCAGTAACATTCCAGAGTATTTTTGTGAGATGCCCAGTGTGCACTGCAGCTGTAGGAGAGTGGATGCTGTAGTCTCCATCCTGATTCAATGGGAGCCCTGCTCTAGTCTCACCTTCATTTAATGGGAACCCTGCTCTAGTCTCCAACTTTATTTAATGGGAACCCTGCTCTAATATCCATCCTTATTCAATGGGAACCCTGCCCTAATCTCCACCCTGATTCAATGGGAACCCTGCTGTAATCTCCACCCTGATTCAATGAGAACCCTGCCCTAGTCTGTGTACCCTTATTCAGTGGGAACCTGGCAGTGACTCAATGTCAGGAATGATGCTGGATTTTGTATTTGTTTTTCTCTTGGGAGTATTTTTTTTTTTTTTTTTTTTTGAGACAGAGTCTCGCTCTGTCACCCGGGCTGGAGTGCAGTGGCCGGATCTCAGCTCACTGCAAGCTCCGCCTCCTGGGTTTACGCCATTCTCCTGCCTCAGCCTCCCGAGTAGCTGGGACTACAGGCGCCCGCCACCTCGCCCGGCTAGTTTTTTGTATTTTTTTTTTTAGTAGAGACGGGGTTTCACCATGTTAGCCAGGATGGTCTCGATCTCCTGACCTCGTGATCCGCCCGTCTCGGCCTCCCAAAGTGCTGGGATTACAGGCTTGAGCCACCGCGCCCGGCCTCTTGGGAGTATTTATCTCTGATTCATTAAGGTTTTACAAAACAAAGCATCAGATGCCTTTGAGAAGATTGAGCTGCTTTTCTTCTTTGACCTATGAATTTGGCGAATTATTTTAACAGATTTTCTGACAGTGAAACATGTTTTTATTCCTGTTTTGAATTTCAGCTTGGCCTCAGTGCAAGTTTAATATACTGGATTCTCTTGACAACATTTTCAGGGTGTTTGCATCAGAATGCTTAAGCCTTTGATTGCAGTTTTATTTGGGGAGCTATATTTGTCAGGTTTTGATAGCAATTTTATGTTAGTTTTGTAAAAACCATTTGGGAAGCTTTCTTTCCTTCTCCGCTGCAGGACAGTTTATGCATCTGGAGTTAATCGCTTCTTATAACCTTGGTCGACTCCCCTGTGAGTCCATTTGGGCCCAGTGCCTTTTTTTTTTTTAAATTGGTAATAGTTCTAGTAACTTTCTTGTTTATTTTCTGATTATTTTTATGTTTAGGTTCTCCATCTCCTCTAAGCTCACATTTGGTTTTGTTTTTTTCCTGCTAGAAAATAGTCTATTTCCTCCAGGTTTTCCAATCGATCCATTGTTCCAGGTGAGCTCTGTCTTCACTCTTGAGAAAGACATGGGTATGACTTGGTTTTTTTGTTTTTTGTTTTTGAGACGAAGTTTTGCTCTTATTGCCCAGGCTGGAGTGCAATGGCATAATCTCGGCTCACTGCAACCTCTGCCTCCTGGGTTCCATTGAGTCTGTTGCCTAAGCCTCCTGAGTAGCTGGGATCACAGGCTCCCACCACCATGCCCGGCTAATTTTTTGTATTTTTAGTAGAGATGGGGTTTCACCATGTTGGCCAGGCTGGTCTCGAACTCTTGGCCTTAAGATCCACCCATCTTGGCTTCCCAAAGTGCTGGGATTACAGGCGTGAGCTACTGCATCAGGCCGGGTATGGCTTGGTTTTATACATTAACAATCTGCACTTCTTAAGTCCAGAGAGTTTATTTAGGACGCTCAGTTGGAATATGCTTAGGAAGGTCCAAAACAGAAGCTCAGGCTTATCCGTACCTGTGGTTCAGGAAGAAAAACACATTTCTTTATAATGAAAAACCTTCAGGAAATCTCTAGGATCCCTTGAGGTGTGTTTTTTACAGTATGTGATTTTGGAGATGTTTTCTCTACTTCTGGGAAGTATTTCCCAGCTACGTGAGGACGTGCTTCCTGGTCCGGGGAAAAGCCCAGCCGTGTAGGGGAGGTGGGTCTGGGCAAGGTGCCCCGTCCTTGCTCGTGTGTGAGCCTTGTCGCCCACCTGGCAGATCTTTCCTAGTGGTTGCTCTGCCAGAGACACTGAAGGAGATTCCCTCAGGGAGAAGACAGTCACTGACCTGCTAACACCCTCCACTGTGCTAGAAGTTTACTTCGTTGAAAGTGGCTTTGATGCCATCAGATAAGACTAGGGAACCTTGAAGTGCCTGGCATGAAACAAGAGTCTACAAACGTTGGTAAAGGAGTTAGATGGGTATTTCACTTTCTAGATGTTTCTAGATGTCTCTAGAACAGTGCTTTAAAAAACTTCAGTGTGCATAAGAATGATCTAGGCTGTTGCTGAAAATTCAGGCTGTAGTTCTCCAGGGACAGTGAGATCCTGAGAAGGTCAGGGCTGGGATTAGGGCTTTCACCTCTAACAGGTTCCTCCAGTGACTCTAAGCCAGTGGGGACCAGCTGGGGCTCTGACTGTCCACTGCTTACCAGGTACAGGGAGTGAGCCTCCGGTCCCTCTACAAGCGTTCCTCAGGCCATGTGACCTTCACCATGGACCCCGTTCGTGACCTTCTCATTTGGGCCATCGTCCAGAACCGTCGGGAGCTGGCAGGAATCATCTGGGCTCAGGTAATAAGACCGGCTTCTGAGCAGACACAGCTATAGGCCAGTGGCCAACTGGGGAGCGTGGCTGGAGAGCTTGAGGCCAAGTGCCAGCGGGGCCTGTGGAGGGGTGTGGGCATCTCCAACATCAGGAAGGACTTGGGGCACCCGGAGTTGGAGAACAAAGAACTTAGCTCTAGGCAGGAAAGAAATTTTTTTTTTTTTTTTTTTAAAAGACGGAGTCTCGCTCTGTTGCTCAGGATGGAGTGCAATGGCATGGCCTTGGCTCACTGCAACCTCTGCCTACTAGGTTCAAGCGATTTTCCTGCCTCAGCCTCCTGAGTAAATGGAACAACATGCATGTGCCACCACGCCTAGCTAATTTTTTATGTTTTTAGTAGAGATGGGGTTTCACCATATTGGTCAGGCTGTCTCAAACTCCTGACTTCATGATCCACCTGCCTCGGCCTCCCAAGGTGCTGGGATTACAGGCATGAGCCACTGTGCCTGGCCTAGGAAAGGAATTTTTAAATTAAAAGTTCTGCTAAAAAAACTCATTCTGTGGTTATGTCCAGGGCTGAGTCTTGCTGGACACACACAGGCCGGGTGGTGCCACCCTCTGCAGCTCACACTGGTTCTGGTGGGGGCCGGTGCATGCGCTGGGCATGTGCTGTCCATTAGGCTTTGCAGGGCAAGCAGTCCCCTCCCACAGGCTACGCGGGAGCCTGGACCATCAGAGGTTGTGTACTGATTGGAGTGGGGCTTAAATTGTCTGTGTAGATGTGGTCACAGACAGTGATTGCCCAGCGGCCCGCACCGTCCCCGGGCCTTGTTTTCATCACCCAGGGCAGTGTGTTGGGTTCCCCAGGCTGGGTCGAGCCTGGCTAGGCCCTTTAGAGTCTCACGGTGGCTCCTCCGGTCCCCAGAGCCAGGACTGCATCGCAGCGGCCTTGGCCTGCAGCAAGATCCTGAAGGAGCTGTCCAAGGAGGAGGAGGACACGGATAGCTCGGAGGAGATGCTGGCACTGGCAGAGGAGTGTGAGCACAGAGCCATTGGTGAGCTCTGCCAGGCACGGGCTGCAGGCCATGGCTCAGTCATGCATGCTTTCACTGGGGTCCCCATCCCTGGGTCTCAGCCATGCTCGCCCTCACCCTCGTCCCTGGGTCTCAGCCCCATGTGCTCTCACCCTGGGGTCCTCGTCCCTGGGTCTCAGCCCTACGTGCTCACCCTGGGGTCCTCCCTCATCCCTGAGTCTTGGCCCCATAACCACCCACTGGGTTTCTCTTGCCTGCTGCCCAGATAGAGCCCATTTGTTAAGACAGTGAGATTGCAATACAGAAAGAGTTCAATTCCCACAGAGCCGGCTGAATGGGATGCTGGAGTTTCATCACCCAAATCAGTCTCCCTGAAAATTTGGAGACTTTTTTTTTTTTTTTTTTGAGACAGAGTCTGGCTCTGTTGCCCAGGCTGGAGTGCAATGGCACAGTCTCAGCTCACCACACCCTCTGCCTCCCGGGTTCAAGCAATTCTCCTGTCTCAGCCTCCTGAGTAGCTGGGATTACAGGCACATGCCACCACGCCTGGCTAATTTTGTCTTTTTAGTGGAGATGGGGTTTCATCATATTGGTCAGGCTGGTCTCGAACTCCTAACCTCAGGTGATCCACCCACCTCAGCCTCCCAAAGTGCTGGGACTACAGGCGTGAGCCACTGCACCTGGTGAGACTGGGGGTTTTTAAGGATAATTTGGTGGATAGGGGACCAGGCAGTGGGGAGCACTGATGGGTTGGGCCAGAGGTGAAATCACAGCGGATTCTTCTCGCTGTCTGCTGTTCCTGGATGTGGTCACAGAACTGGTTGGGCCAGATTTGCAGTCGGGGTGGCAACAGTGGTGCATCAGAACGCAGGCTCTGAAAATATCCTGGGTTTTCCGACAGTGATGTTACTCCTAGGAAGAGTTGGTGCGGTTTGGAATCTTGTGGCCTCTGGCTGTATGACTCCTAAACTGTAATTTCTAATTTGTGGCTACTTTGTTAGTCTTACAAAGGCAGACTGGTCCCCGGCAAGAAGGGGGTTGGTTTTGGGAAAGGGTTACTATCATCTTTGTTTGGAAGTTAAACTATAAACGAAGTTCCTCTCAAAGTTAGTGTGGCCTGTGCCCAGGAATGGACCTTGGAGGTTAGAAGCAAGATGGAGTTGGTTAGGTCAGTTCTCTGTCCCCGTCATAATTTTCTCCTTGTTGTAATTTTTGTAGAGGTGGTTCCAGCCCTATGTGCCCTCTCCCTGGGGTCCTCTTCCCCGGGCCCGGGTGTTTTGAGACATCAGCCTCACATTTGCCCTGTACACTTCCCTGTTTCCTGGTGGTGCTTTCCAGAGTGGTTACCCTCTGACTCGTCCCCAGGGCTCAGTGATTGTGACCTGCTTCTCTGACGGGGTCTTATGTCTCCGCCCAGGGGTCTTCACTGAATGTTACCGGAAGGACGAAGAGAGAGCCCAGAAACTGCTCATCCGCGTGTCCGAGGCCTGGGGGAAGACTACCTGCCTGCAGCTTGCCCTGGAGGCCAAGGACATGAAGTTTGTGTCTCATGGAGGCATCCAGGTGACCTCCCAAGGGCGCCTTCCAGAAACAGATGCCTGTGGTGCCTTCAGGGCGGACACAGCCTCCTGTTCACGCAGTCGGCACGCACACTCACACGGGCTTCAGGGCCCTCAGAGGCTCGGGGACAGCGCCTGACCCCTTGGCCACCTGCTCCAGGCTCTGGCCTCCCATTTTGCAGACAGGGAAACTAACGTGAAGCAAAAGCAGGAGCTGGTGGCTGCGGAGGTCACAGTTCACCTCCCCACGGACATTCCTATCTGGGAGCGGCAGGCTTCTTTAGAAGCCCAGGTGGCTCTGGGAACAGTGTCTGCCCTCTCTTCCTGAAGGGATAAGTGGGACACGGCGTGTCCTCCCTGGAGACGCAGGGGCTCCCGGGCATGGCTGCCCTCAGCATCGCCCTGGCACCCCTGGTGGGGCCTGGCCCACAGCAAGTGCCCCTTGCATGCTGGGCTTCCTTGGAGCTCCGAGCTATTGCCAAGTCCATGAGCTCCCATCGTGTCCTGGGCTGTGCCGGGCCTGCAGAGGGGTCCTGTCCCCCACTGCAGAGCTCAGAGGGGCCAGCGCTCGACAGGCTGCAACTGCGGGGCCTTAGAAGCCAGCAGAGATGGGGTCCCATAGCTCAAGGTCATGTGAAGGGTGGGATTGGGCACCCAAATGCCCCCGGGCAAGCTCTGTGTTTTCACCACTTTCTGCTGTGAGACTACAGGCAGTTCTGTCCACTAGGCACCCCGAGTCCTCAGCAGACAGCTGATGGGCACCATCTGGGGCACAGGGCTGGGCACCACCATCCTGAGACTGCCCCCATCCGCAGGCCTTCCTGACCAAGGTGTGGTGGGGCCAGCTCTGTGTGGACAACGGGCTGTGGCGTGTGACCCTGTGCATGCTGGCCTTCCCGCTGCTCCTCACCGGCCTCATCTCCTTCAGGTGCTGCAGGGCTGCGGGGCTGCGGGACTGCGGGGCTGTGGGAGGGGCTCCTGGGGGCTCAGGACCTTCCCCAGATCCCCTCGCTGGGAGCAAGTCATGTGTCCTCAGAATTGTGCCTGATCCTGGGGCCATAGAGATGGGGGTGGGAAGCAGAGCAGGGCCCCACGTGCTGGAAGCACCTGCCCTGCCCCAGCCCCAGCCCCAGCCCCAGCCCCAGCCCCAGCGCTGATCGCATGATGCTGGGGAGCCCATCCCTTGGCCACAGCAGCCTGGGGTCAGGGAGGCCAGGAAAGATGGTCTCCTGCTCCTGCCGGCACTGCAGACTTGAGCCAGTCTGGGGCTCAGGCAGTGAGTGCAGGTCTAGGGTAGGGGCAGTGAGCCGCGGCTGAGTGCCTCCCTGTCCTCCCAGCTGCAGAGCCTGTATTGATGTAATCGCTTTCCCTTCAGAAGGAGGAGGACATGGCTGGCCATGGTTGAAGACCTGGCCTGGCCTGGTGTCCCCACCTGCATCTCCTCAGAGGCTTGCTGGGACGTTGTGGGGTCTGCTGTGGTTTACTGAGGGCTGGATGGAGGCTCAGGGTCTCCTGGAAGTCAGGGCAGATTCAAGACTCCAGCGAGGTGGCTGAGCCCCTTCTGCAACTCACAGGCCATACTGCCCACCTCCTTCCCTTTCTCCTGATGGCCACGATGGGTACCTGAATGCTCAGGAATCCTGGTGGGAAACTGAGGCAGGGAGGAGCGGCTCAGGTGTCCTAAAGCAGTGCTGGCTTCTCCTATGCTGTCCTGAGGGTGGCAGAGCCGTTTCACTGATGGCTGCCTCTGCTCCCGTTCCAGCGGCCCCGGGATCAGGGTATGCCACAGGGGGAGTGTGGTCGGCCCTGCCCCCAGTGAGGATGGTGAGGAAAGCCTGTCCCCATTTACAGGAGGGTGACTAAGGCCTGAGCGTCCACTGAGCACCGGGAGCTCTGAAGCTGGGGTCCACCCAAGGCTGGGCTTGGGGCAGGCTGGGCTTCCCTGTTTGCAGCCATGAGAGTCATGGCCATGGGCAGGGTGTCAGCGGGCATCCCTGTGTCCTCACTTTGCTGGGCTGTGGGGTCCAGCCCCACTCTGGTGGCTGCGCTGTGCTGGCTCCGCCTGGAGCTGCTGTTCTGGCCCTGGATCCCTGAGTGCTTTTGCCCCTAAAAGCACATCTCTCTGAGGGGCACGGGGGATCATGGGGTGGCCAAAGCCTGTGGAGGTCAGGACCCTGGCCCTGGCGGTCACTGTCTCCTCTCCACTGCGACGGCCACAGAGAGAAGAGGCTGCAGGGGGTAAGCAGCCCCGTGGCCCGCGCCCGCGCCTTCTTCACCGCGCCCGTGGTCGTCTTCCACCTGAACATCCTCTCCTACTTCGCCTTCCTCTGCCTGTTCGCCTATGTGCTCATGGTGGACTTCCAGCCCACGCCCTCCTGGTGCGAGTGTGCCATCTACCTCTGGCTGTTCTCCTTGGTGTGTGAGGAGACGCGGCAGGTACAGCCCCATCCACCTTTCCACGCCCCAGCCCGGGGCCGCCCACTTGGCTGCATTCTGGTAGGGGACCCAGGGCTTAGAGCCCACCCCACCTAGCCTGCCTAGCCCCTTGCGAGCTGGGCAGAGCCAGTGCTCCCCAAAATGGGTGGCTGGGGCCCCTCCCTCCTTGTGCCCACTGTGCCTGCTTCCCTGCTTTCCCTCAGCCCAGACATCCTCCCCTCCTGGAGACCAGTTGATCAGCTCCAGGTGGATGCCCTGACCTTGTGGACTTTGAATGGGTGTGTCCCCTCCCCCAGGAAGAGCTATGCAAGGTGGGGGGTCCCTAAGACCCCTCTCACATTCAGTAACTAGCCAAAAGGACCCACAGACGCTGGGGAGTGGCAATGCTCACTTACGGTTTATTAAGCAAAAGTCTACAGACTAAAGCAGCCAGGGGGAGGGACACAGCTGCATCCAGGACAGCTCTGAGCCCAGGGCATCCTGGCAGCCCCTCCCTGTGGAGGGGTGGGTGGCACTCCATCCTCCCAGTGATGATGTGTGGCCTCAGGCATGGAGGCACGGTCCCCAGGGAAGCTCGCGGGCCTTGGTGTCTACTAGAGGTCAGTCACAGAGGCGCGGCTGACACCACATGATTGACCTCAGTCTCTAGCCCTCCAAAGGTCAAACTGAAAACTGCCCAGGGCCCCACCCCAACCCAAATCACACTGTGGGACTACCTGGCGTGGCCCAGGCCCCAGGTAAACAAGGACAGCCTCATCATATGGACATTCCAAGGGCTCAGAGGCTACCTCCCTGGAGCTGGGCGAGGCCAAGCTGCCCTCCAGGTGGGGCGAATCCCTTACTGTGTGGGGTCTCCACCGTGTCCCTATGGTGCCTGCACCTGCTGGCAGCCGGTGAATGGGAACTAGGCCCATGGGACCCTCAGGGAAGTGGTGAGGGGGTGGGATTGGCCACAGGGCAGTGGTCCTGGCTTTGACTCATCTGTGCTCTCTGACCTTGGTGGAGCACCAGGCCCCCAGTTAGAAAGCGGTGTGCACTGTGTAAATACCACTGCCTACTGGGGCCCTCGGGGAGGCACTGGCACCCCCAGGAAGGAAGATCAGGGCCAGGACTGGGCGGGGCCTGGGAGTTGTGTTGTGGCCCTGGCTTTGCCGGGCTCTCCTTGGCCTTCCTCTTGCCACATGGCTTCTGCCACTAGACCCTCTCTACGAGGCCTCTCTGGAGGCCTCCATGCACCCCTAGCCCCAGCCCCATGCGCAGCAGCCTGAGAGCAGAGGGCACTTCCTACTCCCTGCGTCTGTCTGTGATCCGGGGAGGGCCCTGGTTGGTCCTGCTGGTCACCTGCCCCACCTGTCCAGCTGCTGGGTCCTGGGGCCTGTGGCTAGGAAGGGTGTGGGGACTCCTGCCAAGCAGACCAAATGGGGGTTCCCACAGCTCCTACCAGGGTCCTGCACTCTTGGCCTGCTGAAGAAGCGATGTGGCCCCCAACAGAACAAGCATCCCTGTGGGAAGGCAGCTGGCGCCTGACAGTGAGGAGGGGGCTGCTGCAACACACACACACACATGCACACGTGCGCACACATGCATACACATACAGATACATGCACACATGTACATTCACACAAATGCACACATAAGCATATGCACACACACATGCACACATATACATGCACACATATGCACACATTACACAGGCACACACATACATGCATATGCATACACACACATGCACACATAAACATGCATACACACGTGCACATGCACACACATGCATACATGCACACACACATACATATACACATACATATACACATACACATGCATACACACATACAAATATACAGACATAAACACACACATGCACATGTGCACACATACACACATGCACACACACAGCACACATGCATACACATACACGTACACAACACATACACATGCATACATACATGCACACACATGCACATGCATACACATGCATACACACACAAATATACACATCTCCATATAAGCATACACATACACACACGTACATACCTACACATATACACACAAGCTCATACACATGCACACATACATATACACGTACACATACACATACGAACACACATACAGACACATACATATATATACACATGTACACATACAAGAAAAATATATACATATACACACAGACACACATAGAAACATGCAAACATGCGCACATACAATACATACACACATATACATACACACATACAAATGTATGCACACAGTGCACACACACATATACATACATACACATACACAAATACCTGCACACACACACATACACACATATTCAGACATATACACACATACATGCAGAATATATGTACATACACATATACGCACATACAGGTGCTGAGTGAGCAGGGCGCCAGGGGAGCTGCTGCCAGCACTACTCCGCATTGTTCCTCCACCTCCTGTTCCCATCTCCCTCACTGACCCAGCTCTCTTCAGACCAGAACCAATGTTCGGATTTGCTGACCATGATGACAGCATCAGTGATAGTCATGATAGTGATAGTGCTAGTGACAGTGACAGTAATTGTGATGATAGAGATAGTGATGACAGTGGAGAGTGATGTGACAGTGACAGGATAGTGATGATAGTGACAGTTTTTGTGATGATAGTGGAGAGTGATGTGACAGTGACAGTGAGGATAGTGATGAACAGTGTCAGTGATAGTGATGATAGTGACTGTGGTGATGATAGTGGAGAGTGATGTCACAGTGACAGGACAGTGGTGGTAGTGACAGTGATAGTGGTGATAATGACAACAGTGACTGTGATGACAGTGATAGTGATGATAGAGGAGAGTCATGTGACAGTGACAGGATAGTGGTGATAGTGATGATAGTGACAGTGTGATAGTGCCAGTGACAGTGAGGATAGTGGTGATAGTGATTATGATGATAGTGACAGTGGCTGATGATGATAGTTGGATAGTGATGGTGACAGTGAGGACAGTGGTGATAGTGATTATAGTGACAGTGACAGGATAGTGATGATAGTGACAGTGACTGTGATTGTGATGATAGTGATAGTGATGATAGTGGATAGTGATGTGACAGTGATGGTGATAGCGAGGACGGTGGTGATAGTGAGTGATAGTGGTGATAGTGACAACAGTGACTGTGATGGTAGTGATAGTGACAGTGATTGTGATGATAGTGATGATAGTGGAGAGTGATGTGACAGTGACAGGATGGTGGTGATAGTGATAGTGATGATAGTCATGATAATGGATAGTGATGTGACAGTGATGGTGACAGTGAGGACAGTGGTGATAGTGACAGTGACAGTGGTGATAGTAACAACAGTGATTGTGATGATAGTGGAGAGTGATGTGACAGTGATGGTGACAGCGAGGACAGTGGTGATAGTGACAACAGTGACTGTGATGATAGTGACAGTGATTGTGATGATAGTGACAGTGATTGTGATGATAGTGGATAGTGATGTGACAGTGATGGTGACAGGACAGTAGTGATAGTGACAGTGGTGATAGTGACAGTGATTGTGATGATGACAGTGGAGAGTGATGTGACAGTGATGGTGACAGGACAGTGGTGATAGTAACAGTGGTGATAGTAACAACAGTGATTGTGATGATAGTGGATAGTGATGTGACAGTGATGGTGACAGCGAGGACAGTGGTGATAGTGACAGTGGTGATAGTAACAACAGTGATTGTGATGATGATAGTGGATAGTGATGTGACAGTGACAGTGAGGATAGTAAGAGTGACAGTATGTCTGCCTCCCCACCGCCCCTCTTCCCAGTAGCTCTTCTATGACCCTGACGAGTGCGGGCTGATGAAGAAGGCAGCCTTGTACTTCAGTGACTTCTGGAATAAGCTGGACGTTGGTGCGATCTTGCTCTTTGTGGCAGGGCTGACCTGCAGGTGAGTGGCCTCACCCCGATGGTGGGCCCCTGTCTGAGGCAGCCAGCCCCGCAGGGGATGAGCACAGGCCGGGCCCGGAGCCAGCCGTACCAGACGAGGCTCAGCTCCTCTGTGAACCCTGGATTGTCATCTAACGGGTGTCCGGGTGACAGTGTCCCACCTACCCTTGGGATTGTCGAGGGAGCACAGAAGGGGCATGAGAGCTCCTGGCAGAGCTGAGATTGTCCATGTGCTAGGGGCCATGGATGGCAACCACTGGAATTGTCCCAGCTCCACGGACACGCAGCTGCCCCTTTCTCCCTCTACCTCCCTGCTGTGGGGTCACTGCACTGCCTGTGATGGTCTCGGGTCTCTGCGAGGCCACGGCCCCCTTTCTCTGAGGCAAGAGAGCCCTGGCTACCTGCTGGCTCCCTAGGGTGCCCCCATGCCAGACTGTCCTGTGGGGCTGGGCGTCCAGACCTTTCTGAAGAGAAGTGGGAGGCTCTGCTCCTCGATCTCATGCAGGCTTTGAACACCTGGGATGCAGGGCCCACCAGAGCCCTTTGCCTCCAGGGCCCACCTGGGCGGGGACAGCTGGAGGAGTGGCGGGGGACAGCTCCGAGGGCCACTGTGGTGGGTGGCTGAGGTGCGTGTGCTTCTGCCTGGTGGCCAGGCTCATCCCGGCGACGTTGTATCCCGGGCGCGTCATCCTCTCTCTGGACTTCATCCTGTTCTGTCTCCGGCTCATGCACATTTTTACCGTCAGTAAGACGCTGGGGCCCAAGATCATCATTGTGAAGCGGATGGTAAGGGGACGGGGGCACCAGCTCCATCGTGGCCTGCAGCCCAGGGTGGGCCTTGGGGAGGGCAGGCCCCTTGCCTGCGGCTCAGACCAGGGCTTAAGCACACCTGCCGGCCCCCTGTCCTGCTTTGCCCCTTGGGCTCCCAAGAATGCCCTTCTCGTATCTTTGCCTGTGTGTCGCCTCTTCCAGGAAACCTTCCCTCATTCTCCTTTCTGATCCCCGCTCATTCCTGACCTCTGATTCAGCTCTAGGAGCTTTCCTCCTGGGGTCACGGTTATGTCTGACCCCTCTTCGTCATGTCTCTGTGGTGCCAGCACAAAGATGTCGGCCGTCCGCGAGAGTGCGGAGGCAGCCCCAGGGCTGCTCCTGGGAGTCTCCCGCATGCTGCGTCTGTGCTGTGAGTGGCAGTGCCATCTCCACCGCTGCTGGGCCTGCCTCTGGGCCCAGTGAGCATCGGGGGCGGGAGGGTGTAGCCCACACGCCTCTCTGTCTTGCAGATGAAGGATGTCTTCTTCTTCCTCTTCCTGCTGGCCGTGTGGGTGGTGTCCTTTGGGGTGGCCAAGCAGGCCATCCTCATCCACAACGAGCGCCGGGTGGACTGGCTGTTCCGAGGGGCCGTCTACCACTCCTACCTCACCATCTTCGGGCAGATCCCGGGCTACATCGACGGTAGGAGCCGGGCCCCATGGGAGCTTGGGTGGGGGAAGCAGGACAGAGGCTGGAAAGGGGCCACAGCCTGAGTGGGAGTGAGGCCGGCTCTGTCAGGGGGTCCTGCAGTTCCCACCTGGCCGGCGTCCTCCTTGGGGACATTCACTCCCCAGCTCCCGTGGCAGGAAGTAGAAGGGGCTCCCACTGCCCAGGGGAGGGAGGAGGGGGGGCCTGGTGGGGGTGGGTGGTGCCACGCAGAGGTCAGAGTGGGCTGAGGGCACCTGGGGCATCAGCTGACAGCCCCCCAAAATGGAATGTCACCCTGTTTCCCCTTTCCCTGTCACCTCAATCAGAAATAACTTCCTTCTCTTGATGGAGAGAATTCATTCCTCCCTCCCTTCCTCCTTCCCTCCCTCCTTCCTTTTCCTTCCCTCCCTCATTCCTTTTCCTTCCCTCCCCCCTTCCCTCCCTCTCTCCCTTCCCCTTCCCTCCCCCCTTCCCCCCTCTCTCCCTTCCGTTTCTTTGACAGGGTCTTGCTCTGTCACCCAGGCTGGAGTGCAGTGGCACGTCTACCTCCTGGGCTCAAGTCATCCTCCCACCCGCCTCCCGCGTGGCTGGGACTACATGTGCACACGCCAACACACCTGGCTGATTTTTGTATGTTTTGTAGAGACAGAGGTTTCGCCATGTAGCCCAGGCCGGTCTTGAACTCTTGAGCTCAAGTGATCCGCCCCTTGGCTTCCCAAAGTGCTGAGATTACAGGCGTGAGCCACCGTGCCTGCCAGATAGAACACTTTCCATATAGAAGGTTTTTTTCTTTTAACAGCTTCACTGAGAGAACGTTCACCTGGATGAAGTGTACCTGTCAGTGGTTTACAGTATCTTTACAGAATCTAATTTTATAACATTGGCATCACCCTGAGAAGACCCTGCATCTCACTCACAGCCACTCCCGTTCCCTCCCCTCAGCCACAGCCACCCACGAAGCTACTTGCAAGTTGCCTTTTCTGGGCATTTCATAGAAACTGGATGATGTAATAGGCAGTCTCTGGTGTCTGACTTCTTTCACTTGACATCATGTTTTCAAGGTTCATCATCGTGTATCAGTATTTACTTCCTGTTTATGGCTGAATAGGACCCTGCTGTATGGACACACCACATTTTATTCATCCATTCATCAGCTGGTGGACATATGAGTTGTTTCCACTTTTCATTCATTCATTCATTCATTCATTCATTCATTCATTCATTCATTTTTCCCGAGAGGGAGTCTCACTCTGTTTGTTGCTCAGGCTGGAGTGCAGCGGCACAGTCTCGGCTCACTGCAACTTCTGCCTCCTGGGTTCAAGCGATTCTTCTGCCTCAGCCTCCTGAGTAGCTGGGATTACAGGTGCCCGCCACCACGCCTGGCTAATTTTTGTATTTTTAGTAGAGATGGGGTTTCACCGTGTTGGCCAGGCTGGTCTTGAACTCCTGACTTCAGACGATCCACCCGCCTCGGCCTCCCAAAGTGCTGGGATTACAGGCGTGAGCCACCACACTGGGCCGTTTCCACTTTTCAAATGCTGTGAATAACGTAGCATGAACTGTTATAGGGTTTTGTGCGGGTATGTTTTTACTTCTCTTAGACACCTGGGAGTGCGTGGCTGGCTCATGAGAACTCCATGTTTAAGTTTTTGAGGACCTGCCGGGCTGTTTTCCAGACAGCCTGTTGCATTCCACATTCCTGCCTGCCCAGTCCCAGGATTCCAGTTTCTCTACCTTCTTGCCAACATTTGTTATTGTCCATTAAAAAAAAAAAAGCTCACATCCCAGTGGGTGGGAAGTGGCTCTCCTTGTTGCTTTGACTGGCATTTCTCTAAGGACCTGCCATGTCAAGCGTCTCCTCTGGTGCTAATTGGGCCATCTGTACGTCTTCTTTGAAGAAATGTTTCTTCCTGCCCTTTGCCCATTTTTCTTTTTCTTTTTTTTTTTTTTTTGAGACGAGATCTCACTCTGTCGCCCAGGCTGGAGTGCAGTGGTGTGATCTCAGCTCACTGCAACCTCTGCCCCGCTAGTTCAAGCAATTCTCCTGCCTCAGCCTCCCGAGTAGCTGGGATTACAGGCACATGCCATCAACCTCCTGAGTAGCTGGAATTACAGGCACCTGCCATCATGCCTGGCTAATTTTTGTATTTTTAGTAGAGACAGGGTTTCACCACGTTGGCCAGGATGGCCTCGATCTCCTGACCTCGTGATCCACCCACCTTGGCCTCCCAAACTGCTGGGATTACAGGTGTGAGCCACTGCGCCTGGCCGTCTTTGCCCATTTTTCAGTTGGGTTATTTGTCTTTTATGTTATTGAGTTGTAAGAGTTCTTTACATAAGGATGCCAGTCTCTTACCAAATGTATGATTTGAATTGTTTTTGTCAGTCTGTGGGCTGACTTGTTATTTTCTTTATGGTGTCATTTGATGCACGAACTTTTGAACGTTTGATGACATTCAACTTATCAATCTCCTTGATCATTGTGCTTTTGGTGTCCTAGCTGAAAACCATGGCCATGATTTACACCTGTGTTCTACTAAGTGTTTTACAGCTTTCGCTTTTTGTTTGGCCTGGTGTGTGGTAAGGGTCAGTCTTCCTTGTGGCTCTCCTGTTGTCCCAGCACTATTTGTTGACAAGACTGTTCTTTCCCCAGTGAAGCCTCTTGGCATCCTTGTTGAAAATCAGTGGACCATTAACATAAGAGTTTATTTCTAGAGTGTCAGTTCAGTTCCACTGATGTCTGTCCTTGTGCCAGGACTGCACTATCTTGGTGAGTGTAGCTTTGTAGTAAGTTTTGACCATACTGTCTTGGTTGGCGTAGCCTTGTAGTAAATTTTGAAATTCGGAAGTATGAGTCCTAATTTGTTCTTTTCCAGGATTGCTTTGGCCTCTGGATCCCTTATCTTCACAATAATTTTTGGATCAGCTCATCAGTTTCTCCAAAAAGGGCATGTGTGATTTTGATTGTGAACATGGGATGTGTTTTTGCTTATTTAATTCTTTAATTTATCTCAATAATGTTTTATAGTTTTCAGTAATAAGTCTTATGCTTCTTCTGTTAAATTTATTCCTAAATATTTTATTCTTTTCCAAACTGTTATAAATAGAATTGTCCTATTGATTTCATTTCGAATTGTTCATGACTGGTATATAGAAATACATTTGTAGATTGATCTTGAACGCTGAAACCTTGCTAAACTTATTTATTAGTTCTAATAGATTTTTAGTGGATTTGTCATATACAAGACCATGTCATCTGCAAAAAGAGACAGTTTTACTTGTTCCTTTCCAAACTGGTTGCCTTTTATTTCTTCTTCTTGCTTAAGTGCCCTGGCTAGAACCTCCAGTACAATGTTGAACAGAAGGGACAACGGGGGACATCCTTGCCTTGCTCCTGATTTTAGACAACGAGTCCACTGATCTTAGGGAGCAAGTCTTTCACCATTAAGTGTGATGTTAGCTGTGGGGCTTTTGTAAATGTGCTTTATCAGGTTGAAGAAGTTCCTTCTATTCCTAGTTTCTTGAGTGTTTTTATTGTGAAGGAGTGGTAGACCGTGTCAGCTGCTTCTCCTGCACTTATTCGAATGTTCCGATGGTTTTTGCTCCTTTCGCTATTAATATAGTGCATTCCATCAATTGATCTTCGAATGTTAAACCAACTGTGTGTTCCTGGGACACGTCCCACTTGGTCTTGGTGAATAATCCCTTTTATTTGGTGCTGGATTCACTTTGCTAGCTGTTTTTTTTTGATGATTTTTGCACCTACATTCATGAAGGATATTGGTCTGCGGTTTTCTTTTCTTGTAATATGTTTGCCTAGTTTTGGTGTCAGCGTAATACTGGCCTCATACAATGGCTTAGGAAGTAGTTCCCCCTCTTATATTTTGCAAGAGTTTGTAAAAGAGTGGTTTTAATTCTTCTGTAAACATTTGGTAGAATTCACCAGTGAACTCCTCTGAGTGTGGACTTTCCTTTGCGTGATGTTTTTGCCTTACTAATTCAATCGCTTATGTGTTACAGGTCTATTTATATTTTCTATTTCTTCTCCAGTCACCTTTGGTAGTTTGTGTCTTTCTAGGAATTTGTCCATTCTTCTAGATTATCTAATTTCTTAGCATATAATTTTCTCTAGGATTTCCTTTGTAAGATTAGTAGTACTATCCTCTCTTTCATTTCTGATTTTAGCGATTTGAACCTTGTCTCTTTTTTTTTCTTGATCAGTCTAGCTACAAGGTAGTATTTTTTTGTTGCTCTTTTTCAAGAACTGAGTTTGGTTTGTTGACTTCATTGTTTTCGTTTTCTTGATCTCATTTATATTCTAATCTTCATTATTTCCTTCCTTCTGCTTGCTTTTGGCTTGTCTTGGGGGAAAGCATCCAGTCTTTCCCATTGGGTATGATGTTAGCTGCAGGATTTTTGTAAATGTCCTGTCAATCAAAGAGGTTCTCTTTGAGTCCTATCTTCTTGAGTGTTTCTATTGTGAAAGGGTGGTTTGCTCTTCTTTTTCTAGTTTGCTACAGTGGAAAGTTACGTTAATAATTTTAGCTCTTCTTTTTAAATATAGGAATTTATAGCCATCAGAGTGAGTTTCTATCTTAGAAAATTAGTAACGCATTCAAAATACGTTTGATTACCCAGGACTGCATTGCTCATTGTTGAGCAATTTTAAAATTCAAGACAAGTGTAAGGAAAGAATGTTATTCATAATTTCACCTCCCAGAGTTAACCTTTGTTAACAACTTCCTATGTTTCCTTAGAGATTTGTTTAAGGTAGAAGCTGGTTACATATTAAACAGCCCTTACTTTCTATGCATGCAGGATGCTATTTTGCTTCACAATCACCCGTTTCACTTGTCCATGCATTCTTAGCAGCATCTTCCCTTTTCCACATCTCCCTTCTCTCCCTTCTCTCCCTTCTCTCCCTTCTCTCCCTTCTCTTTGAGATAGTTGTTAATTGTTTTTCCTTTTCAATTCTGTTTTTTTTTTTTTTTTTTTTTTTTTTTTTTTTGAGACAGAGCTTTGCTCTTGTTGCCCAGGCCGGAGTGCAATGGTGCAATCTCAGCTCACTGCAACCTCCACATCCCTCCCAGGTTCAAGTGATTTTCCTGCCTCAGTCTCCTGAGTAACTGGGATTACAGGCATGTGCCACCATGCCTGGCTCATTTTTATATTTTTAGTAGAGACAAGGTTTCACCATGTTGGCCAGGCTGGTCTCAAACTCCTAACCTCAGGTGATCCACCCGCCTTGGCCTCCCAAAGTGCTAGGATTACAGGTGTGAGCCACTGCTCCTTGCGTTTCCTTTTAAATTATTTCCCACCGAATTGAACTCCCCAGGCTTGGGACCTGGTGCTGACCCTGGCTGGGGCCCTGGCAGTGCCCTGGTGGGTGGCGTACCCTGGGTGGAGGCACGGGCCAGCCTGGGTGCAGCTCTGCCTCCGGGGCCTCTTACCTGTTTCTGGCTGGAGACAGATGCCTCCTTCTGGACTTCAGGCCCAGAGGTGACAGCTGAGGTCACCCAGATGAGTGGCATCAGGCCTGCGGGGGACCTGGCAGTGACTGGAGGCCTCGAGGGTCCCCTCCTGCCAGGATCCTCTTGACTCTGTGTTGTTCTCTTGGCTCACCCACCCCCATTCCCAACGCCAGGCGTGAACTTCAACCCGGAGCACTGCAGCCCCAACGGCACCGACCCCTACAAACCCAAGTGCCCCGAGAGTGACGTGACGCAGCAGAGGCCCGCCTTCCCCGAGTGGCTGACGGTCCTCCTGCTCTGCCTCTACCTGCTCTTCACCAACATCCTGCTGCTCAACCTCCTCATCGCCATGTTCAAGTGAGCGCCTGGGTGGGGCTGGCGTGCGGGCGGGTGGGTGGACGGCGTTCCTGGGCCGCAGTGGCCAAGCTGTCTCCAGGGTCTTGTGGACAGTGTGGATGGCTGGTGCACAGAGGCGCCTCACTGATATCCTGGTGGAGCGTGCACAGCCACTGTCCGTGGTCACTGCTGCGTCTGTTGAGCTGGCATGGGTCTGTCCCTGTGGCTGCTGGGGACCTGCGGTGCTGCGGATGGATCCACGTAGGCCCTGCGCTCATGGCGCAGGTGTCTCCTGGAGGCAGCCTCCTCCCGCGGGGCAGGGATGTTGGTGTCGGCCTCGTTCCTTTTGCACAGGAGCATCAGTATCCATGAGCTCACTGCCCTACCTGGGGGCATGCCGGGGCCGCTGCTGCTCAGTGCTGTCCCCTCATCACTCTGAGGGTTCTGCCTGTGTCTCCCTGTGACTGAGCAAAAGGGCTCACTGCCCGATGTGCAGGAAGCCAATACTGTGACACCAGGTTTTTGAGAAAAGAAAAGCTTTTCTTCTGGGCCAATCCACAAGGAGACGGGGTGCAGTTCACGTCTGTCCCCCCGCGCTGGCTTTAATGCAGTGTTTCTATTAGGGAAGGTTCGGGGGTGGGTTCGTGGATTAGTAGGTGGCTGGTGGAAGAAAAGGGGGCTCTGGAAAGTTGTGTCTCCTCATGGGTCTCGTGTGCACATCTGGGCTGAGTTACCGGGACCCCGGGGTGGAAACTCGGGCTGTGGCGTCAGCAAGCTTGGGCCCTGCAGACTCCAACTGCCCACGTTGGTTCCAGCTGACCTCAGCCAGTTCTAAAAGCTCCTGCGAGCGAGTCTTAGCATCCCAGCAAGTGGTTTCTTTCCCTGTCTGCCATCTGTAAGTGTGAGCATTTCTGTTAGTTGCTGGGTTCTTTAGCTCTTTGGGGCCAATTCCCCAGCCCTAGACGTGTTCCTGCTGTCCCCACCGTGTGCCTCGGAGGGCGCTGGCTCTGTGGCGCCTTCCCCTGAGCTCTGATCCATCTGTGGACGGCTCCGTGTCCGCCCTCCCGCACCATTAGGGGCTTCTTCATCTGCCCGTCTTCACGTGCTTTGCTGGTTTTGTGGGTTTGCACACACGTGTCCACCTCCTCTGGGCCTGGTGTTTGTGGCATCTGTGGCAGGTTGAATAACAGCCCCAGGGATGTCCACACTCTAACCCTGTGGCTATGGGGCCTTATATGACAAAAGGGACTGGGAGGATGGGGTTAAGTGGAGGATCCTGAGATGGGAAATTATCCAGGGTTATCTGCACGGGCCGACATCATCACGAGGGGCGGTGGAAGACGGAGGCAGAGAAGGAATGTGACGATGGAAATGGGCATTGGGGGGAGGTGAGACCTCCGGCCCAGGAATGCTGGTAGCCTCTGGAAGGTAGGAAAGGCAAGCCATGGAGGCCCCTGACCGACGGGAGGAGCACAGCCTTGCTGAACCTTGGTTTTAGCCCTGTGAGGCTCCTGACCTCCAGGACTGCGAGAAGAGTCTGATTGCTTTAAGCTGCCAAGGCAGTGGCGGTTCACTACAGCAGCATCAGTAGACTCATGCAGTGGCTGTTCCTTCTCTTTGGAAATGTCTAGCATTTTCTTTAAATCCTTAGTGTCTTGAAGCATGCAGTTTTATCATAGAACTTTTGGAATATTATTTGCTAATGTTGCTTTTGAAACAAGAAGGACAAAATAGGTGGCTGTCCATCTGGCCCCTGGTGGACGTGGTCCTCTGGGATTGCGTCTCTGATCAGCCGCAGCAGCTGTGGGTCCCAGGCTTTGGGGGTTCCAGTTTGCTCTTGCAGGTTTTAAACTTAGAACAAATTAAATGCTGAGGACCTCACACCCAGAGGCAGCATAAAAAAGAACTCCAGGGAACCAGGAGGCCACGCAGAATGAAAGCGCAGGTGTTTAGGGTCTTGGTGGGCCCCTGGGTTGGCTTTGGGGGTTCCGTGGCCAATTCCTGGCCCTGACAGTGGAGCTGAGGAGCCCAGCATGGATGCGGAACCGTCATGGCCCACAGAAAGCCCAGTCTCCCCATGCTGCCCCCATAATTCAGAAAACCTCCTAGGCCCTCAGAGCCCTTCCCAACCTCTGCAGACAGGCCCTGTGCTATCCGGGACTCTGAAAATCCTTTTGTTCCTGGTTTTATTAGGAACCAACTGTTTCTCTTCTTGTTTCATTGGCTAAGCTTCTGAGGTTGCCACCTTTTGCTTTAACATGGGTTCTGAACGTTGAGAGAAACTGAGCATGGGCCAGGACTGTCATCTCGAGGCCAAGGGGCTGGTGGCAGGACACCGTTCCTGCAGCAAGTATGGCACCCACACTGCCAGCTCCCGTTGTGGAGGGCTCTGTGCCTGTCACCCTGAGACACACCCAGGAGGCCCCTGCAGCCCTGCCCCTTCCACATGCACTTCTGGGGGGTCTGGCTCTGGTGCTTGTCAGAATCTGCAGATCAACTCTTAGAGTTCAATGCCAGACAGTGTCTGTCTCCTGATAAACACCCACTTTGTGTTATTCACCAGTGAGGCTTATAAAATCGAAAGTCTGTGTGCTTCTCCTGTTTTTTGCCTTGGTTCCCAGGAAGCCTGGAATTGTGAGGTCTGTGGGCTGAGTTCTGTGCCTGGAGCTGGCCTCCTGTGTGGCGTGGCTCTACTCTCGGTGGTATCAGAGTGGGCACACGGTGTGGCTCTGCTCTCTGTGGCATCACAGTGGGTACGCGGGCGGTGAGAGGGGTCTGTTCCAGGTAAACACCCTGACCTCGAGGTGTCGCTCTCTCCTCCCTGATAGCTACACCTTCCAGCAGGTGCAGGAGCACACGGACCAGATCTGGAAGTTCCAGCGCCATGACCTGATCGAGGAGTACCACAGCCGCCCTGCCGCACCGCCCCCCTTCATCCTCCTCAGCCACCTGCAGCTCTTCATCAAGAGGGTGATCCTGAAGACTCCGGCCAAGAGGCACAAGCAGCTCAGTACGTCAGTCTCAGTGCCTCTCCTGAATCTCCTGGCCGCCTGGGTGCAGAGGGGGTGGAGATGGCGTGGCAGCTCTGCCCAGAACCCTGGACGCTCGGCAGGCCTGCAGGCCACTCAGGCTGCTCCCCTTCTGCTGGCCTTGAGCAAGTGGTGGGGACCGAGCCCAGAGGCTCCCCCGGGGCAGGTGTGCAGAGGGCTCTTCCTGCCACTCAGGACCAACCACCGGGTGGGTCAGGACTTTAGGGCCCACCGTCCTGAGGATTCCAGATCCCCAGGTCTGTCCTCCCACCCTGACAGAGAACAAACTGGAGAAGAACGAGGAGGCGGCCCTGCTATCCTGGGAGATCTACCTGAAGGAGAACTACCTGCAGAATCAGCAGTTCCAGCAAAAGCAGCGGCCCGAGCAGAAGATCGAGGACATCAGCAATAAGTACGGGGGCTCGGGCGGGCCTAGGGGCGGGGAGCCTCTAGGGGACCTCCTGCAGGTCCACAGGCACCATGAGTACATGTTCCACGTGGCGAGGCCCAGCAATGCCTCACCGGCGAGGGAACACTGTACCCCGTGGCCCCTGCAATGTTGCAGGCATCTGGGCCTGTGCCCGCAGCTGACCCAGGGCCCTCTGGGGTCCTTAGGAAGGCTGGGCCCCACAGGGCACTGGGTCAGAGGCTGGGAGGGAAGCCTCGGCGGCTGGAGGAGGGGCAGGTTGGCCCATAGGAGCTGGCTTGGAGGCCTGGGGGGATGTGCACATGGGGTCCAGGCTGGTTTGGGGGTGGTTTGCTCTGTGAGCTTGTTGGTGCACAGCCTTACTGTAGCTTCTGCAGGGCCTTGGCAGCCCAGCCCTTGAGGTCAGCCATGCTCAGCACCATCCTCCCTCTCGGCTCCTCCCACTTTGCTTCTTTGCAGGGTGCGAGGTCAGTGTTGGGGGAAAATCTTTCTGCTTCCTTCTCTCCACTGCCAGCCCTTTGGCCCTGCTAAGTGTCAGCAGGGCCTAACGGCCCAGCAGTGGGCAGCAGGAAGGGCTGTTCCCAGTGTCCTGCTCTCAGTGTGCGTCTCACCATGGCATGAGAGGAGGAAGGGGAATATGGACACAGTGCCACCTAGTTATGGCAGTATGGAGGTTCCTGTAGTCACAAACGGGCATACCTGGAACTGGCAGGGATGCCCAAGACTGTGGGCTCTGGACAGACCAGGCCAAGTGCCCTCCACCTTAGAGACAGGTATGTACTCCTGCCTTTCCATACCTCCCTAGCCTTGTCTGTAAGATGGAGACACGATAGTCCCTGTTGACACCTTGGAGTTGTTTCCAGAATACAGTGGGGTCCTGACTCTAAAGAAATGAGCACATATGCTTGAACCATAGCCAGGGCTCTGCTAACGTGGCCTGGTGCTTTTATCATCACTCTTACTTACGAGTAGTGGTGGTGGTGGTGGCGATGGTGATGATGGTGGCTGTGATGGTGATGGTGGTGGTGGTGGGGTGATGGTGGTGATGGTAGTAGTTGTGCTGGTGATGGTGGTGATGGTAGTGGTATGGTGAGGGTGATGATGGTGATGGTGGTAGGGACGATGCTGGTGATGGTGGTATTGATGGTGGTAGTTGTATTAGTCTGTTTTCATGCTGATAAAGACATGCCTGAGACTGGGAAGAAAAAGAGATTTAATGGACTCAGTTCCACATGGCTGGGGAGGCCTCACAGTCATGACAGAAGGCAAGGAGGAGCAAGTCACGTCTTACATGGATGGTGGCAGACAAAGAGACAGAACTTGTGCAGGGGAACTCCTCTTTATAAAACCACTAGATCTCATGAGACTTATTCACTATATGAGAACTGCATGAGAAAGACCTGCCCCATGATTCAATTACCTCCCAATGGGTCCTTCCCACAACACATGGGAATTGTGGGAGATATAATTCAAGATGAGATTTGAGTGGGGACAAAGCCCAACCATATCATTCTGCTCCTGCCCCCTCCCAAATCTCATGTCCTCACATTTCAAAACCAATCATACCTTCCCAACAGTTCCCCAAAGCCTTAACTTGTTTCAGCATTAACCCAAAAGTCCACAGTCCAAAGTCTCATCTGAGACAAGGCAAGTCCCTTCCACCTATGAGCCTGTAAAATCAAAAGCAGGCTAGTTACTTCCTAAATACAGTGGGGGTACAGGCATTGGGTAAATATGTCCATTCCAAATGGGAGAAATTGGCCAAAACAAAGGGGCTACAGGGCCCATGAAAGTCTAAAATCCAGTGGGGCAGTCAGATCTTACAGCTCTATGATGATCTCTTTTGACTCCATGTCTCACATTGAAGTCACGCTGATGCAAGAGCTAGGCTCCCATCTTGAGCAGCTCCACCTTTGTGGCTTTGCGGGGCACAACCTCCCTCCAAGCTGCTTTCATGGGCTGGCATTCAGTACCTGTGGCTTTTCCACGTGCACGGTGCAAGCTGCTGGTGGAGCTACCATTCTGGGGTCTGAAGAACAGTGGCCCTCTTCTCACAGCTCCACTAGGCAGTGCCCCAGTAGGGACTCTGTGTGGGGGCTCTGACCCCACGTTTCCCTTCCGCACTGCCCTAGCAGAGGTTCTTCATGAGGGCCCCGCCTCTGTAGCAAACTCCTGCCTGGACACCCAGGCATTTCCATACATTCTCTGAAATCTAGGTGGAGGTTCCCAAACCTCAATTATTGACTTCTGTGTACCTGCAGGCTCAATACCACATGGAAGCTGCCAAGGCTTGGGGCTTGCACCCTCTGAAGCAACAGCCCAAGCTGTACCTTGGCCCCTTTTAGTCACAGCTGGAGTGGCTGGGATGCAGGGCACCAAGTCCCTAAACTGCACACAGCATGGGGACCCTGGGCCCGGCCCATGGGTCTTCCCTTAGCCTCTGGGCCTGTGATTGGAGGGGCTGCTGTGAAGACCTCTGACATGCCCTGGAGACATTTTCCCCATTGTCTTGGGGACTAACATTTGGCTCCTTGTTATTTGTGCAAATTTCTGCAGCTGGCTTGAATTTCTTCTCAGAAGATGGGATTTTCTATCCTGTTGTCAGGCTGCAAATTTTACAAACTTTTATGCTCAGCTTCCCTTATAAAATTGAATGCCTTTAATAGCACCCAAGTCACCTCTTGAATACTTTGCCACTTAGAAATTTATTCTGCCAGATACCCTAAATCATCTCTTTCTCAAGTTCAAACTTCCACAAATCTCTAAGGTGGAGGCAAAATGCCACCAGTCTCTTTGCTAAAACATAGCAAGAGTCACCTCTGCTCCAGTTCCCAACAAGTTCCTCATCTCCATCTGAGACCACCTCAGCCTGGACCTTATTGTTCATGTTACAATCAGCTTTTTGGTCAAAGTCATTCAAGAAGTCTCTAGGAAGTTCCAAACTTTCCCACATGTTCCTGTCTTCTGAGCCCTCCAAACTGTTCCAACCTCTGCCTGGTACCTAGTTCCAAAGTTGCTTCCACATTTTCAGGTATCTTTTCAGCGGCGCCCCACTCTGCTGGTACCAATTTACTGTATTAATCCATTTTCACACTGCTGATAAAAACATACCTGAGACTGGGAAGAAAAAGAGGTTTAATGGATTCACAGTTCCACGTGGCTGGGGAGGTCTCACAATCATGGCAGAGGGCAAGGAGGAGCAAGTCACATCTTACGTGGATGGCGGCAGGCAGAGAGAGAACTTGTGCAGGAGAACTCCTCTTTATAAAACCATCAGATCTCATGAGATATATTCACTACCACGAGAACAGCACAAGAAAGACCCACCCCTAAGGTTCAGTTACCTCCCACTGGGTCCCTCCCATGACACATGGGAATTGTGAGAGTTACAATTCAAGGTGAGATTTGGGTGGGGATGCAGCCAAATTATATCAGTAGTGGTGATGGTGAGGATGGTGATGATGGTATTGGTGATGATGGTAATAGTGATGGTGATGGTGATGGTAGTGGTTGTGCTGGTAGTAGTGATGGTGGTGGTGGTAGTGGTAACAGTGATGATGATGGTGATGGTGGTGGTGGTGGTGATGGTGGTGGTGATGATGGTGATTGTGGTAATGGTGGTGATGGTCATGGCGGTAATGGTGATGGTGATGGTGGTGGGTAATGGTGATGGTGGTGGTGGCAGCGGTAATGGTGGTGATGATGATGGTAGTCGTGATGGTGATTAGGATGGTTGTGATGGTAATGGTGGTGATGGTGATGGTGGTGGTGGTGATGGTCATGGTGGTGGTGGTAGTGGTGATGGCGATGGTGGTGATGATGGTGATGGTATTGGTTGTGCTGGTGCTGTTGGTGGTGGTGGTGGTAGTGGTGATGGTGTTGATGGTAGTGGTGATGTTGGTGGTGATGGTGATGGTAGTGATGGTAGTGGTTGTGCTGGTAATGGTGGTGGTGGTGGTAGTGGTGATGTTAGTGATGATGTTAGTAATGGTGGTGGTGGTAGTGGTGATGTTAGTGATGATGGTGATGTGGTGGTGATTGTGATGGTGGTGGTAGTGGTGATGGTGGTAGTGATGGTGATGTGACAATGGTGATTTTGATGGTTGTAATGGAAATGGTGATGGTGGTGGTGATGGTGCTTCTGATGGTGGTAATGGTGGTGGCAGTGATGGTAGTGGTGGTGGTAATGGTGGTGGTGGTAATGATGGTAGTGGTGGTGCTGGTGGTGGTGGTGATGATGGTGGATGTGGTGATGATGGTAATGTTGATGATGGTGATTGTGATGGCAATGGTAATGATGATGGTGACAATGCAAGGACCTTAATGAACTAGCTGATGTCAAAGCCCCTTCTAGCTCCCATTCTGAGTGAACTAGATACAGGTGCCCTCTTTGCTTGAGTCTGGGCACGATGACTTGCAGTTGAGCCCTTGGCATGCTCTTTGCCTGGAACAGTCTTCTCCCAGAGAGAGTCAGGACTTGCTGTCTCTCTCTATTCAGGCCTCACTTCATTGGAGGGCCTTTCCTGCCCTCCACCCACCCTGTCCCCATGCCTTGTCTTTCTGGAATCTGGATGTTGGTTGGTTGGCTGGTGGGTTTGTGGGTTGGGTCATGTCTACCAGCCAGGCTCCATGTGAGAGTAGGGACAGAGTCCCACACGTTCCCCATAGTATCGTGGGATGTAGAGCAGGCCCAGTGCCTAGAAGGCACTCAGCAAATCCTATGCAGTTCTGGAACTGCTGCTAGTTCCTGGCCTGGCAGGGTTGCAGGAGGCTGGGGTCGCTGGTCTCCAGGCCTGCTCAGCCTGACGTTTGGCTCTGATGGTCCACTTACAGAGGAGAGACCTGGGGCCATGCAGTGCCCTGAGAACCTTCTCTTACTTGCTCTGGCCAAGCACAGCTTTGATGGATGGCCTCGTCTGGGACATCTGACTTTGAGCAGTGGCCATGCCCAGGGCCCAGATGCTGGGGGAAGGTGCTTGGGAGAGGCGGCCTCCGCATGTCAGGATGAAGCTGAAAGGCCACAGCTCTGCTGATGACCAACATAGTCAGGGCTGGAATACAATGGCTGGAGTGTGTTAAGGGCTCACTGAGGACCACGCCCTTCACCTGCATCATCTCACTCAACCCTTTTGCACAGGGAGGTATTTTTCCTTCCACTTTTACCCACGAGGAAGTGGAGGCCCAGGAAAGTGAGAGAGGTGGCTCAGCGTCCACCACTGGCCAGCGGTGTGGCCTGGAATGCAGGCCCCAGCAATTTTGCAGCCTCCTGCCTTAAGGGAGTGAGCTGGGCCCCAAATGAATCAGTCCCAGGCTGGGTATGGTGGCTCACGCCTGTAATCCCAGTACTTTGGGAGGCCGAAGTGGGTGGATCATGAGGTCAGGAGATCGAGACCATCCTGGTTACCATGGTGAAACCCCATCTCTACTAAAAATACAAAAATTAGCCAGGTGTGGTGGTGTGCGCTTGTAATCCCAGCTACTTGGGAGGCTGAGGCAGGAGAACCGCTTGAACCCAGGAGGCAGAGGTTGCAGTGAGCCGGGATCGTGCTGCTGCACTCCGGCCTGGGCAACAGAGCAAGACTCCACCTCAAAAAACAATTTAGTCCCAAATGCTGCTCAGCTCCTGCCCTATCCCAGACGTCTTAAAGCTCAGAGTCGGTCTGCTGCCTATTCCCAGCCTGGGTGCTCAGTGGAAGTTGGGTGCCTCCAGTTATTTTCTGAGGTTGAAAAAACTTAACTAAAATATAAATTTTCAGGCCAGGTGCAGTGGCTCATGCTTGTAATCCCAACACTTTGGGAGGCTGAGGTGGGAGGATTGCTTGAGCCCAGGAGTTCAAGACCAACCTAGGCAACATAGTGAGACCCCCGTCTCTACAAAAAATAAAAATAACAGCTATCCAGGCATGGTGGCTCATGCCTGTGATCCCAGCTACTAAGGAGGCCATGGTGGGGGGATTTCTTGAGGCCAAAAGTTTGAGACAAGCCTGGGCAACATAGTGAGACCCCATCTCTACAAAAAAAAAAAAAAAAGAGTAGCCTGGTGCGGTGGCGTACTTGGGGTCACAGAGTCCCAGCTGCTCAGGAGGCTGAGGCCAGGGGTTCGAGGCTGCCGGGGTGATAGGGTGAGACCCTGACTCTAATGCGTATTTGTGTGTGAACGGAAGTTTTCCCAAGATGAGCCTGCAGAACGTATTTCCGCTGGGCCGCTGGCTGGTGTGCTCACCTGTCACTCCCATTGGTCAGCAGCTCTGGCTCATCCACAGAGGGGCCTGGGACAGAAGCTGATGTGCTTCAATCGACCTGATCTTGCAGAACACGGGCTCCAGGGAAAGTGAGGAAAGAGCTCGGCCCTCACCAAGGGCCCTAACCTGGTCACTGACCCTCCGTGGGTCCAGTGAGGAAGCCGGGGACCCGGGAGGCGAATGAGCTTGGGGTGCCATAACCTTGCAGCACTGAGGTGAGCTGAGTTCACTAAAGCTCCTCGCCCACAGAGCAGGGCTGGAGCCTTGGGGGTCAAGGACAAGCTCTGTCTGCAAATCTAGACAGTTTCTGCATCTCACGGTGGTGGAATCACGCGGGTCCGAGAAGGCGCCAGTAACCACCCTCGCATGTTTGCAAGGCTGTCTGGGAAAACACAGCAGGTGCAGTTAAGCGGCTTTTGTGGGATTAAGCAAAATGCAGTGTGGGTGAAAGGAGACTCCCAGGCCCGGCGCGAAATCATTTTCTTCCCTTTCCCTAGATAACTGTTTAAAGTGGGACATATCCCCAGAAAATTTCTGTGTTACTAAAATAGTTGCTCAATATATTATAAGAATATCACTTGCAGTGGGTGCAAGGAAGTGAGGGAGCCCAGGGGACAGTGGATGAGAGCTGGAGACTCGTGTTTGGCCGCAGACTTATTTTAACCATAAACACAGCAGGCCAAGGCTGGGTGAAGCAAAATAAGACAGAAACCAAATATTTCCAGAATAATAGTGCCACTCCACAACCCCACAAAATAAGACAGAAAGCAAACATTCCCCAGCAACAGCACCACACCACATCCCCACAAAATACGACAGAAACCAAATACTCCCAGAAAAACAGCGCTGCTCCACAATCCCCGCAAAATACGACAGAAACCAAACATCCCCAGAACAGCAGCGCCTCTCCACCCCCACAACAAATCAACCTCTGCTGTGCCCAGAGGAAGTTTCATTGTGACCTGTCACCTGGCCCTCCCTCAGTTCGCTCACCTGCCCCCTCTCCTGGGACGGACAGGCTGCCAGAGCTTGCCGTGTGAGCCTCGGCTGTCCGTCTGCTGAGACGTCTTTCCCTTTGGGGCCCTGGGCAGTTCGGTTCTATGGGAGAAATGCATGTTAGAAATAGTTTCATATGAAGAGGAAGTGAAGACTGATGCAGGGCCGTCTGCAGTGCGGTGTGGTGTTCCCGGGGCCCCAAGGCCTGGTGTGCATCCAGCTCAGCTGCTTCCTCTTTCAGGGTTGACGCCATGGTGGACCTGCTGGACCTGGACCCGCTGAAGAGGTCGGGCTCCATGGAGCAGAGGTTGGCCTCCCTGGAGGAGCAGGTGGGTCCGAGGTCCAGGCCTCCGTTCAGGCCTGGTGGGCGGCTCTGCCATGTGATGGCACCGAGTAGGGCTCTGAGAAGCGATGGTGAGGAGGAGGCCAGAACGTCAGGGCAGCCGTTTCCAGCTGGCAGAGGCGCCCTGTGTGTCCTCCAGAAAAGCCTGCCCGAGCGTTTCTGTGACCGAGCTGCTCCTGTGTGTCCTGCGGCCTCTGTGGCCAGGCTGTGCTCCTGGCTGCTCCCAGGAAACAGAGTGCTTGTCCCTCCCAGCCTCTGAGCCCTGGACAGGCCATGAGACCGAGGTGGGGAGGACTTAGAGATGGCCTGTGAGGGTCTGCCCGCCCACCCCATCAGCGTCCACCAGCTGGGCCGGGCCGTGCTTTCCAACGACAGCCCCTGAGGCCACGGCAGCCTCTGTGGTCAGCGCTGAGCCCTGTGGATGGCTCAGCCACCCAGTGCTGCTGCTCCCAGCTGGGCCCTGTGCTCCTGGGGCATCCACCATCCACCAGTCCTGCCTGCTGCACCCAGAGGTCTGCCCAGGCCACCCTCTCCCCCAGTCTAGGCCTTGCTGGGACCCCTGACAGGGTGCCCAGCTCTGAGCCACATGGGTGAGATACATCCTGCTGTCCCCTGTGGGGGCTGCATCGGCCTCTGGGGAGGCTCCTCCTGGGAGGTGCGGGAACCCTGGAAACCTCTGGCTTTGGCAGCCCGTGACCTCTCCCTGCGGTGGAGAACCGCCTGACTGCAGCTTCATGCTGGCTCCGTCCTCTGACTTGTCCAGTCCAGTGACAGTCCCACTGTTGTATCTCTTGGGCAGGCTGCATCATCAGATGTGTGACTCGGCAGCCCCCAAGGGAAGCAGGGTGGGCCCGGGGCAGCATCCTGGCTGGCTTGGTGGCTGCCTGGGGAGGAGGTGGTGTCTCACTTTCAAAGTGTGCAGGGGCTGAGTGACAGGGGTGGGGCTCCTGGCTGGGGGAGTGAGGTCTTGGTGGGCAGTGGGGTGTGTACCATACGTGTGGGTGGTAGGTGCTCACTGTGTCTCGGGCTGTGCCTTCCAGGTGGCCCAGACGGCCCGAGCCCTGCACTGGATTGTGAAGACACTGCGGGCCAGCGGCTTCGGCTCGGAGGTGGACGTCCCCACTCTGGGTGAGTGGGTGGCCAGGCCAGCAGCTGGTCTTCACCCGCCTGTGTTCTTTTGGGTCTGGGGTCAGTGGGAGGAGAGGCAGCTGGCGGGGCTGTGGCCAGGAGGAAAGCACTGGCTGGAGCCCATCCCCAGGCCTGGCAGGGCCAGCGCCCTCAGGAACTCAGCCCACCCACCAATGCCGGTGCCGAGGCCCCGCCCGATCCCTGACCTGACCAGGTTCCTGGATGTCCACGGGGAGGCCTGGCCTGCCGTGCCCTGAGCTCCCCACATACCCCGCTGCGGAGTCAGGGGTGCGAGCCGGGCAGCTGCAGACTGTGTCTGAACCTGGTCAGGTGGGCTGAGTGACGAGAAGCAAAGTCTGTTTTCCTAAATTCGCAGCTGGCTATGAAATGGACATAAGTAGCCTTCCTTGGGCCACTGAGTTTTGCTGGCCCCCAAAGAGCACATTTCTCTTGGTAACTGCACTGTGAGTTCAGCTCAGCTCATTACTGAGGTCCCTGATTGCCGCCGCACAAAGGGGCAGGTGCCAGCAGGGACGCTGCCCTGACCCCTGATGGCCATCCTCCCTGGGGGCCCTGCTCACTTCAGGGCTGGTGTTCGACCTGCATGGCCATTTGGGCTTGGGGAGGTGGTGGAGCCCAGATGTTTTGGTGGAAGGACCACAGAGGAAGTCCCTGTCCTGCGGGTGGGCACCTGAGCCTGGGCTTGCCTTACATCACAGCTTCCTGACTGTCCTCAGCCTCCCAGAAGGCCGTGGAGGAGCCAGATACTGAGCTAGGAGGCAGGAAGAAGACGGAAGAGCCAGGCGACAGCTACCACGTGAATGCCCGGCACCTCCTCTATCCCAACTGCCCCATCACGCGCTTCCCCGTGCCCAACGAGAAGGTGCCCTGGGAGGTGAGCGCCTGCCTGAGCCCAACCAGGCAGAGTGGCCGGGCCCCTGGGGAGGCAAGGGCAGCCCTGTCTCCATCGATCTGGTGTTAATCCTGGTTTCCAGCCACTGCAGTCACAGGGGGATCTGTACGTCTGGCAGCCCCTGTTTGACATTTAAGGAAACTGAGGCACAGAGGAGTCAAATCACAGGGGCCCCACAGCTCGAGGTGGTGGAGGGGCCTCGGGGGGCACACTGACCCCCACAGAGTTCGAGGCTCAGGCTCCTCCCATGATCATCCCGGGGCCCGGCACCACTGGCCCCATTCCCCCAGGTCATGCCCTAGTCCTAGACCCCACCCATCCCTGTGAATGGCTCTGGCCCCTTTCCAGATGCCAGGTATGGAAGAGAGACAGAGACACAGAGACAGAGAGATGGCTAATGGCCCTGCGGAGACCCCCGCCCTCCTGGTGCAGGGCTTCTGTCTGGCCCATCCAGAACATTCCAGGCTGCTGCTTTCGCTGCTTCTGTCCACCACACAGAATCCTCCTTGCCTCCAGGGTCCAGCTTAGACCCCTGCCTCACTCTGGGAAGACCCCCAAGGCCTCCAGTCATGGCTGCCTGCCCTTCAGCTGGCCCCAGGGTGGGGGTCCCTGAGCCCAGCCCCCGGCTCTGCCCGGCTTGGAGCTTCTGCCCTGCATGTTGGGATGTTGGGGTTGGGTTCAGACCCAGTGTAGCAGCCCTTTTACCCTGGTGCCTGGGCCCAGCTTTGCAGTGGGGGTAAAAATCTAGGGGAAAATTCCCTGTTTTGCAACAGACGGAGTTCCTGATCTATGACCCGCCCTTTTACACGGCAGAAAGGAAGGACGCGGCCGCCATGGACCCCGTGGGAGAGTGAGTGTGAGCTGCTGTCCGTGCTCCCAGCTGGCCCCAAACCCAGGACCTCCCAGGGGCTCCCTCGAGTATCCCAGTCAGGGCTCAGCCTGGGGAGGCCCTGTGAGCAGGAGGGGTCCATGGGGGCCTGAAGGGGCCCAGCTCCTACTGTCATATACACTCAGCCTACAGCCACTCGGCTGGGCCCTTGGTGGGGGGTGAACCCTGCCTGTCTGCTCTGTCCCACCTGCAACACGGGGACACAGACACGCCTTCTCCTCTGCTCCCAGCACCCTGGAGCCGCTGTCCACGATCCAGTACAACATGGTGGACGGCCTGAGGGACCGCCGGAGCTTCCACGGGCCGTACGCAGTCCAGGCCGGGTTGCCCCTGTGAGTGTGCCCCCCACAGGCCCTGCCCTGTCAGCCTTTGGAGTTTGCCTGGGGGGCAGGTTTCCTCTCTGGGCAAAGGAGGCATTTTTCTCATAAAACAAACCAAAAATGCATGTGAGCCACAGAAAGGAAGAAAACATCAACTCACGGCATCACTGCAGCTCCTGGGATAGGGCATGGGATGGTGGGACTTGTCCCCTGGCCTCCGGCAGGCCCTGCCCCACAGTCCCTGCCGTAACCTGGGGACTGCTGTGCTGTGAGAGGCAACATCTTGGAGGATGGGCGGCGGGGACAGCTGTGCTGGGAGAGGGTGACTCCTCGGAGGATGGGCAGGTGGGGATGGCGGTGCTGGGAGAGGGCGACACCTTGGAGGATGGGCAGGAGGGGACGGCTGTGCTGGGAGAGGGTGACTCCTCGGAGGATGGGCGGGGGGGATGGCTGTGCTGGGAGAGGGGGACACCTTGGAGGATGGGCAGGAGGGGACGGCTGTGCTGGGAGAGGGTGACTCCTCGGAGGATGGGCGGGGGGGATGGCTGTGCTGGGAGAGGGGGACACCTTGGAGGATGGGCAGGGGCTGTGCAGCAGGGAGGGGACACGGGAATGGGTACTGGCAGGCTCACCTGGCCGGGAAGTTGGACTCGCCTGGTGTCATGTTCCCCACAGGATCGGCGCTGCACCCATCACACAGGTGAGGAAACCCAAAGTAGTGTCAGGTGACCCTGAAGTGCCTACAAGTGCCCTGGAGGGAAGGAGCCTGGGGCTCTTGGACCCTGCCATGAGGAGTAGGTGGAGGAGGGGCCACCAGAACCTGGGGTTGGGGGGTTGCCAGGATGTGGGGCATGAACCATGGAGCAGAGGAGCCAAGGGGTCTGAAGGACCGGGGGACTGCATGGCAGGCCTTTGCGGAATGCTCTGGAACAGGGTGTGCGCTCCTCTGCCCGGAGCTGGAGGTCGAGTAAGGAGGTGGTAGAAGGCTATGGGGCCTGAGAGCAGAGGTCCTGGCCAGGTGGCTGCAGCTGCAGGTGGCCTGCTCTGGTGTTGGGGGTGTGCGGGATGGGCAAGGGTGGGTATTTAGGGAGGTGCATCTGGTGGCTGTGGGAAGCTGATGAGAGCTGCAGGTGCCTGGTGTGGGTGACAAGGCACAAGCACCTGCTCTCACGGGCGGTCGCCACACAGGCAGGTGTGTCAGGACTTGGCAGGATGTAGTGGCCACGCGGGCTTTAGTAGCACAGAAGAGCACTTTCTATATGCACCGTGCTTCTGTTGTGGGCTTATGAATCTTATTTTCATTGTCTTTCCTTAGGTGTGCTTTCTTTCTATGAAATTATAAAGACACACCTTCCTATATTCATTTGATACGTTTTAAGATTAGATTTTTCACTGAGTCTTTAATACAGCTGAAGGCTGCTTGTATAAGGTGTGAGGAGGGGCCTGATTTATTTTGTGAATTCACACATAAAGTGAGCTGCCTGACTTCATTTCCTGCTAAGGTCTGGCTCCTCCCCTGAGGTGTGGCTCATCCCCTGAAGTCTGGTTCCTCCCCTGATGTCTGGTTCCTCCCCTGAGGTGTGGCTCCTCCCCTTAGGTCTGGCTCCTCTCCTGAGGCATGGCTCCTTCCCTTAGGTCTGACTCCTCCCCTGAGGTGTGCATGAGGTCTGACTCCTCTTTCATAGTTATGTCTGCCTCTGTCCCACTCATCTCGTAGCAGATCATGCCACTATTTGCCATAGCATTGCAATAATCCTGACTCTGGGGTAGCATGTCTGTAAACTTGCCTTTTCTGGTCTTGAGACTTTGGCATTTTTGTGAGTTTAAAAACCAGTTTTTCTAGCTCCATGACAAATCCATTGATAAGAATTGTATTAAATTTATAGAAAAATTTGAGACGACACTTTTATGATAATGAATCATCTATGTATATATTTGTCAACATTTATTTATGTCTTCTCTTTGTCCTTCCCTAAAGTTTTATAATTTTGTTCATAAGGATCTTATACTTTTAAGTAATATTTGTTCCTCAGGTATTTGATAACTTTTGTTATTTGAGGAAATTATAACATTTTTTCTTTTTCTTTTTTTTTTTTTTTTGAGATGGATTTCACTCTTGTTGCCCAGGCTGGAGTACAATGGCGTGGTCTCGGTTCACTACAACCTTCACCTCCTGGGTTCAAGTGATTCTCCTGCCTCAGCCTCCTGAGTAGCTGAAATTACAGGTGTCCACCACCATGCTTGGCTAATTTTGCATTTTTAGTAGAGATGGGGTTTCACCATGTTGACCAGGTTGGTCTCGAACTCCTGACCTCAGGTGATCCACTTGCCTCAGCCTCCCAGAGTGCTGGGATTACAGACATGAGCCACCACTTCTGGCCTATAATATTTTTTCTATTTTCAATTTTTAAAAAATATATAGGAGCATTATTAATTTTGTATGATGACTTTATATCTAACAACTTTGTTAAACTTTCTCATTAATTATATAAATGTGTTTGTAGATTTTCTATGTAAATAATATATATTCTGCAAATAACAATATTTTCTTTCTCCTTACAATAATCATGCCTCATTCCTTTTTTTTGCCTTATTGTGCTGAGTAAAATTCTTCAGTGTAATTTAGAATATTGGTAATATTAACAGGTTTCCTTGTTTCTGAGTTAATGGGAATTCTATCAACATTTCACCATTAAGTATGGTATTTACTGAATAAATTTATAAATACCTTTTATCAGATTAGGAATGTTTCTATCTAGTCCCAGTTTGTCAGGAGCTGAATGCTACTAAATGGTTTTTCTGCCATTGATTGAGATAGTTATAAGATGTTTCCCCTTTAGCCAATTAGTGTGTGAATTATTTTTCTAGCTTCTTCGGTGTTGAGCCATCCTTGCATTCCTAGAATAAACTCTTCTGTTATATTTAATATACTGCTGGAGTTAATTTACTAACATTTTATTTAAGATTTAAAAACATGTGTTCAAAAGTGTAATTTGCCTATAATTTATATTTCTTATACTGTCTTACTTTGGTTTTGGTATGAGGTTATACCCATCTCAATGAATGAGCTGGTCAGCTTTCCTTCTTTTCTCTTCTTTGGAACTTTTTGAATGATGTGGAGATAATTATTTGTTTCTTTTTTTTTTTTTTTTTTTTTTTTTTGAGACGGAGTCTCACACTGTTGCCCAGGCTGGAGTGCAGTGGCGCGATCTCGGCTCACTGCAAGCTCCGCCTCCTGGGTTCACGCCATTCTCCTGCCTCAGCCTCCTGAGTAGCTAGGACTACAGGCGCCCGCCACCGCGCCCGGCTAATTTTTTGTATTTTTAGTAGAGACGGGGTTTCACAGTGGTCTCGATCTCCTGACCTTGTGATCCGCCCGCCTCGGCCTCCCAAAGTGCTGGGATTACAGGCTTGAGCCACCGCGCCTGGCCTTTTATTTGTTTCTTAAAGTCTGATAATACTCACTTATAAAACTGTTAGGTCTAACATATTTTGAGCAAGTAGATTTCTAACTATTTTATCTTCCATAATGATTTTGGAACCTTATTTCCTGTTTCTTCTTGGGTCCTTTTTAGTAATTGTAAATTTTCTGGAAAATTATCATTTCATCTAACTTTTGAAATATATTGTGTCACAGATGTCCATAATATTTTTATGATTTAAAAAATATATAAATATACAGTAATTTCTCTTTTGAGCATTGATATTTATTATATATTTCTCTTCCTTGTTTTTTTATTTTTTTGATTATTCTTGCCAGTGGTTAATTTTATAATCTTTTCAAAAACCTAACTTTTGGATTTGTTGATTATCTTAATTTTTCTATCTCATCCTTTATTGCTTTTATTGTTATCTTTCCTTCCTTTCTACTTCTTAGAGATTTGCTCTTGATTTATGTGTTAGAGCTCATTTTTATTCAATTTTCCTGGTTTTCTAATAAGGGTACCTAAGACTATAAATTCTCTCTAAGACCTGGTAGGCTGTATCCCTTAAGTTTTGATGTGTAGAGATTTTGTTTTTTACTTTATAAATTTCATTATAATCTTCATTTTATACTTTTGTTTTGCTCTTTTTCTTTTTGTGGAGAATGAGGTCTCACTCTATTATCCAGGCAGGTCTTAAGCTCCTGGGCTCAAGCAATCCTCTTGTATCTGCCACCTCAAGTGCTGGGATTACAGGTGTGAGCCACCACACCCAGCATAATCTTCATTTGATTATTTAGTGATGTATTTTTAGTTTTCTTTATCTTGAGACAGAGTCTTGCTATGTAGCCCAGGCTGGAGTGCAGTGGTGCGATCTTGGCTCACTGCAGCCTCCACCTGCAGGGTCTCAGTTCAAGCAATTCTTCTGCCTCAGCCTCCTGAACCACTGGAATTACAGGCATGTGCCAACATGCCAGCTAATTCTTTTTGTATTTTTAATAGAGATGGTGTTTTACCATGATGGTCAGGCAGGTCTTGAACTCCTCACCTCGTGATCCACCCACCTTGGCCTCCCAATGTGCTGGCATTACAGGTGTGAGCTGCTAACCCTTATCCTCTACTTACAGTTTTTAAGCCATTCTTTGTTATCACACTCTAATTCTAATTTTGCTGCATTTTTGTTGGAGTGGGATTGGCAACACGCTGATTCTTGAAATTGAAATGTCCTCCATGGCCACAATCTCTACCCTGGGTTGCTGCAGCTGCTTGACTGTAACCCTAACCTAACCCCTAACCCTAACCTAAACCCCTAACTCTAACCCTAACCCCGAACCCTAACCCTAATCCTAACCCCTAACTCTAACTCTAACCCTAACCCCGAACCCTAACACTAATCCTAACCCCTAACTCTAACCCTAACCCTTAACCCTAACCCTAATCCCTAACTCTAACCCTAATCCCTAATGTTAAACCAAACCCTAACCCCTAACCCTAACCCTAACCATAACCCCAACCCCAACCCTAATCCTAATCCCTAACCCTAACCCTAATCCCTAACCTTAGCCCTAACCCTCTTGGCCCATTCACAACAGCAGCCTGTGTGAGCTTGTCTGACTCAAGTCACTCACACACTCAGATGCCCTTTCTGTTACAGAAGTGACTGTCCCCCACGTCCGTCTGGGGCCAGCCCCCTCACCGTATTAGTTTGCTGTGGCTGTTGTAACTAAGTACCACAAACTGGGGGGCTTAACAGAAATGGATTATCTCACAGTTCTGAGGGCCAGGAGACTGAAATCAAGGGCCACACTCCCTCTGAGGGCTTGAGGGGAGACCCCTTCCTGCCTCTCCAGCTCCTGGTGTTCCTGGCAGCCCTTTGCATTCCTTGGCTTGTGGATGCATCACCCTGATCTCTGCCCCCTAGCCACATGGCCTCTCCCTGCATGTGTCTGTGTCTCTTCTGTTCTTAGGATTATAAATCATACTGGGTCTAGGGCCAACCCTATTTCAGTGTAGCTTCATCTTAACTAATTAAACCTGCAGACACTATTTCTGAACAAGGCCAGATTCTGAGGTTCTGGGAAGGACATAAATTTGTGGGCATTGTTCACCCCAGTGCACCTTTGTGCTAGACCCGTCTTCCATTGCCTCTCAAGGACCTCATCCCAAACATACTGCTCCTCCTGCACACGGGTCCTCCTGCCCTCTTGTGTTGCTCCTGCCGACATAACTCTTTTTTTTTTTTTTTTTTTTGAGATGGTGTCTCACTCTGTCGCCCAGGCTGGAGTGCAGTGGCATGATCTCGGCTCACTGCAAGCTCCGCCTCTTAGGTTTACACCATTCTCCCGCCTCAGGCCTCCGAGTAGCTGGGACTACAGGCACCCGCCACCTCACCTGGCTAGTTTTTTGTATTTTTTTTTTTTTTAGTAGAGACAGGGTTTCACTGTGTTAGCCAGGATGGTCTTGATCTCCTGACCTTGTGATCCGCCCGTCTCGGCCTCCCAAAGTGCTGGGATTACAGGCATGAGCCACTGTGCCCGGACCGACATAACTCTTTAAACACGCTGTCTCCTTGGCCCCTGCCTGCTCGTCCCTTCCTCTTTTGAATCCACTCCACTTGGGCTTGTCTTGCTCTTTCTGAAATGGGTTGAGGTCAGGTCAGCAAGGATTTTGCCTTGTTCAACCCAAAGGCCAGCTCTCCATCCCACAACCCACCTGCATTTCTGGAGCTGTGAGCAGATGAGTGAATGAACATGTGATTGCTGCAGCTGGAGTGTCGCTGTGTTCGCTCTTTGGGGTTGTGTGGGTAGGTTTGTGGACGGGCCTATGCCTTGACGTTGTGATGGAGCTAGCGGGCATACAGCAGGGAGGTGAGGGGTTGAGAACCGTATGGATGAGATCATGACCGGGGGCTCAGAGATCAGGGCACAGTGACAGCAGCTGAAGACTCGGCTGTGGGGTGGGGGCTGCGGTGCGGGAGGGCAGCGTGGTGGTCCGAAGCCCCTGCTGCCCAGCGCCCTCAGGCAGACTGAGAAGCAAGGGTGCATAGCGTTTGTTTCCCTCCTGGCAGGAGCGGGCGTGCATGTGGTTTAATGGTACGAGCCAGCAGGCCCCTGACCTCCCTCCTGGCTCTGCCACTGGCCGACTAGGGACAGGGACAGTGAGATGACAGCAGGGCCCTGGGGCCCGGAGCTTCCTGTGGGGGTGGACTCGTGCCAGGCAGAGCGTGTGGCCTCCTCTGTGAGCTTCTTGACCAAGGTGCTGCACTTGGCGTGAACAGCAGTTAACGGGGAGACGAGGCAGCCTTGCTCCCAGCAGCAGGACCCGCCGCCTTCTCCTTCTGGAGCTCAGCGTAGCTCTGCCCAGCGCCCCATTTGTCCATGGCCTTGGTTCCGGGTTCTGCCCGCTCAGTGACATGAGTACAGGAAGGAGAATGGTGGCTGGCAAGGGCTGGGTAGACGGGAGTGAGAGATGGGCTTGGGGTTGAGGGGAGGCAGCAGTGGCCCTCGCAGGAACCCTGAGTGAGCCCCGGCCTTGGAGCTGAGGTCCCCGGGGCTTGCTGCATGTGGTGCCAGCTCTGGAGCTTGGTGGGGCCGGGACTCTGGTTTCTGAGCAGCTTCTGGGGAGGCTGCCTGGGCCCCACCGCGCAAGGCCCCCCGGCCACAGAGGAGACCGCAGAGTGAACTGGGAGGGCTGTCTGAGAGGCCTGGCCAGGTGGGCCCTACACACTGGGCAGGTTCTGGTGTGGACTCTGATCACCACGGACGCAGGCAGGTCTGCGCAGCGGTGCAACGAGAGCTGGGGTCCCTGACAGCTGGGCAGGAGCAGGGCGGCAGCAGGGGGGCAACAGAGAGGAGGGGCTGGGTGGAGGCGGGGAGGCCAGTTGGAGGCTGCCACGCCAGGCAGGGTCAGGGACGGTGGCACAGGCCTGGCTGGTGGCCGCCAGTGCTAGAGGTGGTCAGCTGTCCCAGGGCAGCCATGCACGGCCGCGCGGACTCAGGAGGATAGAGTCCAGGCTGTACAGAGAGGAGGCCCGTGAGGGGTGGGTCGGAGGCTACAGCTCTGGTGGGATCTGGAGGTCAGAGTGGATTGGTGGAGGAATGATACCACTGTCCCCACTGTGGCAGGGACGCTGGTGGCGGGGATGGTGGTGGAGATGGTGGCGGGGACACTGGTGGCAGGCATGCTGGTGGGGACTGTGGCGGGGACACTGCTGGGGACTTTCTGTAGACATGGAGGCCACCCCCACCGCATGGTAGCGGCAGTGCGTTTCTTCCTTCTGTTTTAGTGGTGCATTCACAGGATCTCGCCCGTTTCTAGAACTTGCTGTTTCGTGTAGGACCTCGTGGTGTCAGGGAGACCAGCCTGGCCCAAGGGGAAGCATCTGTAGCTCCTGCTGCCTGTGGTTAGCACACTCTGCTGGGGGTCTCTGTGGCCACACGGACACAGGGCCTCTGGGTGTCTGGCCTGGCTCCCATGCTGCCCCTCGGAAGGCTGCCAGGATGCAGACCATGCTCTGGGGCCTTTGGACGCAAAGTGCTGGCCCGAGCAGTCGGCTAGTTCTACGCTCCGTGGGGAGAAGGTGGCACTTTAGCCCCTCACCGGCCTGCAGTGGCTGGACTTCTGCTCCCAGGGAGACCGTTCCCCCACCAGGTGACCCCAAGGTAACCCAGAGCCTTGGTCTTACTCCTTGGGGGTCCCAAGGGGATCCTCCCCCATAGGCCAGAGCAGGTCCCTAAAGAAGCCTGAACGACATCCCACTGTGCGCCGGCTTCTGATGCCCGCTGTCCCCTCTCAGTTGCCCTCCCCGCCCTGTCCTCCCCCAGTGGTGGATGGTGGACTGAGTTGACCCCTCTGCATCCCAGGAACCCCATGGGCCGGACGGGACTGCGTGGGCGCGGGAGCCTCAGCTGCTTTGGACCCAACCACACGCTGTACCCCATGGTCACGCGGTGAGTTCATGCCTGCCGGGCACCAGCACCTCAGCAACGCGGCCGCTCCCACCTTCACCAGGGGCTGCTGCCACTCCCCGGTGCCCAGGGGCCGGGAGGGCGGCTTTGGTGCTTGGCACTTGGTGCCCATCAAGGGGATGTGAGGGGCGTCTGTGGATAAACATGAATACACCCGAAACGGGGCAGGAATGTCCATGATCCCCTGGGATCCCCAAGATCCCAGGACCATGCCCCTCTCCGGGGGCTGCCTTCACTTTTCTGCCGGTCCCAGCCCATTAGAGGACCCCCCTCCACAGGGACAGCCCCACAGCCCCACACTCACCCCTCAGACTCACTCTCCACTCCCATCCAGAGGGACACAGCCCCACACTCAACTCCCACCACAGGCTCACTCCTCCACACCCATCCACAGACAGGGACACAGCTCCACTTTCACCCCCTCAGACTCACTGCTCTGCACTCCAGCAGCCGGCCCACTGCTCTCACCCAAGGCACAGGCCGCCTTCTGTGCGGGTGCAGACGCCTCCGTCCCTGAGGAAACTGCTGGGGGCTCTTGCTGTCCACATTGGGCAGGAGTGGGATTCTGGGGCCCAGGCCCAGCTGCTGTGCCCTGTGCTCTCTGGGGGCTATGCCTCCACAGCCAGGACCTCCCCCAGCAGAGGAGCCTTTGGCCTCAGGGTCCTCTTGCTGCCCAGCCCCTCTCACCCAGTGGCTTCTCTGGCCGTGCAGGCATGGCCCTGGGGTGCGAGTCAAACCCTCTGCTCCCTGGTCCTTTGGCCTCTCCTTGGCATGCCCGGGTGGCACTCGGCTCCTCACATCACCCCTGGGCAGCACTCAGCATCCCACATCACCCCCATGTGGCACTCGGCACCCCACATCACCCCACGGGGTTCCCACCGGCATTTTCTAAGAGTGATCAAACTGCAAAGCTGGGTCGAAGGGCAGGTACCTCTCTAAGGGTTTTAATCTTTAAAAATTCTCCATGAAGGCTGGGGTTCTTTCTAGTCCTACCAGCTGCTGATGGAAGTGAGGAAGGACATCCCCTAAGTGGTTACTAGCTCAGTCTTTTCCCTGGGGATGAAGAACTTGATAAAGAACACAGCTTGAGCCTGTGGTGGACCTGACACCGCCCCGCCCCAGGCAGGGCCAGCCCCAGCGTGGCGCAGGGGAGGGTGGAGGCCACAGCGGGTCCTGGGCAGCCGTGGTCGCTCCCTCTGCAGGTGGAGGCGGAACGAGGACGGAGCCATCTGCAGGAAGAGCATAAAGAAGATGCTGGAAGTGCTGGTGGTAAAGCTCCCTCTCTCCGAGCACTGGGCCCTGCCTGGGGTAAGGCTGCGGCGCGTGGGGCCTCTGTCCACTGGGCTGTCTGTGGGTCACTCGTCCATTCATCCATTCCACCCATGGACTGAACACTAGCCCCAGGGCAGGGAGGGTTCAAGACCCTAGCCTATTTTGTCTGTAGAAGACACTCCTCTTCCTCCTGTTTCCTCATGTTGCAGTTAGAAAAACCCAGGATCAGAGGATCTTTTGGTGCATAAACACTAACGGGGCACCTACTGTGTCCCACGCATGGGCTGGGCTGGAGGCCACCTGGGCTCCCCTTTTAGGGTTCAGGGTGTCGGGGTCAGAGGTAGCTCTTCACGGTGTCTCAGACACCAACCTGCTCCTGACCTTCAGGGCCAGGTGCTGAGCCATAAAGAGAAGACAGTGTCAGGCAGGGCCCAGGGGTGTGCACAGGCTCCTCAGCTCAGGGGCAGTGGCTGGTTGTGGGGCTAAGGCTGGAGCGCACCCCAGGGTCTTGTGGGAGGGGTGGACACAATTGGGACAGATGACCCGGGCCTTTCCTCTTCAAGTGCCTCCAATAGCTCCTGTTTCCTCTCAGGCCAGCTGGGTCTCCGCAGCCCTCCAGCCCCCGCACTGCAGGGGATGGAAGAGGCTGGTCCTGCCAGGAGGTCTGAGTCCTGCCAGGCCTGGCCATGGTGCGGGACCTCTGGGGTACAGCCTACCCCTCAGGGCCTCTCCTCTGCACCTGATCTGGGGAGTATGTCACTTACAACAACTCAGCAAGAAGCTGTTGCATTTCTCTGGCCCTGAGCTCACGGCCTGGTGGCTGCCTCTGCTGGTGTGGGGGTGTGTGTGCCACCGTGGTGTGCAGGGCAGCAGTGCCACGAGGGCCTCTGGGCAGGAACGGGGATTCTGGAGCCCAGGCCCAGCTGCTAAGTCCCAGTGCTTTGGGGGGCCTCGCTCCACAGCTGGAACCAACCTTGCAGCAGAGGGGGCTTTTGGCCTCGGGGTCCCCTTGCTGCCCCGCTGCTCTCACCCAGTGGCTTCTCTGCCTGTGCACACCCAGCCCTGGGGCACGAGTCACCCTCCGCTCTCTGGCACTTTGGCCTCTCCATGTGGGGAGCGTGGGGTTGGGTCTGGGGTTCCGCTCACCGGCATCTCTGTCAGCTCTGGCTGGTCACTGAGAGGGGCGCTCTGAGGGGCCTCCTGGGTTCCTGGCTCTAGGGCACTCATGCTTGAGGGTGAGAGTGTCACGGGGCTAAGGTGGGACTGTCTTGACGTGCCTGCAAAGTCTTCATGAGAAACTCATGGGTGTTTCAATGGGACTTTGAATGACAAATAGGATGGGAAAGATGGGTGTGGGGAGGAGGAGGTTCGGGGTAGAGTCAGGTCCCTGAGGCAGGTGGCGCTCGGGAGCGTGTGGGAGCCCAGCCAGCCCCAGCACAGGCCGGGGTGGGACTGGGAGAGACGGGAATGCAAACAGGGAACCCGCTGCAGTAGCCTGCTGCACTGGGCCTGAGCTGGTGGGGGGGCGACGCCTGGGGCAGGTGCCAGGGGAGCAGGGAGGGGGTGCCCTGTCATCCTTGGGGAGCCTGAGCTCAGGGTAGGTATCCTGGGGGCTGTCCCTGCTCCTCAGAGGTTGTGCCTGCAGCCCAGTGCCCCCTGCTCGGGCCATGGCAGGCTCACAGATGCTGACGTAGATGGCTGGTTCTGGGTAATGTCACTCCAGCCCAAGACGCCGCCTGCCTGTGGCTCCTGGGGCTGGGCTGCTGCCCACGATAGGTAGAAGGCCAGTGGAGACGGGTGCCAGGGCAGCCTGAGGTCCCGCTTCAGTGCCCTGTTGACCTGCCTGTGTCTGTCCAGGGCTCCCGGGAGCCGGGGGAGACGCTGCCTCGGAAGCTGAAGCGGATCCTCCGGCAGGAGCACTGGCTGTCTTTTGAGAACTTGCTGACGCGCGGCATGGAGGTATTCCCGGCCTGTTTGCTCTGCTCCACCTGTGTGTTCCCAAGGCTGTAGGATGAACATAGCATGATACTGGGGACCTGCCCCAGCCCCATCGGGTGACAGTGGTCCCACCCAGCTTCACCGGGTGACGGTGGTCCCAGCCCCTGTCCCTAAGTTGCACAGCTCCCAGAGGACCAGGAAGCATAGCTGTGTGCAGGCCCCTCCCTCTCTGTTCCATTTTCTCCTAAGTCAAGGGGGACGGGCTGAGGACCCTTGTTGCCTTCAGGTGTGACAGCGGCTTGGAGGCACGGTGCCACCCTCCTCCGCACATCCACCCTTGCCTTGGGCACCGCTGTGCCCAAGGGTGCTGGGAAGCCAGCCCCTCCCTCAGACCTGCCCCCGACTCCTAAGCTCTGGAGAGCCCTTCCCAAGTGCCCAGCCTGGGGACTGACTGTACCAGGACTTTTTACTTCTTTAGAAACCTGTTTCCTTAGAAAGGCTTCATCTCCAGCTCTCTCTCAGACAAATGCCATGCACACTTTTTTTTGGAAACAAGGTCTTATTCTGTCACCCAGGCTGGAGTGCAGTGGTGCAATCTTGGCTTGCTGCAGCCTCCACCTCCTGGGCTCAAGCAATCCTCTTGCCTTGGCCTCCCAGGTAGCGGGGACTACAGGGGTGAGACACCACGCCCAGCTAATATTTTGTATTTTTGGTAGAGACAGGGTTTGGCCACGTTGCCCAGGCTGGTTATAAACTCCTGGGTTCAAGCGATTTGTCCACCTCAGCCTCCCAAAGTGCTGGGATTACAGGCGTGAGCTACTGCACCCAGCCCTTCATGGACGCTCTTTATAATAACAGGCTACACGTGCTGGGTGCACTGGCTCACACCTGTAATCTCAGCACTTTGGGAGGCTGAGGTGGGCAGATCGCTGGAGGTCAGGAGTTCGAGACCAGCCTGGCCAACATGGTGAAACTGTCTCTACTAAAAATACAAAAATTAGCCAGGCCTGGTGCTGCATGCCTGTAATCCCAGCAGGAGAATTGCTTGAACCCAGGCGGTGGAGGTTGCACCACTGTACTCCAGCCTGGGCAGGAGTGAGACTATCTCAAAAAAAAAAAAAAAGTGATCAATGCCATGGCATGGAGCACTTCACAACATTGTGCAGCCACCACCTCTATCCAGTTCCAGAACATACCATCACCCCAAGCTCTTCCCCAGCACTCCCGAATCTGCTTCCCATCTCCTTGGATTTGCGGGTTCTGGACATCTGTTATAAGTGGACTCCTACAGCAGGTGGCTTTTGAAGCTGACTTCACTGAGCAGACGTTTCCAAGATCTCTGCAGGGCAAGGACTGTTCAGGATGAAGCCGGCATTGGGCTGCTCCGCCGTGCAGGCCCGGGCAGGCTAGGGGGAGCTGGGGCAGGGTAGAGGGCACGTGGTGGGCCGGAGCACTGCTCAGGGGTCCCTTGCTGTCGGGCTTACCCTGCCCATCCAGGTGTACAAAGGCTACATGGACGACCCGAGGAACACGGACAATGCCTGGATCGAGACAGTGGCCATCAGTGTCCACTTCCAGGACCAGAACGACGTGGAACTGAACAGGCTGAACTCTGTATGAACTTGGCCTCCAGGGAGGGGAAGTGGGGAGGTGGGGACGGGTATGGGCGTGGCCTCTGGGGAGGGGGAGGCAGGGAGGGGATCTGGATTCTGGACGTGCCTCTGGGGCGTCCAAGGGTGGGACCTGGCTGTGCTCCCAGGGCCCAGGGCCAGAAAGTAGAAGCTACAGGATCAGAGTCTTGCCCAGAAAGTGACAAAGGGGGTACCGGGGGAGGCCAGGGAGCCACTGCAGATGGCCAGAGCTGACAGGACAGGGGACCATGAGGGCCCTGTGTAGTTCTGGGACCTGGATCCTCCAGGGAGGCAAGGCCCCCCCCCGCCTCTGCTGCGGGCTTTTAGCCTTTTATGGGGATGTGGCTTCCCAGTGCTTGGTTCAATCCTGCATGCTCCTAATTCAGAACTGCGATGGGAAACTTCCATGCAATAACCCCAGGCTTTATGTGCAGGCTAAACAGCTCCCGGCAAAGCTGCAGCTGCATCTTCTTCCCCTGAAGGATCCTCAGGGCCTTGTGGGTGCATCGCTGGTGCACCTGACACAGGGGTCCTGCCTCCCATTTCACAGAGGAGTAAAGTGAGGGTGCCCTCGAAGGCTGCAGTCTGTAGGGCCCAGCTGGGCAGAGGCAGGGCTGGCAGGGAGGGTCAGCTCTGCCCTTGTTCTTCCAGAACCTGCACGCCTGCGACGCGGGGGCCTCCATCCGATGGCAGGTGCTGGACAGGCGCATCCCACTGTACGCGAACCACAAGACCCTCCTCCAGAAGGTGGCAGCTGAATTTGGGGCTCACTACTGACTCTGCACTCAGGCCGGGCAGTTGCAGTCCGTGGACAGTCCCCCCGGAAACCAGGGCTTCTCTCTCCCGAGCCTGTCCAGGACTTAGGCTGATCCTGGGCCCTGCACAGGATGGGGTTGGGTGGACCCACTGCCCCTCACGGCCGCTGCAAGTTTGCCGCAGATGACCTCATGAACTGGACAGGGTCAGGGTGACCTGGGAGGAGAGCTCAAGACAGGGCACAGGCTACTCAGAGTTGAGGGGCCCCTGGGACCCTTGGCCATCAGGTGAGGGGCTGGGCCTGTGATGGGCCCTTGGCCAGAGTTCACTCCCTTCCTGGCTGTGTCACCCCAAGCAACTCTTCCACCGTGGAGGTTATCGGCCCAAGGCAAATTCCCTGGAGAGTCAGGGTCCCCTGTGGCCTGGGAGGAAGGGGCCCTGCCACTCTCCCCAAGAGGGCCTCCATGTTCCGAGGTGACTCAACACGGATCCTTGCCTGGCCCGGGGGCACCGTCTGAACTCCTGGCTGTCAGGATAAGCTCCGTGGGGGGACAGGAGCCCAGACACAGCCCAGGCCTGTGAAGAGACCCAGAGGGCCTCTGCCAGGGTTAGCCCCAGGGACCCTGGGAGGGGGCTGCAGAAGCTCTCCCTCCCCACTACCTGGGAGCCACGTGCTGGCCACACCCAGGAAGGAGGGACAGTGGGGGCAGGAGGTGGGGATGTGGGGACCTCGTGGTTTGGTGTCAATGGCTCACAGGTGTGTGAACCATCAGGGCCCTCAGGATGGGGAATGTGGTAAAATCTGCCATCTCAGGCCTGGCTGGCTCTTGTGTGTTTTCCACAAATAAAGTTTCTGACACGTCCAGGGCTGGGGGCTGTGTCACGGCTGCCTGAAGTTCTCCTCGATCCACAGGTGAGCTTTCTGAGGCCTGTGGATGCCCTGTAGCCCCTCAGCCCTACACCCCCAGTTTCTCCAACCCACCAGCTCCCTGTCTTCATTTTCCTAAACCTGGGCTCCAACATCATCCCCAAGCCCTCCAGGCCAGGATGGTGGCATCCACATGCCCTCCTCCTTGGCTTCCCCTGCACGGTGGTGCCAATATGCCCTGTCGCCCCTGCAGGGGCTCCAGATGGAGCCTGGGGCGGCCTGGCTGCTGAGCACTGGCCGCAGGTGACACCCACCCTGCTCTGGGCAGGCCTCTGTCTTCCACCTGACCCAAAGCTCTCTGGCCACCCCAAAGTCCCCCTCACCCCATCAGCGTCACCAAGGACACAACTGACCCCTTATGCCCTTAGAATCAGTCCCGTCACCAACTTTCGTGATGGAGTCACCCTGGGTGTGATAAAAATGTAGATCTTCAGGCCCCTTTCGAAGCTCAGAGGCAGTGGGGCTGGGAGGTCCTGGAAGCTCCATCTGGGGTCAGCATCCTCCACCCCCAAGGGGCTCTCAGGTGGCAGGTTTGAACCACAGTGCAGACTGCATGTGGCCCACCCCACTCCTCTCCTCTCCAGCTCCCTCTCCCCCTGCAGCGCAGCCTCCAGGTGCTACAGGGAAAGCCTGAGACTCCTCGGTTACTGGCTGTGGGTCCAGACCTCTGCCAGGGGCCATGTTGTGCTCAGTGCTCCTGTTTCTGGGCTGAGCTCCCACTGTCTGGGGCAGGTCTCAGCTCTGTGTCTGTGGGATCTAGAAACACTGAGCTGAAGGTGGCACCCAGGGAAGGGGTGGGGGCTGTGCCTGGGGGCCGTGGATTCCCCTTGACAGCTCTGGCCCTCGCCACAGCGCTGCCCCTGCCCTGCCTGTGAGACAGCCGGGGCTCTGTCTGAGAGTCCCCACGCTGGGTCAGGGGCCGGGACAGGAGGGACGAGTGTGGAGGCAGGGGCAGTCAGGCTGCACCCAGTGGCCAGCCATGGCAGTGGGGCAGGCTCATCTGAGGCCGCCCTGTCTGAGTGTGGGGCGGGCAACCCTGGCTCCTTCACCCAGGATGTTTTATTCATTTGCCTGATCGCATCCCAGCCCCGTGGATGCTGCAAGTGCAGCTCCTCCATGCCAGTCCCCAGCGAGACACCCTTGCAGCTGGGAGAGAGATTAACCAGCTGGAGCAGCTACATTTTACTCCCAGACCACAAGGCTGGATCCTGGGCAGATAAGGGAGTGAGATGCTCAGCCCTGAACTCAATCACAGCCATGAGGGAGGCTCAGATCAGGGAGGCAGGAGGCGGCTTCTGGTGTTTTTGAGAGCACAGGCTGTGGTCTGGAGCAGACGGTGGCCCAGGCTGCGTGCAGGGCCCTCAGAGACGGCTGACGTCTTCACCAAATGGGGCAGGCCACACACACAGAACCCAGGGGACCCAAGAAGGCACTCACCACGTGGCTTCAGGCAAGTGCCCCCGACTCAGCAGTCCGTCAGTGCACACACTGTCAACACCGGGAAGCATCTGCCACCAGTGAGCAGGCTGCACATCTGCCCTGTCTTGACAGTGGCATAACACACACTTAGTCATGCACACACCTTATGTGGGAGCAGCCGATGGGTTTCTTATGTCAACAACGAGCACCCGGTCATCTCCAGCCCCCGGAGCCCTGGAGCCCCCGCATTGTTGTCCCCATGCGTCTGACCTCCTCACCCCCCCTCCCCCACGAGTCTCGTCTGCTCCTGAACCTCCCCAGTCGGAGCCTGGCCAGGTGTGCTTTGCGAGCCTGGCCTCCTTCACTCTTGGTAATGTCTGCGGACTCATTCCTGTCTACACTGCGGTGTTCGGTGGCAACTGCATGAATTCACTGAATTTAAAATATACCATAACGTTTGGGTTTGCCTTTGGCATCCCTTCCGCTTCTAACATACAAACTTCACAGCTGCCCTCACTCAGTGTCTGCAGTTTCTCTGCTCATGTTCTTTGTGCCTTGCAAGATTCCCCACTACTTTTAGCTGTCACTTCTCCTGTCTTCTCTCGTCTTCCATGAGCTTTTTGCCTTTGAATGCACTGACCAGTCACTTTGTAGAGTTTTTCTCAGTTTGGGCGTGCCCGGGATGTTCTCACGATTGGAATGGGGAGATGCATTTTTGGCAGGAATATCGCAGAAGTGACATCCTTCTCAGGGTGTCGTATCAAGGGTACATGATGCCAATCTGCCTTGCCACTGACAGCCCGAGCTTTGTCACATAGATAAGGTGGTTTCTCCACTGAAAAGCTGTTACTACTTTTTTAGAGTTAATAAATATGTCAAAGCAGATACTTTGATCCTACAGAAATCTCCAAGGAAGCTAATTTAAGTATGAGACACACTAGGTAAAAAGTAGCAAGGTGAAAGAAGATATCCCGTGGTAAACTAATCAAAGGAAAGCAGGAATCGATTTCAAATCAGGGTCTAGGGATAAAGAGGGTCATTTCATGATGACACAGGGGTCAACCAGTTAAGAGCATGCACGATGTGAGCGCAGGGTCTCAAAACACACGAAGCAAAAGCTGATAGAACTGCGAGGAAAAATTACAGACAAATCTGCAATTACAGTCAGAGGTTTCAACATGGCTATCAAGAATTTGTTTGAGACAGGGTCTTGCTCTGCCGCCCAAGCTCAAATGCAGTGGCACAATCATGGCTCACTGCAGCCTTGACTTCCTGGGCTCAAGAAATCCTCCTGCCTCAGCCTCCCGAGTAGCTCGGATTACAGGCATGCGCCACTATGCATGGCTAAGGTTTTGATTTTTTGTAGAGACAGTGTCTCACTTTGTTGCCCAGGCTGGTCTCTCAATAATTAGCAGAGCAAGTAGACAGAAAGGGGATGATAATATAGGCGACTCAAATAACACAGTCATTGCTGTTTATAGGACACTTCGTGGAGCAACAGAACACAAATTCAAGTGCACATGCAACAACTGCCAACCATATTCGGGTCCATGAAGGAGTCTCAATAAATTTAAAAGGATCCAAAACATAGAAGATGTCCTCTGACAACAACGGATTTAAATTAATGATCAACAGCAGAAAGAACTCTGGAAAATGCCCAAATATCTGGAAATGAAATAGCATAGTTCTAAACTCACGTGTCAAAAAGGAAATCAAAGGGAAAATTATAAATTATTTTAAACTTAATAAAAATACAGTATATCAAAATTTCTGGGATGCAGTTAAAACTGGACTTAGAGGGAAATTTATAGTACTAAATGCTTATACTAGAAAAGAAGATCACAGATCAGTGACTCCAGCTTCCACCTTAAGAGACCTAAAAAAGAATAGAAAGTCAAACCCAATGTATGCAAAACAGGCTGTATGCAGTGGTTCATGCCTGTAATCCCAGCACTTTGGGAGGCCGAGGTGGGTGGATAACCTGAGGTCAGGAGTTCGAAACAAGCCTGGCCAACATGGTGAAACCCTGTCTCTACTAAAAATATACAAAAATTAGCTGGGCATGGTGGCACATGCCTGTAATTCCAGCTACTCAGGAGGCTGAGGCAGGAGAATTGCTTGAACCTGGGAGGTGAAGTTTGCAGTGAGCTGAGATTGCACCCACTGAATTCTAGCTTGGGCCACAAAGCAAGACTCTGTCTCAAAAAAAAAAAAAAAAAAAAAAAGCAAAAGAAAAAATAAAGGTAAGAGTGGAAGTCGATGAAAAAAAAAAAGTGCAACAATCAATGAAACCAAAAAACTATTTCTTTGAGAAGATCAATACAATTGATAAACTTCTGATTGTTCAGTTTTTAAAAAATGCTACAAATTACCAGTATCAGAAATGAGAAAGGTGATGTCACTTCATGCTTCACAGATGTTGAAAAGATAAGGGAATATTATGAATAACTTTATGCTAATAAATTCAACAACTTGGGCAATTTCTTGAGTGATACAAACTACATACATTCATTCAGGAATACAACAAACTCAGCAGTTGTATATCCATTAAATAATTCAACCACATATAAAAATAATACATCATGACCACGTGGGGTTTATCCCAAGAACACAAGATTGATTTAACACTTTAAAATCAATCAGTATACGCTATCATATTAACAGACCATCATGCAAAAAGATTCTCAATAGATGCAGAAAAAACAAAATCCAACTTTCATTCCTGATTTAAACAACTCTCAGCAAACAAGAGAAAGGATAGTCTTTTCAACAGTCTGGAAAAAACTGATTATCCACATACACAAAAAGTAAACATTGAATCATATCTCACACCATAAACCCAAATAAAATAGGTAATAGACCCAAATGCAAACCTTTAAAACTCTAAAACCCTTGTGACTTTAGGTGAGGCAAATCTTATATATGACACCAAAAGCAGGATCCATAAAACAAAACAAAACAAAACATCATAAGTTGCACTTCCTGACAGTTAAAAAACTTCTGCTCTTTGAAAACCTGTTAGGAGAATGAACACACAATCCAAAGGCTCAGAGAAAATGTTTACAGATCACATATTTGATAAAGGACTTGTATCCAGAATATACAACAAACTCCCAAACTCAATAAGAAAATAAACAACCCAATTAAAAGTGAGTAAAAGATTTGAACTCAATGCTTACTATGGGAGATGGAGAATAAACAGATGAAACGATGCTCAACATCACTGGCCAACAGGGAAATACAAATTAAAACCACAATTCCAGCTATCACCACACACCTATTAGAGTATCTGAAATTAAAAAGACCAATCATACCAAGTGCTGGGGAGGATGTGGAATGTAAAACCATACAATCCCTTTGGCAGTTTCTTAAAAAGTTTCACATATGGCTACCGTGGCATCCAGCCACTTCACTCCTAGACATCTATCCAAGAGAAAGAAAAGCATTCATCCAAAGACTTGTGCACAATGTTCGGATCAGCTTTATCTGTAAGAGCCAACACCAGAAACCACCCAAATACCCACGAGCAGGTGAATGGAAACAAACTGTGGTACACTCATACACTGGAGTACCACGCAGCCATGCAAGAACTACCCATTGACAAACCAAACGACACAGGTGAATCTCAAAAATAATTGCACTGAGTGAAAGAAGCTACACAAAAAGCACATATACGATTCCATTTGTGCAAATTACAGGAAATGCAAAGTAATCTGTAGTGACAGCAGGCAGATCAGTGCTTGCCTGGGGATGAGGGAGGGCAGGGAGAGATGACCAAGAGGGAACCCAGGGTGTTCACTAGGCTGATTGTGGTGATGGTTTCACAGGCGTATCCGAGTGTCAAAACGTATCAAATTAAAATGTGTAGCTTACCGTCTATCAATTACATCACAATAAAACTACTTTTTGAGAATCATGATGGTTCAGGTCCGGCTCAAATGCCCCCACCCTGCATTCCTCCTTGGGATGTCAGACGCGGGAGCTGGGGCAGGAGGGGACCTAGATGGGCGGAGATCTAGCCCTACTCACCCACTGGCCACGGGGTAGGCGAGGGACGCTCAGCAGGGGCTTCCCGCAGACCCAGGGTCTTCAAGCGCCAGAAGCCCCGATGCCACGGGGAAGAGGGGATTTGCCCACAGTGAGGGGCAGGGGCTGGATCGGTAGCTCCTCCCGGCCCGCAGGCCCCGCCCACACCCATAACCACGCCCTCAGCCTCCACCACCGCGTCCTCAGTCCCGCAACCACGCCCACAACCCGCCCACAGCCCCTGCGACCTGAGTCTTAGTACCGGCTCCATCTAAAGCCGCACCACCAGCTCCTCCTATGCCCCGCCCCATCTCTTCCAGGCCCCGCCCTCAAACCCCGCCCCCGCCTAACCACAAATCCCGTTCAGGTCTCCTTACATGCCCCGCCCCTTCCCCGCCCACGCGGGAATCGACACAGCCAGTCTCCGCCTTTCGTCCCGCCCCTCCCTCCAGGCCCCGCCCCTCCCCGCCCCTCGCCAGCGCAGGCCGGAGCCGCGGCCTCCCCAGCCAGTGGTCGCGGGCGCGGGCGCAGGGGCAGCAGGGTCGCCACCGCGCCAGGGGTGGAAGCGGGTCTGGCGGGCTCCGAGAGACCCGGGAGCAGCGCGCAGAGCAGCCTCCGGCCGCCGCCGCGCAGGTAAAGCCCCCGCCCAGCCCTGGGAGCATGGATCCCCCACCACCCGTGACCATCCCCCCGCCGCGAGTGCTCGGGTCTCGGGGGTCGCAGGTTCCGGGGGTCCTAGGGCCGGAGGGTCTAAAGGCTCGAGGTCCCGGGGGTCCGAGCCCCTCCCGGCCGGCTCCGCGCGCGGCCCCGCCGTCCACGCCCAACGCGGGCCGCGCGCACAGGGCTTGGCTTCTCCGTTTTCTCCGCTTCTTTCTTCAGGCAGTTGAAAGAAAAGGCGCGGTTCTGCGCCCGGTGCGAGCCGCGGCTGCTTTAGGGCTGGCAGGGAAAGGCTTGCTGGGTTATTACAGTTTTTAGGGATTGTCGGAGTCAGCCAGGCGTTGGCTGCGGGAGTAGCCCCTGGCGCGCGAGCGCCCGCTGGTGCCCGGCCACGTGCCCGTCTTGACCCGCGCTCCAGGTTTGGCAGAATCTCCAGCCGTCCCCGTCCTCCTGGCATCCACCCTGAGGAGGGGCTGGGTGGTCCCAGGCCGCCGTCTCCCCGCCACCCGGCCTTTGGTCCCCAGCGGTGTGGGAGGTGGCCAGGGCTGACCGCAGTGACCACCGACTGCGCCACACGGAGCCCCCTGGCAGTGCCAGCTCCTTGCACTTGTGGGACGCTCCTCCCGGGCGCATTGGGAGTCTCCAGAAGTAAGTTACAGGCAGAGCTGTTTAAGGAGGCGTGCTCCCCATCCCAGACCCTTCGGCGGGCCCTGGACAACCTCCCCACCAGTGGACGCGTTTCCCAGATGACTGCAGCAGGCAGTGCTGACCACCCTCCTTCCCTCTTCCCTCCCTCCTGCATCTTCCCTTTCAGAGCTGCCAGAGTGGAGTGCACTGCTTCTCCCAGCCCGGCAGGATGGCGGGTTCTTGTCTGGTTGGATAAGGCCTTGCAGCAGAAAAGAGCTCCATCTCCAGGCCTGAGCAGAGGCGCGCATCTCCCCATTCCCAGGCCAGCTCAGGATGGGCACCGTGCGCCTGCCTCGCCCCTCCCTCCTGCTGGTCTCCACCCGGGGGTCTTGTCTCTTCCTCCTCTTCTGCCTGCGCCTGGGCGCCACCTGCCCGCAGCCCTGCCGGTGCCCTGACCATGCAGGGGCTGTGGCTGTCTACTGCAGCTTGCGGGGCCTGCAGGAGGTCCCCCAGGACATCCCGGCCGACACCGTGCTCCTGAAGCTGGATGCCAACAAGATCTCCCACCTCCCGGACGGGGCCTTCCAGCACCTGCACCGGCTCAGGGAGCTGGATCTGTCTCACAACGCCATCGAGGCCATTGGCCCCGCCACCTTCGCGGGCCTGGCGGGGGGCCTGCGGCTGCTGGACCTGTCCTACAACCGCATCCAGAGGATCCCCAAGGACGCCCTGGGCAAGCTCAGTGCCAAGATACGCCTGTCCCACAACCCCCTGCACTGTGAGTGTGCCCTGCAGGAGGCCCTGTGGGAGCTGAAGCTGGACCCCGACTCTGTGGACGAGATCGCCTGCCACACCTCAGTGCAGGAGGAGTTTGTGGGGAAGCCTCTGGTTCAGGCTCTGGATGCAGGTGCCAGCCTCTGCAGCGTCCCCCACAGGACCACAGATGTGGCCATGCTGGTCACCATGTTCGGCTGGTTCGCCATGGTGATCGCCTATATCGTGTACTATGTGCGCCACAACCAGGAGGATGCCCGGAGGCACCTGGAGTACCTGAAGTCTCTGCCCAGCGCCCCTGCCTCCAAGGACCCCATTGGCCCGGGGCCCTAGCGCCTGTTCCAGCAGACCCCCGCCGATGGCTGCTGTCACTTCTGTAGTAGGTGGTAACTGATGATGCTTTTGCTATTCCCTGAGGCAGGTGTCACAGCCATGTGTGCTGTGCTCCCCACTGTTGCCCTCGGGCACAGCAGCACCTCCAGGCTGGATGGTTTTGCCATCACATCCGTGTGAAGGATGAGGAACCTGAAGCTTAGTGAAACAGAAAGACTGCCTGTGACACCATCAGGAAATGATCCCAATGGGACTTCAACCTGGGCTGTCCATCGTGACATTCCGCCTCCTTCCACCACGCGAGCCTCTCCCACACAGGGCCCGCAGGCTGTGGATATGCACGCAGAGGACACGGGGTGCTCCACAAGCGTGAGGGTTCACGACAGGGGGCTCGGGTTCAGGTTCACCTGCTGAAGGCGCTGATAAGTCCTGTGCTGAGGAGCTGGCTTGCCCTTGTTTACCTACAAAGTGCACTGTAGGTAAACATGAGCCTTGTTCCACTGTTCCAGGTACATTGGAACATGAGCCCTGTTTCCAGAGCAAAGTAACAGAGACCAGGTTTTTCTAGAGCACTAAGTGGGATGTGTAGCTCAAACAAACTGCCCTAAGCTTTTTGTTCTCACAATGTTTGAGCAACCCTAGTGCCAAAATTTCAGTCCAGTAATGGGGTGAACAATATGGAGAGAGACCTGGGAAAAGTCCAAGGTAGCTTGCCTAGGGGAAGGCAGCAGCCACATATCTGGGGCCCTGCCTGCTTCCTGCCCCTCTGGCTGTGCCTGTTGTGGGAGGCCCTGCCCCGGGGTGATCTTGGCTCACTGCAACCTTCGCCTCCCAGGCTCAATCACTTCTCCTGCCTCAACCTCCTGAGTAGCTGGAATTACAGGCACCTGCCACCATGCCTGGCTAATTTTTGTATTTTTAGTAGAGATGGGGTTTCACCATGTTGGCCAGGCTGGTCTCGAACTCCTGGCCTCAAGTGACCCGCCCGCCTCAGCCTCCCAAAGTGCTGGGATTACAGGTGTAAGCCACCACACCTGGCCCTGTGCCTTGCTTTTTCTACTAAGATATAAAACAGCTTTTTCCAAGGCCAGGAGTACTGGTGATTGATGTTTCAAGGCCAATCAATGGGATGCTTCATTTTCTCCAGCAACAGGAACTCTCTCTTTTCACCTTTGCTGCCAGGAATCTCAGAGATAATTTAGTATTCAATTTACTTACCTTAACATTCAGGTTAGATGTTACCTCCACCTATATGATAGTAATTCTTAATTTTATTTTTTGTCCTTTTTATGAGTGTTTATATTTTAAAGTACTTTATTTTTGGGGGGGGTGCAAATGAGTGATCAGTGTACATTGTGTGTAGACTGAAGTGTAGGTATGTAGAGATGCTTCACCAAACAGATGCTTAAAAATGATTGGAAGTTGAGGGTGGTTTGTGTTTGGAAAGCGTCAGGTGACTTGGAAGGTGAGAGCCTGACCAGGGTGTGTGCAGTGCGAGTCACAGGAGCGTCTGTGTTGTGAGGTGCTTGGTAGGCTTTGCTCTGCCCACCGTGCAGACGTGGGGGTAGGTGAGGAGCCTGGCCCAGTGTGTGAGTGGAGGCAGCCCCAGGCCCCGCTTGCTTCCCTCATGCCACGCTGCCTGAGTGTCGCCGTGCTCGGAGGATAGAGACCTCCACGGAAACTGCCAGCGCCGCTCACCCTTCCAGCGAGAGCTAGAACCAAGTGCCAGCTCCCGGGAGCGCACCCGTGCTGGTCGCGTGGTCCTCATGGTCCGGACAGAGCCAGCAGGTGGCGGAGTGTCCGGTTCCACTGTTTGGAGGAAGCGGGCGCTGACACAGCAGAGTGTCCTGGGCCTGCGGGGGTTTCTATCCACAGGCCAAGTGGCTGAAAGCATACGATAAGGATGTGTGGGTGAAGAACCGGTGCCATCCCTGGCTCTCTGATGGATGCAGGCGGGGCAGGTGAACTGTTGCTGGCCTGGCCTGCAGGCCTGGGGTCACATGGTGATTGGCGTCCTCCTGCCACCCCTTCTCCATGCCAGGGTGCCTGTGGTGGGTTTGCCCGGCCTGCGTGACCCCAGGTCCCAAGGAGAGTGTGGACTGAGGCCTGGGTGGTGAAGGCAGGGCCTCTCCTCAGCCCTGCGTCCTGTGAGTGCCAGCCAGTCCCATCTCACATTTTGGGGGGCCCTTTCCCTGCTGCCAGGGGACTCTTCATTGGCCCTTACCCTAGAATCAGCCCAGAGCCTGTACACCACCCAGACGTGGCCCTTCAGGAGGTGCACAGGGCAGGGGCAGGCCCGTCCCTCCCTGCCCCAATTGGCTGGGCTGCCCCAGCCCGGGATCTGGCCTTCCCCTTGGTGAAGGTCTGCTGGGCCCTGCCCACCTCCTGTTGGAAGGGGGAGAAGGGGAGAGGACCAGGAGGACACCAGAGGTCCCGTCCCTTGCACTGTGAGCTCAGTCAGGTCCATAAGCTGCCCACCATCCTGGCCTTACTGTGCCCCCTGCCCCACTGACATAGGGGGAAACACCTCCCCTCTAAGGAAGGCCATAGAGACCCCAACACTGTGGGGCCCCAAAGGTCCTTCATGCTCATTGGAGCTCCCACCCTAGGTGCTTGCAAGTCCTCAGCTCTCCAGGGGTACAGCCCTCCCCTTCCTGCCCTCCCCTCCCGTCGCATCTTGTGACCTCTTGACTGGCGGGGCCTGGAGCCCATGATGGACACTTGCTGAAGGACGGGCAGCAGAGCACCCTGAGATGACATCGCTGCCTGGCCCCAGAGCACCCCACCTCTCCCCGTGCCTCGGTTCTTTGCAGCCCACATGTGAGCATACGCACCCCAGGACCTGCTGCCCGCTGGGACGCCCAGGCCAGATCAGCCCCTCTGCCTCCACGCTGCACTGACTGCAAGAGTTTCCCACATCTGCAGCGGCCGTGGGCTCAGCCCCACACCAGCCAGGCCACCAGCGTTGACAGCGGTGAGGCGGGGACAAAGGGAGTGTCTCAGTTCAACCTGTGGACATAGTGGAGGTCTCCGCCTTGTGAGGCAAGGCAAGGGGGAGGGGAGAGGCAACTGGGGGGATTCTGTGACTACTGGGCCACCAGGGAGCCAGAATCTTCCAGCCAGACTGACAGGGCGGGACTTAGCTTCCTGATGCCGGCCGTTCACCACCCTCACCCCTGGAAGCTCCCTGGGCATCATGGGAGGCAGAGCCTGAACCCCAACCTAACCCTAATGCTAACCCCTAAACCAACCCTCACCCTAACCCTAATGCTAACCACTAACCCAACCCTCACCGTAATTCTAACCCCTGATCCAGCCCAATCCTAACCCTAATGCTAACCCCTAAACCAACCTTCACCCTAACCCTCATGCTAATCCCTAACCCAACCCAGCCCTAACTCTAAAGCTGACTCCTAACCCTAGGAGAGGAGCCCAGGCTTGGACCCCTCCCCCTGCTAGTTTCCTGTTGGACTTTGGAGCCCCAGATGCCTGCTCAGAGGCTCCCTTGTGCGGGGCGGGGTCCAGCAGTGGGGGATGGGCCCAGAGCCAGTGTAACCACCAGCAGAACCATCCTGATCCACAGGGCCGTCCCTGGTGGGGTAAGGCTCCCTGGGGCAGGAAGGCCACCAAGGGCAGGGAGACTCCCAGGCCCACTCACGGCGTAGGCACCACAGGAGCTGGCTGGAGGCTATAGGGGTGCAGGGCGTGGGCCTGCTGGGGGTTGCGTGGCAGACAATGGGGTGTGGGGTATGCTGGCAGCTGTGGGTGAGTGAGGAGCCTCCTCTCGTGAAGGGCCCTGGGGAAGAGGAATCTGGCCCTAAGAGACCCCCGCCTCCTCTGCAGGGGCTGCCTGCAGGAGGGGAACCTGGGGCCCCCAGCCTCACCTACAGGGAGGGTAGATGAGAGTTGTAAACCGCACATGAGGCTGGGCTAAACCTGGACGTGTGTTTCATAACCGAAGCAGCCAGGAAACTCTGGCTCTGCCCAGAGCTTATCTGGGCAGGACATGGGGACGAGTGTCCAGGCTGAAGGCAGGACCCGGCCAGCAAAGGGCCATTTCACATTGAGCTCCACAGCTAGTCATATTCTGTGGAATGTGCGGACGTCCACAGCCCATCAGACAGGGTCTGGAGTGGGGGTGCTGTCTTGGGCAGCTCTTCCCGAGGGTCTGCAAAATCCCAAGGTCACCAGAGCCAAGGCAGGAAGGCAAGGAGCCCGGCTTCTAAGGAACTCTGATCAGGTGTGGCCCATGGCTGGGAGGCAGCTGACTCCATGGTGCATAGCACAGAGGGCGGCCCGGAGTCCTGGACACTCCTGGCATGTCCCCTCGTGGGGGATGTGGGGACTTGGCTTAGGTCTCGTCTGGCTGGCCTTCCTGGACCGCAGTGGCCGGGAGCTGAAAACCATGACCCCAGGCTCCCTGCAGCTGTTCTCGATGGGATTTCGATTCTCCAGTCAGATGCGTTTACGCAGGACTTGGATCCTGAACTGTGTAACCTGGAGAGGGAGGTGTGAGCGGGCCATGCTGCTGGCCCAGACTGTGCCGGTGTCTAATTCTGTTGTCCTCGCAGCCCTTCTGTGAGCCCTCAGTAAAGCTCTTCATGCTTCAGTCAGCAAGTGTGGATTCTGTTGTCTGCAACTCTGCAGCCTGGCCCAAACCCCAAGCCTCCCCCTTCCCCAGACCTTGCAGTGCCGTGGAGCTGAGGGACCTGTGAGTCCACAGCTGTGGCCCCAGAAGGGCTACAGGAGCGGAACCTGTGTGAGCCCCACAGAGGGTGCAGAGCCGGCTTGTGCAGTTTCCAGCAGGCTAATGACAGTGGATGGTTAAATGTAGCTCCTGACAGCCAACTGTTAAGGTTTCAGGCATTTTTGCACCAGGTGACGTCATGATGGCAGCCTGAATGTGACCATGGCAGCAGTCTCTACATCAAGGAAACTGGTAAATGTCAACACACCGGGTGCCCCCACTCCTGTCCCCCCGAGGCTGCCAGCATCTTCCAGCCCACACTGCCGGGGTTGGGGGAAGCTTGTTGTGTGGCCGCCTCCCAGGCTGCGGTGAGGGTCTCCAGAGACCACCGTTGTGCAGGCTCTTGGTCAATAGCAGGGTGTGGTGCCCACGCCAGGGGGACGCATTCTCTGTGTGACCTCCACACCCCAGGTCAGGATGTGATTTGCTTCTCCAGGGCTGTGACTCACTAGATCCACCTCCCGCTGGTGCATGGTGGCCCCTGACAGCCCAGCCCCCACCTCCAGGCCCCAGCCTGCCCTAGGGTCATGGGTGCTGGCCTGTCCATGCTGTCCTCCTGACCACCTGGTGCTCCTGGCCACCCTGCCTGCCCCCATCTCTCCTCAGAACAGCTTGGCTGCCCCCACCTGCTGGCCCCTGCTGGCCCACCTGCTTCCCAAGCCTGCCCTGCCCCTCATCTCCTGCCTGCAGCGACTCCCACCTGTCACGGAGCCCCCCTGCAGCACCACCAGGCCCTGCCCTTTCCCAAGCGGAGGGACGGGTCTGAGAGTGCTGTACCGGGCTCCATTCGCCTCTTCCTACTGTGATCCATGCCTGCTTGACCCGGCTTCCCATCCTCACACCTGCCTACGTTCTCCCTCCAAATGAGTAAAAGCAAATCCCAGACCTCAGGGGAAAAAACAAAAACAAACAAAAAACAAAAACAAAACAAACAAACAAAACCTATCTGTAAATATAAGCAGGAACCCTTCACACATGGGGCCTCTTTTTTGTTTAAATATATAACCACAAAACCACCATCCACCTGAAAATGACATTCCAGCGGTTCCCGAGTCTTCCTCGCTCGGAGCTCACATCTCCCTGACGGTCTCGTTGTATTTTCCGGGTTGGCTGGAATCAGTCTCCCCAGTGCTCCTCCAAGGCCACTGGCTGAGGCCTCTTAGGTCTCTTAGCTTATGGGCCCCCGTTTGTCTGCTGTTGGCTCCCCTCTGGGTGGTTCTGCTGAAGCAGCCTGGCCGCTGGCCCAGGGACACCCTGCCTGGATTCTTCGGCGCCACCACGCGCCGTGCACACACCTCTGTGAATGCGTGAGCACACTGGATTTCCCGCAGGGCTTGCTGGCCGCACTCTCCCGTGGGCTGTGTGTCTTCAGTTGTCTCCCGGGGACGTTTACAGCCACTGTTCATTCACCGGGTGGTTGAGCAGGATCCGCTGGTCCGTGAGCCCTCTTTATTTGTTAGCTAGAATCTTCCAGGAAGAGCATCCGTGCCTCCCTCCTTGTGCCTGGTTCCTGAGGGACGGCGGGAGGGTCACCGGCTACGCTCCTTGATTCACCAAGGGCAGGGTGAAGAGCTGCCTCCTCTAACGGTGACAGTCATGTTGTAAGCATCATCTTGTGTGGCTCTAAACACATTTGGTGGCCTTACTTTCCCTGATGCAGCCACTGTGTCCCGTCTGTGACCAGTGGCGCCTCCGCATCTGCTCTGTCTTTATGACCAGCCCTGGTTGTCCTCGCAGCTTCGTGGCTCTTAGGTGGGACAAGGGGTTCTTGTCTTGTCCCCTCCTGCCCTGGCCCTGGGGAGCCCTGATTCCTTTCAGGAAGAGAGGCATCCACAGCCTGGACCTGACAGGTGCCCACCGTGACCCAGCCCTGCCCCTCAGGCCTGCCTGGTCTGTCTCCTTGAAAGATCAGCCTGTGGGCTCCCATGGATGCTTCCTGTGGCCCCGGGCTCAAGTGCTGCCCTCCCACTCTCACCTGGGTGTAGCCACTGGAGTGAACCAAGCCCTTGGTGTGCCGTAGCTTCAGCATTTGTGCTGTTGTTTCAGATCGACTTATTTATTTTTGAGATGGAGTCTCACTCTGTTGCCCAGGCTGGAGTGCAATGGTGCGATCTCAGCTCACTGCAACCTCCGCCTCCTAAGTTCAAGTGATTTTCCTGCCTCAGCCTCCCAAGTAGCTGGGATTATAGGCACTTGCCACCACACCCGGCTAATATTTGTATTTTTACTAGAGATGGGGTTTCACCATGTTGGCCAGGCTGGTCTCGAACTCCTGACCTCTGGTGATCTGCCTGCCTCAGCCTCCCAAAGTGCTGGGTTTACAGGCGTGAGCCACTGTGCCCAGCCCAGATCTACTTGTGTACATTTTAAAATATATAAAACTATATATTTCATAAATATGTCACACTGGATAGGTATCTTCCGTTTTCATTTACTTCTATTGTTTTACCTTTAGAATGCTTTTCCCTAAAATGAAAAAAAAAAAAGTTCTAGAATCTTTATTTCCAACGTTTGTAACGTAAACCTTTCCAAAAATTATGCCAGTTGTAGGTTGATTAGTTTACTGAGCATTTTCATGTAATTTAATACCTGGAGGTCAAGTATCCCTTCCTAAGTAGTTTTACCTAGTAATTATTTAAGATTCTCTTATAACTCTTGTCATTTATTAAAAAGGGCTGCACTGGCAGCGCACGGTGGCTCACGCCTGTAATCCCAGCACTTTGGGAGGCCGAGGCGGGCGGATCACTTGAGGTCAGGAGTTTGAGACCAGCTTGGTCAACATGGTGAAACCCCATCTCTGCTAAAAATACAAAAATTAGCTGGGCATGGTGGCACATGCCTGTAATCCCAGCTACTCAGGAGGCTGAGGCAGGAGAATCGCTTGAACCTGGGAGGCGGAGGTTGCAGTGAGCCAACATCATTGCACTTCAGCCTGGGTGGTAGAGCGAGACTCTGTCTCAGAAAAGAAAAGAGGGAGAGGAGAGGAAAGGAGAGGAGAAGGGAAGGGAAGGGAAGGGAGGGGAGGGGAGGGGAGGGGAGCAGGGGAGGGCAAGGGAGCAAGGGAGGGGAAGGGAGCAGAGGAGGGGAAGGGAGCAGAGGAGGGGAAGGGAGCAGAGGAGGGGAAGGGAGCAGAGGAGGGGAGGGGAGCAGAGGAGGGGAGGGAAGCAGAGGAAGGGAAGGGAGCAGAGGAAGGGAGAGAAGAGAAGGGGTTGCATTGGGATTTTGATTGGAATTGCATAGACACTCCATATTAACCTGGGGCATTTTACAATGCTAGGACATCAGTTTGAAGATCTGTCTAAGTCTTTGTGTCCTGCAGTCTGATTTTGTTTATTTCTAGGGCATGTGGACGGTGTTAACCAGGTCCTCTTTCCTGTATGACTCAGGGAAGGGGAAAGTGCCGGTGAACTTCACAGATGGTGAAAGACCCAAGGTTTTATGGGCCCGGAGTAAGGAGGAGGACTCTTCCCAAATGGTGGCTAATTTCTAGAAGCTTGGTAGTTAAGAAGTTTATTTGGAGGTGATAAGCATGTTGTTGGGAAATGATCTGGCTTACATGTGCTATGTATGATCTATAGTTACATGTCCTATGTAATGTTAAGGATTGTCTGTACTGGGTGACACTCACACTCTTGAGAACTGGGTTTGTGGATTTTGGCCTGGCTGACATAAGACAGGTTGTCACGACAGTTCATATTCTTGCTTAATATTCATGCAGGGCACAATTTAACGTATAATAATACATAAACGTACAATGTGTGACTAAACACATAGTACATAATTAATGGGGAAAAGTGGCAATGCAAAAATGTTCATGGTTGTCGTAATAATTTATAGGAGTTTTTCCAATACTGACATGGCAGTTAAAATTAATTAATTGTACCTCAAGTATGAATGTCAGGGGGTAAAGAAGAATCACAGCTTTAGGTACCAGTGGTGGAGCAGATGGCTTCTTCCTTGAATTGGCCTAGGGAGGAGTGCTCTCCATTTTTGGTTCACAAGACCAGAGTCACATAAATATACCACACGGACTTCTTCCTTTCAGTAGCTGGTCTTCGATTCAGCTAGTGAGTGGTATTGAAAGGAGAATGAGAGGGAAATACATAACGGATGCTGCCTGACCAAACATAATGAAAGGCTGTTCAATGGGCTGACCCCCAATCCACATGTGTGTGAGAAGATCTGCTCCTAGAACTCAGATGGACATTAGCTGCATGGTGGAATATTATGGGTACTCCATTGTTTACACAGGTGAAGTATTGGGAAAATGGCCAGGATGAGAACAGAGAAGACAGGGGCTAGAATTCCTCCTGAGGTATTGGGAATAGAGCATGGGGTTGATGTGTCATTCTGGTTGGATGTGAGGTGGTGCGTTAGGGGATTTGCTGGGGTATATATTATCTAGGTCTCCTAGTAGGTCAGGTTAAAACAGGACTCCAACAGGTAATCATCATGGGAGGAGAACCAAGTCTAAAATGTTTTTAATTGTGTAGTATGGGTGAAATGGGATCGTGCCACATCTAATGAAATTCCTGATGGGTTGTTGGATCCTGTTACCTGAAGGGAGAGAAGGTGAACAGCTACCAAGGCAGCGACACTGAAGGGTAAAGTGAAGTGAAAAGTGAAGAATCGTGCCAGGGTGGCTTTGTCAACTGAAGATACGTCTCCAATTCACTCCACTGGGTTGGAGCCAGTGCATGGAATAGCTGACTGCAGGGTTGTGATTACTGTGTGTGAGTGCTCCTTGTATTAGTCTGTTCTCACATTGCTATAAGGAACTAGCCGAGACTGGGTAATAGATGAAGAAAAGAGGTTTCATTGACTCACAGTTCTGTAGGCTGTATAGGAAGCATGGCTGTGAGGCCT